GATCCTTTTGCTCAGTACGGAGTATACAAGGAACTTACTAACTCCCCACTAACTCATCACCAATTCATGCCCCTTGTCATACCATCTTAGTATCACTACCTGCAGTGCATTCTGTCCTCGGAGACAGCTGATGACACATATCAACTTCTTTTAGAGTCATTCCACTAATGATTGGGCTCTCCACTAGGCAGAACATTTTAATTTATTGATCGTCATTCATTTATCAACAATTGGGGCTTGGATGATGATTATGCAGCGTGAAACGACGAAGCCATTCTGGGCGGCAAATCGATTGCATACAGCCTTGGTTGCCGCCTGGACGATTAATCATCCTTCTGTACAGCAAACGCACCCTGGATAGTACATTCCTAGCTAGCCGCTCCCGAATGTGTTCCATATGAGCTCTTATCAATCTGCTCACAGTAGACTCGATTAGATCAAATCTCAAGTCTCATGCATTCTCTGTTATATAGAGCTGGGTCGCTGCCCATGCGCTGATCCATACTTGGATGGATTCCACTTGGAGCTCCCCTGCAAAAAGCGGTCAATCGTGTGCCTCCCGCCCTGCAGGTCTGCTCTTATCAATGATGCCATGTGACTGACCCATACTGGCGATAAGCAGGTACCTACTTTTAAGTAGACTCTCCATTAGGGATTATCAATCACAGCCACGGAATTTCTATAGACCATGTTGAATAGTGACGAAGGCATGTTGTTGATATTATCAGCAGCCAAAACAAAGCAGGTAAAATCAGTAGTTTATCGATGTACTAGAATGGTAGATAAACGACAGATTACTGCATCATAGTGGCACGCGCAGTTTCACCTTTAAATGTGATCTTCTACAAGATATTCTCATCGAACCACCGAAGTGGATACTCCCTCAGAATCCGACCAAGGCCCTTGGTCAGCTGCAGGCCGGGAGGCTACTTCGTCCACGGACTTCAGGTACCACTATCTACCCCGCAATGTAAGCCTGCTGATTGGCCACGTGAGGAACATGCAGACAGGCTGACTAGCTGGATGGTTCTATATCCAGTCAAGTATATAATAAGTTAAATATTACTCCAGCATACCTTTAAGCAGGCATGAAAGACGAACTTGGGCTGGTGTTCCAGGGGTGATAGTACTGGATTGGGGTTGGTGGAAGTAAATCCGGTAGCGGCGGTTGCCATGTGCAACAAGCATGATGACATCGTCTCCCCCACACTCTCAACCAGGCCTGGCCCAGACGTAGTCCTGGATTTTCCTTCAGCCTGGACTCTTCTCATTAAACTGCTGCACATCATCTACATACCCTCTGATAGCGGACGCTATTTCATCAAAGTCACAAAATGCCTCCCTCTCGTCGCCGCGGTGGCAATACTGCCGCCACCCGTTCAAACCAGGCGACCTTATCGTTCGGCTCCAAGTCCAGAGTCACGAAGCCATCAGCAGCGCCATCTACACGCTCTCAGAAAGCCAAAGATCTCGACCTGATTGATACTACTCGATCGAGTACACCATCCGTTGAAGATGTGTCCGAAGCAGAACAGGCCTCTGTTACTCCCACGGAGCCTTCGCAACCCCATGTGGCAGAGCTTGCCGTAAGGAAGCAGGCTCAGACAGAGATTCAACAACCACGATCAGAAGAGGATGCTAAGGCGGAAAAGATTACCGAAAGGCAGCTGCAGCAGTACTGGAAGAAGGAAGAAGCAAAGAGACAAGGGCCCAGAGGTGAGTGACACGCCCCAGTCAGGCATCTCCTGTGACAAGTACGCTGATCATCTCCACTAGTTCACCAGGAGGGCCTCGAGCTACGAGAGAAGATTCTGCGCAACTTCGACCTCTCAAGCCAGTACGGGGTAGGTCTGACTCTATTCATATACCTCATGTTCTTTTGAGCTGACCTTATATTGGTGTAGCCTTGCATTGGAATTGCTCGACTGAAGCGGTGGAGACGTGCGCATATGCTGGGCCTCAATCCTCCCATTGAGGTGTTGGCCGTGTTGTTGAAACCGGACGATACCACTAAACAGAGAGCGTATATTGACGAGTTGATGTCTTGAGCATCGGCTTGGTGGGACCCTGCAATTATATATTTCTGTCCCATGGAACAACGGGGGATAGATTTGGGAGTATGGGTGTTTGTTGGACGGGCGTTTGGGAGAACTCTGCGCATACCCTTTGGATTACTATTGTTGAATGACCTACACTACTTTGATTGCCAACCTCCGTCTTCTCCCAGTCAACTCTCTTGATCTGCAGACACTGTGGAACACAAGTAGCCACTCAAACTACGCACAAACACGGAGGTAATATAATCAAGGTACATACGCAAGCCGTTGGACTACAGGCTGGGCGAAGTATATTTTTAGTGACTCCTAAACGCCACTCGAGCAACCTTTGATCCGCAGCAGCTGTGAAGTTGAACCTGACCACGCTGAGCACACGACAGGAGTGGCTGGTCGCACAGTATCTCACAAAGAGGGTGGATGCTTCCGCGTAAAGGACCCGAAGATGTCTAGGCTCCGAAGACGTTGCGCTTGAGCTCTTTTTACTCGGTTGGTCAGACAAAAAAGCCCCTTTCAGTGCTACCAAACCCTTGGTTTTCATATCACTGTCCTACGGGACGTTCACTGCAAGCTCCCCTCGACATGTCCAAGAAGCTCCTGCATTAGCCGATCTACGCTCAGAGAAGGAGGGGGCGCTATAACTGGACCTCAAGGCTGCTAGGGATTGCCTTTGATGCATTCGCATTGCACCAAATGACTGCATGATTCTGCAGTTCGTCTCCAAGCTCCATAGCTGACATCTGTCGCTGAATTTTGCGATTAGTCAAGTCTTCTCCCCCTTTTTTTGGTCGTACCCTGACAACAGACACCATTGAGATTACAACAGAATTTGATTTGGATGGTCCCAACATAGTATGACACCGACTGTCACCCGCTATGGACAGAAATCTGCGTGTCGCCACGAACTACGTGCAATCTTACCCGTCCTACGTCGCATTTTGCTCATTCGGCAATGATCTCCGTCTATATACACGTCCTTTCATGAACAACCCAGCGCATAGTTCAAGAAAGGGATGGATCAAACTTGTAAGACATATGGTTGATTGGACGTGCGCATTGGAAGATGGTCTTTGCCCGATCACTCCAAACGGCCGGAGGTTCCTACATGGGTTGTGCATCGCCCACCCCATGTCCATAATTCTGAAATGAAAACGGGGCAATCCGATATGCCTCAATGGGAACATTATATGCATGTGATACCGGCTTCAATGTTCCGTGAAACGGTGGCACAAGCTTATAAGAAGTAAGGCCCTCCGCTCATAAGTCTTCTCTGACCACTTGTCTGGCAACTATCGTTCGTCGCTCCTCAGGCTACGCTTAAGTTCTTCTCAACGCAATCTACAACTTCAAATAATAGAAAGCCAAGTTCCTCAACAATGCAGCTATTTAACGCACTTTTTGTTCTGCTCGCTAGCACCCTTGCTACTGCACAGCTCCCAAATATCCCTTCATGCTCTGTAAGCTTTAACGTCCAGCTGATGGGATTAACCTGACTGACATTACAACTTGTCTCTTAGATAAACTGCTTCATCAGTGCATTCGAGCGTGATGGATGTTCACAGTTGACAGACTTTGCTTGCCATTGCCAGAAGCCTGATCTGCCTACCACCATATCTCCCTGCGTCCAAAGATCATGCAACGTTGCCGACCAGTCTGGTATAAGCCAACCCATTCCCTACGGACTGGACGGGACTAATAATTCGCCAGCCGTATCTAGTGAAGTTGTCCGACAATGTTCCATCGCGGGCCATCCCATCTCTATCCCACCGGTGGGCGGTGGTCTTGAGACTACGACCTTGTCCATGCCTAGGACCTCCACCACGGATTCCGGCGCTGTCTCCTCCAGCGCTGCATCAGCGACCCTCCCGACGGTATCCTCCTCTGGTGCCGCATCATCGTCTAAGGTGTCGCATTCCTCGTCCGCATCTACTTCAGCTTCGGCATCTAGCTCCCACGCTCCTTCAACTCCAGGCTCACACAGTCAGTCCGGTCATGGATCGTCCACGCCATCTCCATCCTCTCCTCTTTCAACTGGCTCTGCATCTACTGTCAAGGCGGGTGTAGCTGGGGCTATAGTCATTGCTGCAGCTGCAGTGTGCGTGCTATAGACAAACCTACGGTGTAGCAAGGCAGACTATTGGAACCTTCTGAGGAGTATGAGAAGTGTATAGCATGTCTCTCCTTCTGCTATGTTCGCTACCGGTGATCTCTTTTGGGTACTTTTCGGCTGTTATTCTTATTTTGATTCTACTGGGTACACGGCCATGTGGACTACTACTGAACTCCGTCCATGCCTCTACATGGTTTTAATATCACTGATTTCCTGTGCAAGAAAAAGCTCTCAATTGACCCTAAACGTTATTGCTTATAATGCATAATCCAGTATCCCTTTTTCTTAATTCGTACTTCCTAAGCCAGCAAAGTTAGCAGTGCAATGGAACGTGCAGGCTATCACTCTGACCCAGCCAGGTCCGGAACACAACTACGAACCACATCCAATTGAATGCACACCGACTGCACCAAGTACTCACACGTAAATGAGCCCGGCAACACTCAATACGAGAAGAAACCTCCAAAGATGACAACATTAACTGCATGAAACTCGTAAACGACGGTAAACGACCATACAGTAGCTCCAACCCGAGCATACATAAACGAGCAGATCCCCCCGAGCTCCTGTCATCCTTTCTTCTTTCTCTCCCAACCAACCGAGACCTGCTAAACAACACAACTCCATCAACTCCATAAGAATATAGCAGACCTCTGAGACTCCTTCTTTCTTTCGATCCTTAACTCCCTTTACTCCACGCTCAAGACCCAACAGGAAAGAAAACTTCAACGCCAGACAAGAGACAACTTTTCACGAGACGCGAAACTCGCTGTCAGTCAGCTACCACTCTCCCCAATCGGGACTGGGGAGGTGGTAGCTGACTGACAGGGCGAGACCTTCAGTCAGTCACTCCTGAACGAACGACGAAGTTGAATGCCCATGACCCTCCTCCTGTTCGACAGCATCGTCATGGCCGTCGCAGACAACGTTCTCCCAGAAGGCTTGGATGGCCTCATAGTCACAGTCGTCGTCCAGGCTAGTTGAAGTGTCGGCGTCGTATCCAGGGTCGCAGGGGTCATTAGCTGCTATATCCTGGTCGATGTCGTTGTTGTTGCTTTCGCTGTTCGTGAGTGCTTCATTACCCCATTAGCATCATGGTTTATCACTAACTGAACGCCCACTACTTCTAGGAAACGTACTCTGATCCACATGGTCGACATTACCCTCGTCACAATCGGTGCCCGACACAGAGGAGATCTCAGTCTCAGCCATAGCTGTTGCGAGATCCTCCATAGTTGTCTGATCGTACCCAGTCACCTGGGCACTCTGGTCACCCAGCCCCTGGACATGATCCTGATCCTGAGCGGGAGCAGCCTGATTGACCGGCAAAGCCGGGGAAACCGGAGACGACACAGGAGCCGCAGTCGAGACAGGGACAGGCCACATCAGAAGGACGATACCGTCGTCAGGTTCACCATCAGTAGCATTGGGATGAGCGAGCTGCAGGATGAATTCTCTCGACGAGTTGGAAAGAATGGACGATGCAGTCGACATCGAGCTGACGGCACTTTGCGGAGGAGACGACGACTCTGGAGACGGGACCTCAGTACCGGCGCTGGCGCGGGCGGTAGTAGTAGGTGCGATGATGGTTGTGTCGATCTTCAGGGCCGGTCTATTGGGCTTGTTATGGTTGTCATTATTTTCTCTGTCATGAGGATGATCAGACGACGAAGCCATGGTTGCTGCGATTCTCTCGTCAGGTTTCTGATTATCCTCTTCCTTTTTCTTTGATGTCTCTCTTACTATTGTATCCCAGCTCCCAGCGGCAGCGATCTTGCCTGTGGATTTTGCTTGTGGTACATGGTCAGTTTTCTATGTTTTTTTTTCTCCTCTTCACTGAGCGAGAAGGAACTCCCGGAATGACTGCTGTCATCACTTACTGGATTCGAGATGATTAGTCGTTCTGTTCTGTCGATAGCGAAAATCGTATCTTTGAACTTCTGTTGTGAGAACGCGTATGGTGTGATAACGCCGAGAGAACGAAGAGTCCGTAATGGAAGATGTGTTGTTGTGAGCAAGTATACATTACGCGGTCGATGTATGTATGGATCTGGGCAGGACGAGGGCCAGTGAATGCGAGTTTTCAAGCTGAGCCAGCATCTTTGTGTGTTAGAGTGTGAGACTGGTATTGAATGTGAGTGGGCATTCGCTTGCTGTTTCGTTGTTGGGTGAGTGGGTTCACAGTTGTGTTAATGTAGAAAGAGTACGTAGATGTGCTGGTTTCTTCGTTCCGGCTTGATTGGGTTTTTAGGGGAGAGGTGTTGATGAGTGGGGTTGATCTAAGTTGGCTATACTGAATGATTATATGATGATATATGTTTTTGGTTTATTAATGTTGTCTCTAGTAGTTTGTGATGAGTTGACCGCTCAGGAATGGTACAGGTAGTGTGTTGATGGAGATTGCTACTATATCCGCGCTGCAATATATTATTTATCCTAGATGCTAAAATGTACATGTTCCACTCTATCTATCGCTTTGCATTCAGATTACGCTAATGTTGCTAAATGAAGACCTCGTTATGTCAAGCATGAGGAAGATGCTGAAAAGAGAAACAAGAGAAGATGTAAATGAGACTTATGGGACCCATAGCCGGACATAGCCTGCAACGTCCTGGCGGCATGTCACACAATTTCCAAAGTTATTCATCGCAAGACTGACACGGCAATCTTCGCAAATACAGAGACACCGACATGGCCAGGTGATGATGGACCGTGGGTTGGTCTGGCAAATGACGCATGGCGGCCCGCTAGGACCAAGACCCGAGGCGCCCGATTCCCACGTCTGCTCGTCTGTGCTTCGAGCGGATGACATCTCGGCTCTTCGCGAAAGGATGAGGTTTTCGAGAAGCTCAGCTTCTTCCTCGGAGGTAGGCTTGCGCTTGCCGTTAGTAGATTCATATGTGGAAGGCCGTGCCAATCGTGAGCTTAGCAAAATTTGGGCTCGGTCGCGTTCAACGTGCTTCTGGAACTGCCGACGGGTCATTATCCGACCCTCACGGCCGGCAGCCAGGTGAGCAGACAATATGCGCGCTTCGTGCCTGCTTTCTTGATCGCGAGGATCCAGCAGTCGTGCCAAGGCGCCGATATCCACGAGCGGTTCATGAGCCGGAGTACTTTCTCGGGAGAAACGACCTGGAAAGGGGTCTTCTTGAGTGGGAGTGCGACGGCCGTCGGATTCGTACCCTTCCCACTCGGAGTCGGCCGTTGTCGACATCGATATGACGCTCGTGGTGTCTTCCCAATCACCAACAGACGGTGTATAGTCAGAGGTCTGGTCCTGATTGCCCCAGGAGCCTCCCACTTTCCACCAACCGTAGAGTTTCTCATCAAGCCGGCGTTCATCGGATTCCTCCCAGCCAGCGGCCTGATTCCTTTCTCTTTTCCGCATCTCTCTTTCTACATCGAATTCATGATCGTCAGGCAGCTCTAAAACTCCATCATCTGTCAAAATCCAAAAGTCTAGAGTATCCATGCGGTTGCCCTTTCTCTTCTTCTGCGAGTCCTTTGGTGACCCTACCGCGGATTTCAACCACTGTGGGCGGGCAGTTATGCCCATCCGGGAAAGAAGCTTGTCCAAACCGTAAGAAATCCACTTCAGGACGAGATAGAAGATGCCGCGGAAGAAGGCGAACCCATGGTAACATCGAACCACGCCCCTGAAGGTACCCACACCGCCTGCATCATTCTGCGGACGAACAGGCCTGGAGCCTGGCTTGGGCTTCTCGATCTTCTTTTCGCGCGAGTATCCGCTCTCCCATTCCACGGTTGACTCGGGAATATCGAAGTCTAACTCCCCATTCTCAGAGCACATATCCCCGGAAGGGTCACTGCGAAGGTTCCAAGATGACTGCTTGCGATGAGACTCTATTTCGGCCAGCCTGTCCTGTTCTAGCCAAGTCATCCTGCGCGCGGAAACCCGTCTTCCTTCATTCAGAAAGACGGCCTCGCTAGCAGCCGTTAAAGCCGTGTAACCGATCCTCAGCAGCGTGCTGTAGAAATCCTCGTGCCAGTTAAGACGAATATTCTGAATCTGGCTGGCGCCCTGCATATTCTCATGTGCTAGAGAGAATCTTTCTCGAAGTGACAAAGGACCCGAAGTCTGCGTAGGTAGCGAAAATGCTGTGATAATCAGGGCAAACGCGTATATAAAGACGCAGGCGATAATTCCTAGCAGGATTAGAAGGTGCGGAACGAACCCTACAATGCAGACAGTCGGAAATTTCAGAACGACATTGTCGCTTCCAACTGCCGAACTACCGAACAAGCCCCATGCCATAGCCGACATGAAGCAAAGGCCCCAGAAAGCGGTATTCACCAAGCGGTAACGACTTTGTCTGCCAATGACATCTAGAACGTTTGAGGTCAGACTGTTGCAACACGATATCATCGCGATCAGCAATAACTCGGGGGTGACATTCATTCGCTCTAGAGCTTGAGCTCGAGTCAGGATATGCAGGGTAGATTGCCCGCCCTCCCCAGCGATATCTTTAGAACTGCTTTGCTTGGACAACCCAAATATACCAAGACCAAGGGTTTGGCTGATCACAGATTCCGCCTCTGCAAATGCAAGCGAGTGTTCGAAAATAGACATGCCAGCTTCTGTGACGACTGCTCGTCCCTGCAAAGCGCAAGACACGGTCTCGACAAAGTGACTGAGGCAGAGGCGTATGAAAACCGGCCAGAGTAGTCGGAAAGAGCCATATGATATGTCCGAGGCATTTACAGGACGACCCATATGCACCGCACTGCAAGACTGCTCGTCTGTTTCCCAAGGCAAAAGGGTGGAGCTTAGGGAATGCAAAAAGCCACCGCCTCCAGAATGGTCGAATAGCAAGCGCTTCCCTGGCGTACCATAGCGTATCGTAGAGTATTCCGGGGATGTTTGACAACGGATAGACCGAAGAAGGGCGTAGATTTGAGTTATAAAGAGGACAATGGGAACAATCCGCAGAGCCAATCGCCTAGTCCAATCCAGATTAAGGTGTCTTCTAGTGGAAGCATATATGGTAATCCTGTTCAATATGAGAGCCTTGATAGGTTAGCCTGACCATTTTCACAACAACGACTAGCCGGGGCCAGTGGGTATTTACCACGGTAAAGCAGGTTAACGACCAACGGCTTGTCAGATACGAGAAGAAACCACTAAATTTCATGACTGCCTGGAGGATGTCGGAGAAATGGAGACTGGAGTCAGCCTGAGCAGCAGCATCAACAACGCCGTCTCTGACAGCCTCAGCCGCTGTCTGCGTTGCCAGTACTGCTTCAGGCTCCAGCCCCGTCCCAGGAGCTGCCCCCCAAAATCGTGTCGCCATATCTTGCAGCCCAACTAGCTTAGCGATCTGCTTAGGCACGGTAGAGAATGTAAAAGCCTCTGCCTGGTAGAGCCCACGAAATGGAAGCGACAGTAGTTCGCGCGACGACGAGGACAATGAGGAATGAGCGGCGATCGATGAAGTGGTGTTCAGGGACTGCGCAGCAGTTAATGAAGCAGTTGCGGCGGAAGCGGCCGAGGGCAGTATGGACATGGCTGATGCTCAGGGAACAGGAGCGATGCCTGAGCGATCTGGGTTGAGCCGGAAAGCGAATCTCTCAAAAGTAAGCATCCGTGGGATGGTGGGTACAAGGGTGTCGCGCAAATGCGAGGAGACGGAGAGGGGGCGATCGTAAACGGGGTGATCCGGTATCACTGGGAGAGAGCGAGCATGCCAAGAGGAGCTGGTGGCATATCCGAAATCATTTCCCCGGAGTGAGTTGGACAGCGAGTCCCTCATGCAACGAGGTGTATTGGGGATGGAGAGGCAGTAAGATACACAGTAGTTCGATTTAAAGTCGGTCTATCTTGGACCGTCATCAGTTCAACCCGCGTTCTCCAGTCCGTTCCCCGACATCCGCCGCTAACCATATCAGGCAATTGCCACGGAATTTGCACGTGCCATCCCGGCATCATCCCGCGGTTGCTTCCTTATGGTGGTTGTTTCTTCGTTCTCTGCATGAGATGCATTCAATACACCAATTTTATTGCAGCGGCGCGGATTATTCCTCGTGTCAATTTGTGGGATGGGTCTCTTTTTCCTGACCCTATCTAGCATAACTCCGAACAAAGGCCGTGTTCCCTGTTCTAGAAGGGAAAAAGAAGGCTATACCCACTTATTACCGCTGCTAGTATAGGTTGCTCAGCCCTTACTATATTGCTATGCCTCATGTACAGTAGATCCCAATTCTATTCTTTACTAGTGCCAATCACCGCCATAGCTATTCTTAAAAAAGATTTCAGCGCAGTTAAACTATCACGCCAAGTTGATAAATTTTGCCTGTAGTTCAAAGTTTTGGACCATCTAGTGTCACACTAGTCCACTTCCCGTAAGGAAAGCGAATACGAAGTACAGCATGGATTCCCAACCAGGGGTTGCACAAAGTTTATTGCCTGTCCCCCATCACCATATATATCTGACCCCCGGGAGCATGGTATGGAGCTTCTCTTCATAGTCTGCTTCCTTCTAATCGGGACTTGCTCTAGCCTTCTGGGTGTGGCGCTGAGATATGGAAAAAGATCCACGGCTGGGATATAGCGACCCTGGTTCGTCATCATATGACCAGGCACCGCCGCCGTATTCACCATACAATGATAGTGGACCTGTGGTCGAATCGGCCGATGTACAGGGTGAGCGGATCCTTTCCACGATTATGGGCATAACAGTTTGAAGAAGGGCTAATCATCAACAAAGCCAATGGCCGCGTCAATGTCGATTTAGATTCAAGCCTGGCAAGAACATTAGCCTCGATCATTGAGCTACAGCAAGAAGATCTGCAAAATCCACCTCCAAATTACTCTGAGGATCAGCTAATAAAAGACGAGCTGCTGCAATGTGACATTCAACTGAACATTGTGATACAAATTGTGGGCAGCAGAGGTGATGTGCAACCATTTATCGCCCTGGGGACCGAGCTACAAAAATTCGGTCATCGGGTCCGAATAGCCACACATGATGTTTTTTCTGATTTTGTCACTCAAGGTGGTCTTGAGTTCTATCCAATAGGAGGTGATCCCGCAGAGCTGATGGCATTTATGGTCAAGAACCCCGGGTTAATACCTCAAATCAGCAGCCTGCGCGCCGGGGAAGTTCAAAAGAAGAGGGCAATGGTGAATGAGATGCTTCATGGCTGCTGGAAGTCTTGCATCGAAGACGACCCTGTTACGAAGATCCCATTTACCGCAGATGCCATCATTGCAAATCCACCTAGCTTTGCCCATGTTCATTGTGCGCAGGCTTTGAGTATCCCAGTCCACCTCATGTTCACCATGCCTTGGACTAGTACCAAGGCCTTCCCCCACCCGCTTGCTAACCTGAGCTCTTCTGAAATGAACCCAAATGTAGCAAACTGGGTTTCTTATGGTGTTGTCGAGTGGCTTACATGGCAAGGGTGCGTGCAGTCACTTGACCGGTGAGAACTCATGGCTAACGTAATCGCATAGGCTTGGAGATGTGGTCAATCGATGGCGGGCATCCATCGATTTGGAACCGGTTCCCACCGCGGAAGGCCCCAGGCTGGCTGAAACGTTAAAGATTCCTTTTACTTATTGCTGGTCACCTGCCTTGATCCCGAGGCCGCGGGACTGGCCAGCTAATATTGGTAGGCACTCCCTGGATGAATGTTGCTACTGGACACAGTCGAAAACTAATTGACTAGATGTCTGTGGTTTCTTTTTCAGGGATCCACCATCCTACGAACCGCCACTCGAACTGAAGGAATTTCTAGAGTCGGGAACGACTCCCATATATATAGGCTTCGGCAGCATCGTGATCGATGACCCCCAGAAGTTGACAGAAATTATCTTAGAAGCGATCGCGAAAACTGGTGTACGTGCCATTATATCACGAGGCTGGAGCAAGCTAGGTGGTGTGCCCAGTTCCAATACCTATTACATTGATGATTGCCCTCATGAATGGCTTTTCAGGCACGTTGCTGCCGTGGTGCATCATGGAGGTGCTGGGACAACCGCGTGTGGTCTTGCTAACGGTCGACCGACTACTATTGTGCCCTTCTTTGGGGAGTAAGTACTAAATAGGAAAAGATACTACTACCTGGCAATTCCAATGCTAACCTATCGCAGTCAACCATTCTGGGGCAGTATGGTAGCAAGATCTGGTGCTGGGCCTAGGCCAATCCCGTATGCTTCGCTCAACGCAGAGAATCTGGCTGAAGCTATCGCTTTCTCGCTGAGGCCGACCACAGCAGAATCCGCTCGAGGCATTGCTTTAAAGATGCAACACGAGTCAGGAGTAGCAGCAGCTGTTCGATCCTTCCATCGTCATCTCCCACTGGACAGGATGCGTTGCTCCTTGATACCTAATCAACCTGCTATGTGGATTCACAAGCGGTCTAAGAAGAGCTTAAAGCTTTCGAAAGTTGCTGTTCAGTTATTGATTGACAACGGAAAGCTTAACGCAAAGGAGCTTCGGTGGTGAGTATCGTTTGCCACTTTTTCTCAAGCTTAAGAAGTTCCAGGTGTGCTGACTCGAGGTTCATGCTAGCAATACCATCAATCCGATACATATCGAAAACCGTCGTTGGGACCCTGTGACTGGCATTATATCTGCCTCCACAAGTACAGGATCTGCAATGCTCAAATCGACCGGAGAGATGCTATACAACCCATACAAGGAATACACATCCAGCCGTTCTCCAAAGCCACCAATATCACGAACTGCATCTGCACTTTCTACAACCACAACATCATCGTCTTCTAGATCCCTCGCAGATTTTCCCGAGACAAGTAGGCGGCCCTCTGACCGGATAGATACGGAGACTTCAATCAACAGTGGGCCCAACAATAACGCGTTATCAACGGCGGGGAATATGGTTGGAGCTTCTTTGAAGGGTTTTGGCAAGTTCACAGGAGCATACTTTAAAGGCGTGGTGGTAGACATTCCCTACGCTGCTGCTGAGGGTTTTCGACAGGTTCCTCGACTCTATGGAGAGGAACCGAAGCAGTATGGCACGGTTCGTGATTGGAAGTCTGGTGCTACTATGGGCGGCAAGAACTTTGTCGATGGCATGACAGATGGGTTCAAGGGGTTATTCACTCAGCCTATCAAAGGCGCGAGGGAAGAGGGGGCGCTGGGGGCCGTCAAAGGATTTGCAAAAGGAACCATTGGACTTGCGACTAAAGTTCCGTCGGGTAAGTACAATATTTCCCGAGCAAGATGCCCGCATTATAGAGTACGATCGCTAACTGGTATCCATGTATAGCTGGAATTGGGCTTGTCGCCTACCCTTTTCAAGGAATAGCGAAAACGATCGAAGCAGCCGTCAGGTCTAAGACAGGAAAAGCGATCCTTCTTGCCCGCCTCAGAGATGGGTACGCTATGACAGAGCGAGCCCACATGACTGAAGATGAACAACAATATCTCCTACGGAGGTTCCAGGCTCTGACGGATCCATGATATGCGATATCTCCTGGCATATAATCTGAATGTGAGCCGGTCCAATAGTGTTCGACTTGAGTGCACATTAAGCGCATTTGATCATTTAGCCGTTGTGTCGCTATGGTCAAATAAGGTCATGAACACTAGTATATACTGTGGTGGGGCTCTCGGAAGGATGGGATATATTTATCACAATATTATTAAACTGGACAACATGTACTTCAATAACTTGTCCCACTAATAATCGGTTGAACAATGTAAAGTATATATCACCAGATGAATTTCCAAAGAGCACATATTATTTCTCATGAAGCACGTCCAGCATAGGGTGCAAACTAAGAGGGAAAAGCGTCGTTGCATCGTGTCAGCATCTCCCATGCACTGACTCCTTTCTTCCTTCCTCTGAGCAATGCTATGAGATACGTACTTGAATTACACGTCCAGCAATAGACAGCCGTTGCTGTCATTAATATTGTCTGAGAAGACTGGGTGCTAGTATCAAAGACGGCTCAATGCAGCAATTGCGAAAGCTCAACGAGCGCGACAACTTCACATGATCTGGCCAGTATTGAACACTATGATTCCCAGCGTACATTTCTCATTGAAGTATATTCTCGCTGACTTTTTGATCGCGTTCCTACAGTACTGTTGCATCCCACAGGTTACCTTAACTGTGACCGCAATTCGATGCTGGTGGCTTGGTTCACACTATACCGAAGCGCTGGATAGTATGGTCTGATCTTGCTGTCAGAAGAATTCAGGAACAAATGCATCTCACCTATGATGCTTACGATGTTATACTCCAAGCTCATCTCTCCCTTCTCACTAGTGACATCACTACTCCACGAAAGATTTGGGGTCAACGAAAGGCTTAATGTGCTTGCCAGCTCAAGTCTACAGAAAGGCTGACACAGCATCTCGCTCGCGCTATCATATAAATGAGGGTGGCTTCTTACATATTGAACGTGTTCTTTGGCTAAGTGGTGATTGGGCAATGTGTCACTCGATGAATCCAGCAGTTACTGGATCCCGTCGGCTTTTCACATTTGCTAGTCAGGGTAGACTGGCAAAAGCATGCCTGTGTCTCTGCTCAGACCACGGGCTTGATGTAGAAGAATTGGGGTATATTGTCTTGCAGGAGATGGCAGAAGATAGCGTCCGATGCCAAACCAGGACGGGAAGGCGTCGCCGAGACAGTCACCAGATCCCTTATCACTATCCTCATTAGCGTGCAACCAATTCCGTGACAATCCGGCTTTCATCCGTTGCCCCTGCAGAACTAAATTGATTTTAATTTCTGCTCAGGTCTGCCACAAGCCTGCCCGCCAATCGCTAGCACGAGGGCCTCGGCATGCCCTCGCTGTCATGGAGTCCACGCTGCCCTATCTCCACCGACTATTTACCCACCATTCAATCATTGCGGAGCTCGGAAGAACGTGCAGAAAGGCGGAACGATTTTCGTCCGGCTTCCCTCTAGTGTCATATGGATGATCTATACTATGTGCGTTTGAACAGGTGATCAGGGGTACTGGCAGAGACACAACCATCATGAGGATGTGATCGTCCGACCTATATAAAGCGGGCAACAAACCCTTGGCTTTTGGGCTACTGAACAGCAACTCCGTCTGTTGCACTAATCTCGATATTAGGCTAAATGAGGATCTCCAAGTTATTGTGTTTTGGGGCCCTTTCCGGTGTTGCTCTCGCCTCTACCGGGAGTGGGATCGCCAAAAGGTCGACAGTCAGTGAGATTTTGACTGATATCGAAGATGCTGCCACCTGTGCGGCATGTGAGGTCTGTCTCTCCACTTGACACTTTGGTAGTAGCGCTCGATGCTCACCCTTCATACATCTCCATAGGCTCTGCTTGTTGTTTTACAGGCTCTTGCACACTTGGGTAACGATGACTTTGTGGATGTGATCACGGAAGTTTGCATTCTGGCTGGGGTATGCTTTTGAGTTCATAGCTCTGTTGACCAGGCTGAAAGTTTTCCCAGGTTGATGACGACGACGTCTGTGAGGGTGCAATTGCCCGTGAAGGTCCAATCTTGGCCCACGACTTGCGCTACATGGATGTTCCTTCGAAGACGGCGGTTCTCTTTTGTACCACCATTTTCGGCCTGTGCGATTATCCAGCAGTGGCCGAATATACCGTGGATTTTCCATCTGCCAAACCGGCGAATGCCTCGCGTCCGGCACCGAGCGGAGAGACTCCTCTGCAGATTGTCCACATCAGTGACATCCACGTCGATCTTTCGTACGAGACTGGCGCTAAGTATGCGATCTTCACCCAGATACCAGCGGACAGTAGCTGACCATTTTTCCAGCTACAATTGCACCAAGCCCATCTGCTGCCGTCCCTATACTTCCTCGGATGACCCAGGTGTGACGGACTATCCGGCAGGAGAGTATGGCAACCACAACTGCGATGCGCCCCTCACACTGGAAGAAAGCATGTACTCGGCTATCCAGGAGCTCGTCCCCAACGCCTCGTTCGTCATATTCACAGGCGATATCGTTGAAGGTGCCGTCTGGTTGGTCAACGAAACCGAAGTGACCAACGACCTGAACGACGCCTACAACTCCCGGATGGCCGACTACTTCGACCTTGTCTACGGTGTCACCGGTAACCACGATTGCGCCCCAGTGAACTCCTTCCCGCCAGCTGATATCGACACCACCATCTCCAGCCAGTGGGCCTACGACACCCTCTCCTCTGACTGGAGCCAATGGATCGGATCCACCGCCGCCAGCACGGCAGACGACTACGGCGCCTATTCAGTCAAATACTCCGGCGGAAACCTGCGCCTTATCTCCTTCAACACCAACTTCTACTACAAAGAGAATTTCTGGCTCTACGAGAACACCATGGAAAAGGACCCTAGCGGCCAGCTCGCCTGGCTCGTGGACGAGCTCTTCGCAGCCGAGTCTGCCGGCGAACGCGTCTGGTTAATGGGCCACATGCCCATGGGATCCAGCGACACCTTCCACGACGCCTCTAACTACTTCAACCAGATCATCCAGCGCTACGACGCCACCATCGCCGCCGTCTTCTACGGCCACACTCACAAAGACGAGTTTGAACTCGCCTACTCCAACTACACCGACCAGTCCGCAGACACCGCATCAATGATGTCCTACATCATGCCCGCCATGACCCCGACCTCTGGTAACCCTGCGTTCCGCGTCTACTCCGTCGACCCCGTCACTTTCGGAGTCCTCGATTTCACCGAGTACATCACCAACATGTCCAGCTCTACCTATCAGACAAAGCCAAGCTGGCAGAAATACTACTCCGCTAAGGAGACATACGGATCGCTGCTTGACCCGCCCGTTACTGACAGCGCCGCTGAATTGACCCCTGCTTTCTGGCACAATGTCACTGTTTTGTTTGAAAACGATGACTCCGTCTTCCAGGATTATTATGCCCGCAAGAGCCGAGGCTGGGATGTCTCTGAGTGTACGGGTGACTGTAAGACGGATGAGATCTGCCAGTTGCGTGCTGCTGAGTCACAGTATAATTGTGTGGAGATTACCCCTGGGATTAGCTTCAAAAAGCGCGATACTACTGCTAGTGAGTCGAGCTCGACTACCAAGGAGAGTACTTGTGGTGAGTCGGTGGTGGGCCAGATGTTTTCGAATTTTGGTGATGCTGTCGAAGCGCTGATTAAGGCTGCGGAGGCGAAGCTGGGTTCTGGATTCCTCAATACTACGGTCAACGCAACTGTTTCTTAGGTTGTTTGTGGGATAGGGGAGGGGCGGTGTTGGTAGGAGTCGTGGTGGGAAGTAGTTGTGTGTTACTAGTTGTGATGGTGTGAATCTAGGTGTTATTGAAGACAGTTATTTGAATCCCTTGTCAAATTTATAAAGTTTCCCTTTCTTTTTTCCCCTAGGACCTGTGAAACCGAATAACAACAATCCAGATTGATCATGAGCTAGTACATTAGTTAAGTACTGAAGGCACCAATTGGCAATTAAAACTCCAAAAGCCCCCAAGGTCCGTAACTTTGAACACCCCCAATATCTACTAATAATAGTCATCTCGTGAAGATTCCTTCAGCATAGTTTCATTTCTTTCATCAGCTTGGACCAGCGCGACAACCTTTCAACCAGTATTAGTGGTCGACGCTCCAGTCTCACCAGGCCCGTCGTTCAATTGCAGGCTGTGCAGTACCACTTTGAAGAGGCCCCAGGGATGGCATGGAACAATGATAATGTTCCTCGGGGTCGTATCAATTGTATACAATCCCCGACTCTGCAAAATCTGTCTAATGTTGACAAGATCCCAGAATATAAACTGCCACGTGCGCTTTAGGATGTAGTTCATTTTGAGGAGGGGCATTCCATCAAGAGGAACGAGGATCAATCCAGGGCATGATCCAATAATAGTTCTTCCCATCTCATTCATTACTTGCCATGCCATCGTGGCAGTACCAAGCAGTTTAGGGATATGTCCCGCCTGAAGGTCACTCAGGGTATCGTAAGCTTGCAATTCCGTCCGGTAGGAATGAGTCATGGCCTTTTGGGTATCATCTTCTCTTTGATTCAGGCTACGAACATTTGGGTCTTCTGGTGGCTGCCCATACGGCGTGACTGGCAATGGTCCATGTTGCCGGTATCCCGATTCAATAGCATAGCACCAGTTCGGGCAGCCGTGCCTCAATCGCATGCCTTTTGTAAAGCGTCTGTCGAACATTCTGATGTGCAGTGTTCCGCCTAGAGTGCCCAGAGGACCCTCGACTTGGACGGTCACCGCACACACTTTCCAAAAGGGTTCATGCACGTCCACGATTCGGCATATTAATAGCGTTGGCTGGGCTTGGAAGTAATCGACGGAATGTAATGCTATAATGTTGCCACGGAAGTAGGGAGTCCTTCGACGGTCATCATACTGTGCGTTTCATGGGGAAGTTACCTACCCTTCTCCATTGCCGGCGCCATATTGTGGAAACCATGGGCGTGAAGGGTCGTAAGGTACAGGTTCTCCAGGAAGGAGTAGTCTTCTCTGCTGCATTATAGGATTTATAAGAATGTGAGAATAGGGATGAGTAGAGTGACTAGGTCTGTGTAGAGAAGAAAAGGTGAAAGATTTGATTCTCTGAGAAAAGAAGTATTGAGTGAAAAGTATGACATTCTTCTGCTCTGATGAGGGAAGCTGCAACCCTGCTCTTTCTTTTGCAAACTATACACCTTTTAAATTCAAATCTTGGGGTGTTAACTAGTCATAAATACAGTAGCGACCCTTGCCAGTTCATCCAAGGATGCTTCGTCGGAAAGATCGAATAAAACCGACCTTCGCCGAGAGTGGCCACCATAGGCTTGGGCCACTTGTGCAACTGTCTCTCCCTCCGAGGAGGGTCCGTAGACTCGTGCCGTAAATCCATTCTCGATGTCGGCATCCACCACAGTAGGCCATGGTTTAATGCCATGGCAGAACTTAAAGAAGTCAATGGCGAATGCAGCTGCTAGTTCCTGCTGAGCGGGAGTCAAGTAATCCCGGAAATTCTGGAACAGATACGCGACATCTAATATGTGGCCAGCCTTGCCCTGCCAAGGTCCTTCCCAAGGATTTTCCTCGTTGAAGTAGTAGACGTTTGTGTGCCCTTCCCACCCACTCGTGTATGTCAGCGTTGGCGCCAGTATGAAGATATCATTAAGATAATTGAGAACCGCGGGGAAAGCCTCATCATCCGCAGTTTCGGCAGTCAAACCGTATCCTGCCAATATCCGTGTTGCTAGTTCTTGCTTGGTCGGAAAGACGGAGTGAACTGCCTTCGCAAGACGCCCTGCACATTCGTTCTTCAAATGTGGCATCAGGATAGCAAGAATGTTGCTCTAAGAAACGAATTGTGAGCTCGAACTATCTTGATAGTCGTTTTCTCCAACCACTTACATCATACTGGGCATCACCAATCAGTAAATCGCGACACCACTGCTTCCCCTTGGGGATATTGCTTGTCCGGTCGGCTACCTGTGCATATGTTACGGTAGACGGAACCATGTCTCCATCAACTGCGGGCGCAGTCAAAACAGATGGAGGAAGCTTAGCGAGCAAATCTTGGCCGGGTGTTTCCAAAAGGGCCTTGATTTTCTCGTCTGACGTAGCATTTTCCAGTCCAAGTGCCGAGATTGCCTGTCGATAGTTTTCCTCGTGCGCGTCGTATGGCAGAGCCTGGACAAAGAATCGAGAGCCACTCATCAGAATAGCGCGTTTGAACAGCGGTGTTTCGGAGTCGAGATGAAATGTGACAGAGGCTATACGTTTCAATTTTCCTTCCTTCTTGAGGAGAAACGAGAGAAAACTTACCTGCTCCAGCACTCATTCCAGCGACAGTGATGTTTTCGGAATCTCCTCCGAAGTCCACAATGTGCCTGCGTACCCATTCCAAAGCCACCCTCTGATCTCGAAGTCCATTGTTGGCTTTATACCCAGCTTTGCGCAGTTCATCGGAGGTCAAGAATCCATATGGTCCTAAACGATAGCTTGGACAAAGTCAGATAACCTGTGCATCATGCATGGCGACACTTTGCCCACTTACTTTATGGAGACCGCGACAATAGGGAGCTCATTGTCTATAGACAACTTTACGAAACGCTCATAGTCAAATTGGGGCCAGGAATTGGCCCCTATCATGAGGCCACCTCCATGGATGAAGACAAACACGGGAAGTTTTGAATGGGCAGGAGTGCCTGCAGGAGCAGCAATATTCAGGTTGAGACAGTCCACGTCTGACTGGGTGAGTTCCTTCTTGGGCAGGGTGTGTTGAATCGCGCTAAGTTCTAAGTCACAACCACCTAGAGGTGATATCGCAGTTGGCCTTCAGGGACTCTCGTTTAGTGTATAATCATATTCGAAGAAGAGAATCTGCTAATGTTCGCAATTGGATGCCTTACCCGTCTTTTAATGCATCGAGAACGCCTCCGTCGCGCCTTTCAACTAGTTCGGCATCTGCGAGTCTATTCTTCAAGGTGGCGTACTTGATTCCCAAGAACTGGGTAACACCATTCGTGGTTTTTCCGCGAATCTCACCGAGGTGTGTAGTAACCTGGATTATGTCTGACATGGTGTGATATGTAGACGACGAGAAAGAAAAGAGGTAGTTATGGAGAGGGAATGGCATTGATTTGACTTGATGGCAGCCCGGTTTTAAGGATATAGCTCCCCGCTCGGAAATCCCCCAGTGCGGATATGCGGGGATCTCCATGCTCATCTTGACTCTTTCTGGTATCACCTTGCCCGGCTCTGTTTGAAGATCGGTTCCAATCGCTGCAGCTGCTAAGCGAATTCAATCAGACCCATATAAATGTTGCGTAGCTTTTTCCGCGCGCAAGATAAGGCATGACCCAATCTCCATTACCTAACTGAGACTTCAATAGCAGCAATTTATACTCACAATTGTCCTGTCAATGGTTTGTAGATACTGTCGACTAAGAGATCCCATGTCAGGCATGAAATTACGACCAATTTATACGACGCTCAACTATCAAATCCCGAACTCCGCAATGCATCTTGGGAAGCAATTCTATCAGCAGATCAACCAACTGGAAGTTCATGACTGGAAGTTCATGCTATATCCACCCGTCTTCGGATCCTGCACAAAGTTGAAGTTATCGGTCGACAGCCCAAACGGCTTAAGGAATCCATTACCAAGCTATATCCCGTTAGCATGTCAATAAGTAACTTCGAAAAGCATCGACTTACATCCTTGAGCTTCCCCATCATCTCCCCCATCTCCTTCTCCCTCGCTTGACCGATCTTCGCAGGTAGCTCCCGAAGAGCCTTCTGCACAACACGCCTATCATCCGGCGGCAAATTATCCATCGCAGCCAGCTCCTTATAGTCCTCTTCCGCCCCTTGCAGGTTCCCCCAGCCGCCGAGCTGCATTTTCGCCCGCGCCCGACGCATAAGCGCCTTTGCGCGAATACGCAGCACATCCCGTTTCTTCTCATCCTGCTTTTGTAACCGCTTCAATTCTTCCTCGGCCTCGTCATCGTCACCCGTTATCTCGACCACGGCGTCTTCGCCACTCGACTCTTGCGGCTGCTTTCCCTTGGCACCCTCCGCATCGACTGCCCCTGTCGCAGGAGGAACCACCTTATCCAAGCGGTCTATACAGGCAGTCGCTGCGTCGACGGACGCTTTCCAATCTTCAAGTTTCAGATAACAAGCGGACATGTTGCTTCGCAGGACGGCGACTTCGTAGTCGAGGTAGTTGGGGCATGAGGCGAGGGCGCGGTCGTAGCACGAGATGGCTTGGTCATAGCAGGCTGCGGTAAATAATTTGTTGGCTTCGGCTTTAATGGTATGGGATTCTTCTAGGAGTCGCTAGTTTTCGTAGCCATATTAGTATGCTGCTGCTGGTGAGGGGCAAAGACGTAACCTCACCGTTTCTTCTTCAGCGGGGAAGCGCGCATCGTGAAACACGTCCTCTTCTTCACCGTCACTGTTAGCCGCAGTATCGGCTTTTTGTTTCGTATCGTTCGTCATCTTTGTTCTGATTGTTTCTAGGTTGACCAACTGCTTGTGTTTCCCTGGTGGTTTGTTCTGGTGGTTCCAGAAGCTACTTGCAGCTCCGCGGAGTCGGCGAGTCGGGAGTCGGAGATGCCGCTGCCCCTCCCTGCCTTAGGCACTGACTTCCCCTCCTGCCGATCTCCGATATTCATTAATCGTTAACGGTCGAGGCGCATAATCGCTGTCAACCATCATCCCTGAACTGTTTGTCCTCGCATTTGAATATCCGAGGAGACTATCTGCACCATGCCTAACTCAGCCCAAAAGTATGGCTTTGAAGCCCCCGTCAATAAGTCGCAATTAGCTGATTGATACCCAGTCTACCCCGCGTGCGGGCATGTCTCTTCGACATGGATGGCCTGCTCATCGACTCGGAGGACAAGTACACGGATATCACCAATGCCATTCTTCAGGAGTATGGAAAGCCTCTGCTCCCGTGGTCTATCAAAGCTCAATTGCAGGGTCGTCCTCAACCAGACGTATGTAGATTCCCTTTCCCCCCCCCCCCCCCCCCAAGTTCCCCGTTGCTGTTTATGCCCTTCACATATCGCTCGAATCGCAAATACCTTAACCGCCATTTTCAAACCCTCTGTGTTCAATCCTCTGACTGTTCATTCTAGGCCAGTCGTATCTTCCACCATTGGGCCCAACTCCCCATCTCTCCTGAAGAATACGCCGCGAAGCAATCCGCCCTTCAGGAGAAATTCTTCCCTCAATCCCAGCCCCTCCCGGGCGTCAGGGACCTCCTCGCCAAGCTTGTTTCCACCCAAACTACCGATCAGCCCGTGCATCTAGCCCTTGCCACATCTTCCCACAGCCGGAACTTCAAGCTGAAGGCCAGCCATCTGGGCGACTTGTTCTCCGCATTCCCGAAATCCCAACAAGTGCTGGGCGACGATCCCCGCATCGGCAAGGGACGGGGAAAGCCGCTTCCTGATATCTATCTGCTCGCGCTTGAGACCATCAACACGAATCTGCGCGAGAAGGGAGAGACTGAGATCAAGCCCGAGGAGTGTCTGGTCTTTGAGGATGCGGTGCCCGGTGTTGAGGCCGGTCGGAGAGCTGGTATGCGTGTTGTTTGGGTCCCGCATCCTGGTTTGTTGGAGTCGTATAAGGGACGTGAGGATGAGGTGTTGGCTGGGCTTACGGGGGAACATAAGGAAGCGGAGAAGACTGAGCCGGAGCGTGAAGCGGACGAAATCGTCGCCGGTCGGTTGAAGAGTGCCGGTAAGCCCGGTGAGATTGGTGATGGGTTGGGAGAGTTGTTGCCTTCTTTGGAGAATTTCCCGTATGAGCGTTATGGAATTAAACCTGCGTGAATTCATTTCTGCCTACCGGGCTATAGACATGAAGTTTCTGGCAATCTGATAAATTACAGCCACGTCAGGTGAAGATGTGATACCCGTGAGAAAAGAAGAAAAACTATGTACCCCGAGGGATAACGCAGAAGCAAATAGACTACGATTACTGAGAAGCAGAAAATCAAATAAAGTCAGATATGTGAGAAAACAGCAATAACAGAAAATCAAATCCCAGAAGCAGCAAATAAAATCAAATGCGCGATAAAAAAAAACATCTCAGAAAAAAAGAAACGGAAAAAGAGATATTGAGCACCAGAACTCTTACAAAAACCGGCGAAAAATCATGTACCTGAGAGAAAACGAAGAAGAAACTAAGATCAAAGCAAAGTGAAGCAAAAAACAGTGCATGAGGCCAGCTCAGCACCGATTAATCAAAAGTGTCGACCAATCTGCCGTACACATGAGCTTCAATTTCGCAAAGCGCGCACCTCTTGAATGTGGTCTTTCGAAACAATGTAACAGAGAATTCTGAGTGTAGAGCCAAAGCGAAATTATCCCAGTCATGAGAAAAGAAGAAGAAGACGATGTTATTCCAAAGGCAACGCCAGAGCGCGGAAAGTTTGGAGATGTGTATTAGACTGGGGTATCACAAAACACCTACAACAGCCAAAATCCCGGTAATATCGTAGCTCGTGAATTCATAGACCAAGTCAGATGTGATAGATTAAGGTATGTCTAGATGGGTTGGGTCGTGTCGGCGTCATATGTATGGTGTGGCGGAGTATGTTCATGTAAATCGAGATTCGAGAGATGTATTCGTGCCATGCCAATCCTGCTGTTCGGTTCTTTCTGTTCGTAAAAGCCCGTGATCGTCGTAGTATTCGTAAAATTGATTATTGACAAGCAACTTGTGCTGTCGCGCGCATCCTCCGAGTAGAGTTATGTGTTCTCCGGAGTAGATCGAGTGTATCATAACGAGCACCATGTGCTGTCGCGTTGCTGTCCGATGTTCGAGAAGGTTGTTGAGTAGTGTGTTGACAAGCAACTGGTGCTGTTGAGTCCCTTTTCCTTTCGTATGAGCCTATTAGATGATCTTCTGACGACAAGTAGTCATGTTTGTGGTACAATTAATGCTGCCGCTTGGCGGAAGGAGAAGTGTCTTCGGCATCTGATTCTTCTCTTCTGCGTTTGCGTGTACCTGATCCAGTGCCTGGCACCTGTGTTTGAGGTCCCATATGGGTTTGGTGTCCCATTTGGGGTTGGCTGCCCATATGGTGTGGGTTGACCATCCGTGATTGGTATCCCATTTGTGGGTATGACATGGTTTCAGGAGCAACTTGATTCTGATTCGCCATCAAATTACGTAGCAACAAGTTGTTAAGGGTTTGTTCTGGGTCATAAGGAGAAGGAGAAGCCTGAGTGGTCGGGGGCATTGTGACGGAGCCGGCATTTGTTCTTGGATGCGAGGTTGGGCCACCCATCATACGGTTGTGGTATGCTTGAGCAGCGGCAATTCTGTTCAGAGGTGCCGAGTGGTATTGCACTGGACCCAGTCTGACTTGGTTAACAGGTGTTGGAGTGCCTGCGCTCATCGGCATTTGGTATCTCGCTCTGTTTGCCGGGGCCATGAGGTTCACCGGCTGGGTCATATGGGTTGGAGTGGCAGGAGGTGGGTTTCTTCCGGTCGCTGCAATGCTTCCGGGATTGTTGTTTGGAGTCATTGCAACACCGGCGTTAGTCACTGCAGGCACGTTGGCCATGCTCGGCATGGTAGATGCTGTGGGCATTGCAGGGGCGGCAACCTTAACCGACTGGCTGATTGCGTTAGATTCAGCTGCCTTTTTGGCACCAAGAACTTGCTTGCCCGCATTCATCACTTCCCCCTTGCGCTTATTCAGTGTCTTATTCGCAATGACACGCTTATAGGCAGCCTGCGGATCATCAACAAACTGATGCATGTATGGAGCATCTAGAAGATGTTTGCAAATTGTTTTTTGGGTTTCGAGGCAATTCAGGACTCTAGTCATACGTTCGGCGAACGTCATCAAATCGCTCGTAATCTTTTTCTTCAGTCCATGAACTGCCAACAATGAGCCCGAGATTTGTCTGGTAATAACGCAGTCCTAAAGGCAATGTTAAATCCCCCTACACAACAGTACTGCCTGACTCCACGACTTACCAGTATCTCCCAGCAGACACACTCGACCCTCTCGGCGCTATACTTGCCCTCTTTGAATGGCTTAATCATTCCGGGGTTGTCTTCGGCGTTCTGGGTACTGAACATTGCCTTGGTGAGGGCCCTAACAATCGCCTGTTTCTGGAGATCATTGGTGGGCAGGGTTGTATCCTCTCGAACACCATCCTGCACCGGACGGGCTGCCCTGGCTTCTTCGACTGAAGCATACAATGTACTGCAGTCGATGTTATAAACTTCAGGGTTCATCAGCTGCTCGATCAGTGGAACGAAGCTTGGCTGTAGGTTATGGACAGGGGCTGGAGCGGTGACGACCGGCTGGCCAGACATATCAACTGGGATGGTGGCTTCGCTCTGAACAGCGGCCAAATGATACGCATGGGAGTGTGTGTTCTGCTGCACAGAAAACCCGCTTCCTCCTGATGAGCCATCTTGATTAAATTCCTCGGCTGTCCCAAGCTGGCCAGGCAGATAGTCGGGTGGGCTGGAGTTCATCGGTCCAGATCCAGACTCTGGCGAAGACCGGATCACTCTGTTATTTTGACTGGCAACCTGCTGAGAAGAGAAGATACCCTGGCACGCCTGAGTCCCTTGCTGGGGTGTAAATCCAATGCCATGATTACCGGTGATCTGATGCCCAGCAACCTGGCTTCCAAAGATCTGATGTCCAGTAATCTGGTTGCCGGTGTTTTCGCTTCCAGTGTTTCCAGTAATCTGATCCACAGGCGAGGATGCTTTGCATCTCTGGGAGGTACCAGAATTGCGCGAAGAGCCAGAATTAGATCGGTTTCTATCGACTTGGATTGTCGGCATAACTGGTCCCTGGGGCCCACCAGCAGCATGAACTGGCTGCGAAGGAGGAGTGCTCTTTTGAGAGCCATCTGAAGAGCCATTCTGTTTTCCGATTACATTGCCGAATGTGCTTGCGGCCTGCTCAGTGGGTGTGGAATTGTATGAGCCCCTCGAGGCACTATCCACCTGATTGTCCAAAGCATTTTCCAAAGCATTTTCCACGAGGTTGTTGGAAGCATTGTTCGCATAGTTGCTGGAAGCGTTGTTCACATAGTTGTTGTTGTTGTTGTTGTTCTCGGCATTTCTCAAAAGGTTGTTTCCAATATTTAGAAAGGCCTCATTGGCTTCGTCATTGTCATATGAGGCGCCCGAGTTGTTAACAGCAGTACCAGCAAAACCAAAAAAATCCATTGGGCTGAATCCCATCGGTAGGGTTTCGCGCGTCTGCTTCAGAGTATTCTGCTGAACGCCATTCATAGGAACGCTGATAGGCGCCCTTCCACGAGCGAACATGGTAGAAGCTAAGCCAAGGGCTTCTGGGCCCTGCAGACCTACCATAGTCTGGTTTTCAGGCATGGATCCAGATTGTACAGCCGTGGAATTGGATTGCCCAGTAGTACTAGGTTCCATGTTATTGGCAGCCGCAGTCTGATCAAAGCTCCCGACATTATCAATGGGGTTGGTTTGATTATCATCCATTGCAGGCAATGCCCCGTCGTGGATGCTTGCAAAAAGACTGGGTTCCGAACCGAACGAGGTCATTGGCCAAACTGGGTCCATGTTCATTCCCATAACGAATGGATCAAAACCTCCATCTTCACCAACGTCCTGCGCTATGAAGGTGCTTGGAAGGTCTTGTGAAAAGGTTTGAATATTGCCAGTAGACCCCACCGGTGCTGCAAAGAAGTCGTCAAGCCTGGCATATAATGTTAGGATATGTTGGCGAAAAAGGACAAGAACAAGTGAACGAGTACTTACTGGATACCACCTTGCCCAAGCAACTCGTTATAGGCCTCTGCGTTATTCGAATCTGTAAGTGTCAAATCGCTCGCCAGTCCACCTGTTGGAGAAAAGGTAGCCATTTCAAGAGAAAGACCAATACTGGTCCTTTGCTGGACACGGAATCCAAAGACTCGTTCCTAAACGCGTTCTTGAAAGCTCCAGAAGCAGGAATAAACAAAGACAGATTGACCAAGCTGATGGTGTAGACGGAGATGAGTGACTAAATCCGACTTGTCCTTAGGGTAACAGTATGCTTGTGAAGCAAGATCTTTAGCTGATCGCAAGAAGCTCTGTACTCTGAGGAATGAGGATCTGTAGACACGAGGAATATGGAAAGAATAGAGGAGGGAAGGGGAGAGAAGTTAAGTACTGTGTGAAAACTCAAGCATTTTGTGAATTTTGCATGCTATTCACCACCTGTGAATGGAATCACAAGTGCATTAACACACTGGCCTTTGAGTAGGGAATCGGGATCCACTGGGCTGTAGAAAACTCCATAGTAAAAGCCAAAAAGCAGAAGCCAGGGCAAGCTACCCCATTTCCAGGCAACAAGAACACTGAAATTGGAAAATGTAACTGGTAGAAGGCTCAAATTCATTCTATCTGTGTTTGGTAGACACAATGGTAGACGTGACCGGATTCACAGGATTCACGTTCACAGGTTCCCGTTCACAGATTCACGTTCACGTTGATGGAGGGGTTGCCTAAATTCACACATTCACAAAGTGCAGGTGAAACAGCGTGAATCTGTGAATTCCTGACATCCTGTGGGAAAATCCAACTTTCGAAGAGTTCCTTGGGCTGTCTGAATCCATGGCACGAGTAACCCATGGTCCTCTGGTCCCCTATTCTGTTCCAGAGTGAAGTATATCTTCGGCCGGTAGATATGCAAGCATTTTATAGTAGTATGGTCTATTATTTGCTGCTGCTGCTGCTGCTGCTGCAGGAACCCGGCGCTAGAGATACTAGCCCCTGATCGCCTTCATGCACCCATAGCTCGAGGCCTTGATGTTTGAAATCCCCAGCGCCCGGCTGTTGCAGCGTTGACAGATAGGGGGTATGTCGGTCATCTGAAAAAATTATGTGCGCAGACAGCATATACCACTCTATGACGTCCAACAAGCCCCTTTCAGTCGTCATCGCTGTTCGCATTTAGAAGTGGCATATACCACACCTTCAAGCTGTTGTCAATATCAGGCATAGGTGGTAAGCTGGCGTCGTCGATGTCTTTTTCGAAGTGCCGTTGACCTGAAGTTGTGGCAACTATATTCCCCATTGGATGCAATACAGTACTGCTCACAGTGTCTATATTCTATATTAGCACAGATGTCCTTGTCCTTCATCGGGAAGCACACTTACCGTTATGAACCTTCCATTCCCACTTGGGATCCTGAGCACCACTAGCATGTGTAGGGTTCTGCCACACCCTCATGCAGCCATCGGTTCCGCCAGCCCAGATCTCATGCGAGCCGTTTTCTCCACTGGGGAATACATCGATTTTCAACCGTTGATTTGTGAAAGCTTTGCGGCCCTGCAACCATCCAAGCAGTTGTCCAGTGACTCGGATATCATATACTAAGACTCCATCACTTTTCCGTTCAGCAACGTAGAGGTACCTTCCGCAGGGGCTCCACAGCAGTTGAGTGATTCCACGGCCGCCAATATGACGGTGGGCTTCTGTTTTCGATATGCTGAATGTCCCTAGGGACTCCCCTGTTCCATGTGCACCATAAAGTCCGACATGTCTGGTGAAGGTTCCAGCAGCTAAAATACCAGCTCCTGTCGGATCCAGGGCCATGGCAGAGATGATTCCTTTCATTCCCACGCCTCCACCCACCTGTTGCTTTCTTTTGCTTGGTATTGTCGGCATGGAAGTGACAGGTCCATCGTTACCCGGTCGAGAGACATCAAAGAGGCAAATCAGGCTGTCTGAGCCAGTGAGAAATTGGCTCCCTCCCAGGGCAGATGGATAAATCATTGAATGAGGCGTTATGAAGGCTTCTGTCATTGGGTTTACCAGAGAATAAGTCGCCACAGAAGTCGGAGCAAGAGCAGATGTCAATCTGATTGGATGGTCTCGAACAGATGAGAGAAATAATGTCGTCGACGGGTCCTGAAGGGAGAAGAAAGGGTACATGGCAGTCGCATAGGTCGGTTCTGCTGACGGCAAGACAGAGTATGGCGATAAGCCGCAGGGAGAGGCCGTGTCTTCTAGCATATCAGGTGGTCTGTAGAGTTTTGGTCAGGCTATGTTGACAAGAGGAGAGTAGGTTTTACTGACAAGATCCAGGTTCTGATATGGTGATCGGAGGAATCCGTCAATAAAGTGGTTCCATCCGCCGACCTGAATTTCAAGATTAGCCAAGCTCTGATAGTGACACCTGGAGCCTTACCATTCTGCGCCCTTGAAATATGTTGTATTAGGGTTTTGGCCGAGACTGCGCTTCTCATTTGATTGTAGGGAGGTGGAGTCTTGAGAATTTAGAGAATGACTTGCAAATCCTGGACAATGCTCATCACCCTCCTGACGGGTAGAGGCAACACAGATAGGCCCTTGTTCTTCAGTCATTCTGGGAGCTGAGGTTTCTCATATAGTAGCAAGTTGAAACAATCAATAAGAATCTGAAATGGCCGGAGGCGCTTTAAAGTAGTGGGTGGAGCAAAGGATTGAAAGTCGCTACCCTTTGTACTCAATTCCAAATGCCCTAGAACTGAGTATCTTGTAACATAAGGAACATTTAATTGAGTATCGTGGAATAGAGGCAATGAGATGACAATTGGAGAAAATCAAATGATGAGGTTATCGCGGACTACATATGTGAATTAGCTTCTACAGTGCCTGCAGTGGGAATCAAGAGGAATGGCACCCTGCGGTGAAGTGTAAAGTGATGAGATTATGCCGCTGAGAAATACTCCCTCAGTCCTTCTTCATCATAGCGCTTAAAATGAAAAGTCGCAATCGATATTCATCGGGAATATTTTAATCAAATTATTGTTGGTGGTTATGCTGTGTTTAGTTAACTAGTCCTTATCGATAACGCTGATTAATCTCGGACCGGCAAATCTTTCCCCATCCAACACTAGCCGGGGAGGATCGTCTTGATTGTTGTTTTCCGACGTCGCAACTCGCTCCAGCTCCTGTGGACATTGTGCTGGCACAAGACCCTTTTGACGGGCGCAACAAAGGTTCTTGTCGCGTTAATCCTATCAAAATTCGCTCGACACCTGAACCTTCGGTTTCATTCCCAGTCTAAACTGCCCATCATGTTCGGTACAAAGCCTGCGGGCACATCAACCGGCCTGTCCATCAACACCGGTTCTGCCAATTCTCTATTGTAAGGTTTTCTTTCCTGTTGAGTCTGTTAGTGGATTTATGGTGTCATCTTGGTTTACGCTTGTACGACGTGTCTAAACTGCAATTGCTTCGTCTCATTCCTTTTGTATTTCCGGCCCTCACTCAAGCCTCGAAGAGCTAACAAAGTTGCCTTATCAGTGGCTCTGGAACCAATACGCAGACTAGCACTACTACAACACCGGCGACCACTACTACCTCGGGCGGGCTTTTCGGTAACCTTGGAAATACTGCGACTCAGTCAAAGCCGGCCGGTGGCCTATTTGGAAACGCCGGCGGCGCTACACAACAATCTCAGCCTACCGGTTCGAGTCTGTTTCCGGGATTAGGTGGCCAGCAGTCGAATACTACTTCAACTGGTGGAGGTCTGTTTGGGAACTCTACTGCGACGACTTCGCAGCCACAGTCAGGTGGTCTTTTCTCGGGAGCCACGACCACGACCAACACACAAAGCGGGAACACCGGTGGAGGACTGTTTGGCAACTTGGGCGGTAACACCGCAAACCAGACGCAATCAAAGCCACTTTTCGGTGGACTTGGGGGTTCTACAACTACTGGCGGGGGCCTATTGTAAGTGATATTCCTGCCCACAACAATAGTCAAGGCTCATGCCAACCATCACAGTGGAGGCGCCAACCAAACTAGCGCGCAGCAGCAGCAGCAACAAACACAGAAGCCTACTCTGTCTTTATTCGGAAACCAGAATACCACAACGCAACCAACGACACAACCCACGGCAGCGGCCGGGACAACGGTCATCCCTGGGGTCAAAGTCGATATCAGCAACATTCTTCCCACAACGAAATACGAGAGCTGCGCAGATGAGATCAAATCGGAGTTGGAAAAGTTTGATAACTTTGTCCTTAACCAAATCAAGATCTGCAATGAGGTTGCGAATATGATACCCACCATCGCCGGCCAGGGAGAGACGATTCCCAATGACGTTGAGTTTGTCCAGGGAAAATTAGAGACAATGCAGCACGCACTCGAGAATGACGCAGGTGACATTGATCAGCTGCGTAATCTTGTGTCTCGCGACGCGGCTGAGGCTCAAGTTGCATTCCGAGCGATTGATACCTTGAAGTTGCCACTGCAGTATCAATCTACCGGTGGGGCTGGATGGTGGTCTCAAGATCAGAAGATGTCAGATGGACAAGCATTGAGATCTACGCGCAAGAACACTCTAGCTCTCCCGGACGATGTTGAAAGCGACCCGTCCACTGCCACATCTGTGAACGGGGTACCCGTCAACTTGGTTGACTACTTCTCTCAGCGCTCTGACGAGATGGGAGAGGTCCTGGAACGCTACACACGAAATTTGAAAGAGATTGAAGACCACCTTCACGGAGTTGAGGCGACTTTGGAACGACAGATCCATGACTTTGTGACATCTCGTAGTCGAGATGGAGCAGCCGCTGGAGCCCCCAAGTCCATTGTCAGCGAGCTTGCCACCGTTCTAGGCGATGTTGAGGCTGGCATACTAGGCGTGGCCAGCCGTCTCGGTGGAGTTACCGAGCAAGTGCAAGAGGTGGTTCTGGGCCCGCCCTCTGTTTCATGAATGTCTGGAAGTCTGTGCATTGACATCACAACATCGTCTTCATGTAAATTACGGATGGATTTAGATTTGATGAAGCATACCTAAATTCGCTACATATGAGGCGAAACTTGATACAAATTCGGCTTCTTGCCAAATTCTCTGATCCGACTATTCGCTAGTGGCCACGACCCCTCGACCACCCTGCCTATGACCGCGCAGAACGGCGTCGCTGAACTGGATGTGAAGCATCTGGGAGATGACAAATGAGGATACCATCATAAGCTCAATAGAAAGCTAGTTCAAATCGCATAGTTACTTAAGGCTCGAATGAGTCATGTTCAATAATAATACTACTACCAAAGCATGGCATGCATATATGGCAATTGTAATAAGCATCAGAGTGACTCATGTCTGCGGTTGTTGGTAATCATCCCTCCGTACTCCGTACATGCACGTAAATCCGCCGTGACAGATTGAAGCGGCTCGCCAGGGGTCATGCTGGAGAAGGCGGTGAGGGTGAAGAATGCCAAGCTGCCTGTTCGGCGCAAGACGCAAGAGGACGGCAGACTGGCGTGATCGCACCTAATCCTTCGGCTAACGTCACCCTATTCCCCCGGTTTCCAGCTTGACCCTCCTGAAGGAGGGAGGCCCTTGAGGCAGGGGAGTCCGTTTATTCCCGCTGACAAGGGTCTTCTGCTGGAATGTTCGAAGCTTACAATGAAGTATTTCATATGGCCACCTTAAAATGTCGTTCACAAGACAGCCTGGCATACTCCGTCCTGCTATCTCAACATGATGTACCTGTGGGGTGTTTCCCCATACTCACTCTCGCACCCCAATACGGTATATGGATCCGTTTCCATGTACTAGTGACATTCTAGAACCCTACATACGTATGTGATTCGCGACAGATCAACTTAGCTCAAGGAAGCGGTGTGACGCCTCCGGGTCTTCCCAGATAAGCGGGAGATCTGACCCGACGCGGAGCGTCACAGAATGTCTCCACAACTGTTGCCTTCGAATGACGCGATCTTCGCTGACACCATCCTCGGACCCGCTATTGTTTGGGGGAGGCTCCTCCGAAACGTCGTTCTGTGTCCCCATGGATACATAGTTGCTTGATCAGCCGCTTGGGTGATATTCTCCAGCGATGGTGCAATACCCGCCTGTCCCGAATTTTGGGCAATGCTTGATTGTGTCCGGCTATCTCTCCCCTTGACGATGGAGTGGAGGATGTGGCCTCTTCGTTCTCTTGTTGTGCTCTTATTCCTATATAAACCCAGATTCTTTCATCCTGCATCGAATATCGGTCCTTGTGTCACTTAAGTCCCCATTCAAACACATCTTGTTAGTATCGTTCTCACAAGCATATTTGTACATCACAATCAACTTTGCCGCATAAACCATGGCGCCATCACTCGTGGACCCCGTGGTAACCCACCCAGTCGGCCGCCTTCCCGTAATTAAGAAGGAAACCACAGATGACAACAAATTTGGTTACCAGCCAGGCCGAACTGTTGTGGAAAATCATGACAACTATCAGTACCAAGACCTTCTCCCTACTTTCCCTAATCTTCATTGGCCTCCGCTAGAGGAGACACCGTATGAGGATAGGGGTATCTATGGAGACGCCAAGTTCCGAAATCTACTCCAAGACGCAACAGACGTCTTTGATTACACCCCCAAGATTGGAACCGAGGTTCACGGAGTGAATCTGGCGAAGCTGAATGATGCACAGAAGGATGACTTGGCTCGTTTGGTAGCTGTTCGCGGTGTGGTTTTCTTCCGAGGACAGGATGACTTGGATATCGATGCCCAGCGTGAGCTGGGTAGACATTTTGGGAAGCTTCACAAGGTATGCATGGTCTGCATAAAATTATAATAGTTTACTTCTAACATCATTGCTTTCCAGCACGCAACCACGTCTGTCCCGAAAAGAGAGGGCTTGGAGGACGTTCACGTCGTCTACACCGGAGACAACTCCACTGACCAGCGAGCAATGTTCACACCCAGTTTCCTTTGGCACTCAGACGTGTGGGCTTCCCTTGCTTGTGACCCCGGATATTTGGCTGATAAGATATACTAGGTTACGTATGAAGTCCAGCCTCCCTCATACACATCGCTCAAGGTCTTGACCGGCCCGCCACGGGGAGGTGGTGGTGATACGCTCTGGACATCACAATACGCGGCATATGATGCACTATCTCCTCACATGCAAACATACCTCAAGGGTCTGACTGCTCTACACTCGGCGGATATGCAGGCCTCTGATTCGCATGCTCTTGGTCGACCTGTCCGTCGGGATCCGGTTACCACAGAACACCCTCTTATTCGGACGAACCCTGTCACTGGCTGGAACAGTTTATTCTTCAATCCTGGCTTCGTCACAAAGATTGTGGGAATCCCTAAGACCGAAAGCGACGCTATCATCAGATATCTCACCGAAGTTATTGCGACAACTCAAGAGATGCACGCGCGATTCCAGTGGAACAAGAATGATGTCGCTATTTGGGACAATAGGACAACTGTGAGTATCATGCCTCTCGCAGTATCTCTGGGCTATAAGCTAACTATTGATAGAACCACTCTGCCTCTTATGGATTCGCTCCTCACCGTCGTCATGCTGTTCGCGTCTGCTGCCACGCAGAGCGCCCCGTCTTGGATCCGGCAGGAAAATCGCAAGAAGAGGAATTCATTGCTCTTTACAACCTGCCTCCTGTTAACAAGGATGGCTCCCGCCAGTCTAATTACAATGACTGATCCACCAAGACTGGCAAATTATTTGCGTATTCTGGATGTTTAGCGTGATTTAAGGTTTTGAGGGAACATGAGAGCTGGCTCTCGGGACTTTCGATCTGATATTTAGATAATTAGCGATACATTTCGGCGTCTTGAAACTTAGGAGTACATTAATCCGGGCTAATACAATTCAAGTCATACTTTCCCACCTTCAAGCTACTAGTATTGAAGTGTCTGCATAAGACACGTGCTTCTATGTGTCAAATTGTCAGTACCAAATTACTTCTAGCAAGACCATCACAAGTTTGTCACGAACCATACGACCAGTGTCTTCATCTCCATGGCAAACTCGCACCAAGACTTTCTACTCCAATATGCCCGTTTCCACGGCATAGCTACTGATTATACAGATCTTGACCCCCTCCAACATATTGACGACATTTGTGATATCCCTCCCAATTTTCTCCACCCACCTGAGGATGCTTTCTCAGTTATTGAACAAAACATCGCATCCAGCCAACGAATCATCGAGCAGAATCTACGTCACGAAAAGCTCGATATCAGAAAGGAAGGCCTGCAGTTTCTCTCGTCAGTGCTTCGCGACATCAGACGAGACAATATTGATGACTGTTGGGAACAAGTCCTTCCTTCGTGGTATCGATATGATGATCTGAAGCTAGAACCTCCTCTCTTTACCTCTGACAATGATTCGTATTTGGCACTTCCGGCTGAGCCGCTTCGCTACTCTCGAGAAGAGAATATCTTGTGTTCAATTGAGGGACTTGCTAGCGACTACGATAGCATTTTCTCCAGTGATTTGATACATGAGGCGGATGTCATTGGGAATAGTGTTGGCAAAGAGAAGCTGGATTGTTCTAAAGACGCATTGCTTCTTATTCAGGATGCAAGGCAGGCTGGCAATCGTCCTCCAGACTTGGATGACTTGCTTCGCCCTTTTAATGACGTGGCGAAGGTATGTTTTGAAGTCCTCGCGCGCCACTTTTATTTTCCTTGCTGAAGTTGAAGACAGGAAGATCAGTTCAAGCTCCAGTCCCCGTCCCTTTTGCCTTTAAATGACGACTGCTTTCCTTGCGATAGCCCACCACCGAGTTCAAGTGACCGCATCCTATTGAGTCCTCTTCGCCATGTTTCACCCGACGTACCAACCGACGTCAATACCATGCACTATGAAGACTGCTCTGGGGCTGAAAATGATCCAAGGAGTACCGTTTCAATATTAAAGAGTGATTTGGAGGATCAGGACCCTGAAGAAATAGACAGGCAACTGACGCATGATCCATCCTTAAAATTGTTGTCATTATTCGAGCGAGATTCGCCTGGTGGAATGTCCATTGCGGATATAGACACAACCAATGAAAAAAAGCTTGAACCCGACTTTGAGCAGATCATCATGGCTGTGAAAATACCCACGAATCCAAGCAGCGTTACTTCCCAGGTGACCTACACTGAGATTACCGATAACATAGCAACATCTGACTGTTTCCCTTTTGACAACTGCATCTTGAATGAGCTTCCTTCTCGACCAAGCTACTCTCCAATGCCATCCGCCTGTAGCTCGTCTCACCAGGAAACATACGTTCACGAGTATCCAGATTGCTCAGCACAGCCAGCCTTTGAAACTCCGGTACCAGAGTTGCACCTGTTAACTCCGACAATAGAAGGAGATCTCTCTGTGACTTCCTGTCTTTCTGAAATTCTACCTGAGATTGATCACTTTATTGGCTCAAGCAGTCAATCGCTGTTGCGAAAACGGAAGTTGGACGACACTCAAGAGGATAGCAAGAAAACAGAAAATGCGGATCAGAAAGCCATTCCTTCAACAACGAAGGGAAAAACTCCTTTTAGACAAAACCCGACCACAGGTCTTGGCTCCCTATCACGGTTTATGGAAACCAGAGGGCAGGGTTCGATACGAGAAGTAGCCACCCAGAGCCATTATTTTATGGACAATAGACACATAGAAATTACTGAAAAGGAGCACGACGTATCGCTGCATACTGAAACATCAGATAACCACCCCACCCACGGCACAGCTCAGGGCCAATCTGAGATAGTCTCCTTCAACCAGCTGCAGATACCACGATGTTTGCCTGGAAATCACGAGCACATAGTTCTCTCCCTGTCAACATCACTCCTCAAAAGCCACCTACGCATCGTTCAGTGCGTTGAAAGTATGAGTCCTGCCACATCAATCATCTACAGGGAGCCTAGTGCAAAGAGCTGGAAAATGGCACCTGGAAACCGTATTCAAAACATATCTACATTGTCATCAAACTGCGACGACGAAGCTGATATAATTATCGCGCGCAAAACTGGTATCGTCTTGACCACTTCCCAAGCAACAACTCAAGTATTCCTGCCAGGTCACAAGTCATCAATAATGGGAGTTATCCCAAATGTGAACTCCCCTCTACGAGAACGCGTATTCCGACTTGCGCGAAAGTATGAAAAACTATTTGTTCTTATTTCTCATTGCAGTGGTATGACATCAAACTTGCCAGATACTGGATTTACCATTGATAAAGCCATACTGTCATCTTTGACTGCCTTTACTGCTTTTTGTAGTTCTATGGCCAACCTGAATATCTACCCTGTTTTGATACCCTCTTCCCCCGATATCATTGCAGGCTGGATCCTTGCGCTTGCTGGTAAACTTGTGAATGGCAGAAGTGATTCCTGTTGAGATGTACTACTTTTGATTCCTTTCTTCTTCTCTTCACTCAATTCTTTCGCGTTCTCTTCCTTTCTCAAACTATTAATCAGTGCACAATTCAATTCAAGCTGTGGCTGGTGGTTCTCATCTCTTGATCTCCATATTTACATCAACCATGGCCTAATTTGCATCAATATATTATGTGCTCAGATCAAAAGCCTAGGATCTTCATTTATAGCTAGATACCGTTGCCTAGCTCTTATTCATCCAGTCCTGTCTCATCCATTGGATCACTCTTACCTATTCACATCACACGCTCACACATCTTTGGTATGGCCTTGAAGCAATCATTCTATTGAGATAGTAGTAGCCTATGAGTGCTGCCTAATTCAGGAACATTCTAATCATAGTAGTACTTCGGGTGCTAATGTTATTGGTAGCTGCTTGGGTTACTATGATTATGAGACTATATAGTAAATAGCGCTGTATGGGATATTTCATTGGTCTTGGGTCAAATAGATAGTGTATCTTGAATGCTAGTGATAACATATGATAGTTTCAAGAGGTCATCATACATGGAGCGGTGCGCGTTAGCAGTAAGGTATCAAATAAGTGTCATGTTGATCCATATTGGGGGCTTCAATGACTGCTCCGGCTCTACTGAATATATTCTATTTGAAACGAGTATGATACTAGAAATCACAATTGGTCAAGCAAACAAGTTGAGAACCGCTATGATCCTACATTCTCCTCGTTCTCGGTACTTGTAATGCCATGTTAGTATGTCTATATGATTGTACTGTCAAAGAAAGATCCTAATCTAGGACAGTTTGTGGGACTGTGTCTCTGGCTATGAAGTTGCATGCCGATGTTTCCTCTTCTCGTTGGGTCTCGCGTGTCCAGGAGAGTATCAGATGGGCCAGCCTCAGCTTGGAAACGCTGTAGCATTATACTATCATGCGGTAGTGCTGTTCTTCCAGTTGAAGGGCGTGACAGACCCACGAGACGCGTTCGATGTTGCGGTGTTGCGCCAGGCTGATCGTCTATGCAGTGTCAGCAGTTGCAACCTGAGGCTCAAGGCTCAGGAGCATACATACATTTGCTCCGGGAGTCTATAGGACGACTAGGCGGTGGCATTGCAGCGATGTCAGTTTTCTGTTTGTTGCCTTTTGAACTACCAGTTCCGCTCCGTTGATGGCGATGTAATTGTTCCATGCCTTCCTGGTTGACGGGATATACGTTCAATTGTCTAGACATTGGAGTGTGAGGAGGCCTCGATGACTCTGAGTGTCCGGGTACAAGCCCGGTTGGATTGTTTCGAGAGGCCGTTAGCGAATCTAGCGCTTGGGACACGGTATCTGTTGCAGCGGTCTGCATTTGGGATCGCATTGCTCGGGATTTGAGTATGTTGTATAGGTTTGTCATTTGTGTGAACTTCTTGCACTTTTCTCGATACATATCGACAAGTTCTTGGTTCTTCTTGCGAAGTTGGTCCTGTGCTGCCTCCATATCTGATTTATTGTCAGGTATGTTTCATTCAGGCACTCCCATACTGTGGACAGGCTGACCTGATATTCTGGCTTGTAGGGCTGATATCTCCGAGTTCGCGTTGTGTACAACCTTGTCCAATTGTGTATTCAGGTTGGTGTACTTTTCTGTCAATGTCTTTGCGAGAAATTCCTGGTAGAAACTGTGGCTTGTTAGTAGACATCTAGGGTAGTTACGGCTAACAACGAACGCACATTTCCTGAGTAGTCTGGTATGTCCAGAAGAGTAATGCCCGTCCCGCGCACTCCATTATTGTATTCGGATCAAGCCCGCTCAGAACACTGGTCTTGTAGTCTTCCGTTGGGTTGAGGGCCGTTGCTACCGCGTCGTCGGGGTTCACGAGAACGGTCTGACAGGCTGGACAGCTTCGCTCATTTGCTGTGGGATGCGATAGACCAAGGCTTCCTGCGCAATGGAGACAGAAGATATGTCTCGGACGCTCAGCGTGTTGTTCTTTAGTTTGAAAGTCGTACAAGGGATACTTGAGATGCAGCAGATGGAGTTACTCACGAACAGGTGGTGACGACTGCCCTCTCCTTCAATGGTGCTCGACACTTCAGAGAGTTGCAACGTAGGTAGAAATCCATGCTGAATATCTCGAATACCTCCGCGGAAGGAAGTCAGAAGACTTGGTTAGAGAGATGTTCAGGCGTGGATGGAGGTTGAGCTAAGATGGATATCACACAACATCATGGCTCAATATGGAAACTGCCGCGGGACCAACCAAGTCGCTCATATAGTACTACCAGGTTATTATGATGTACGAATAAGCTATGGTTTTATTGGGTATCTCAGGAATATACATCATCTATGGTCTCAACGCTCTTATTTATATCAGCCACGCCATAAGCTTCACGCCGAATATGTTTAGAAAAAGAACGTATTTCCAGAAGCATCACGCCTCGTCGTCCGCATCTTCTCCTCAAACTCGGGCCCCGGTTCATATTCTCGCCAAAGACTAGCCGGAAAGATGTGTTTGTTCCGCTCATACCATCGTCTATCAACCACTTTGGTCAAAGAGGGATCTTTATCAGCACCCTCTAGTTGGCTGCTTTCCGGGCGCGATAAAGGATCGTCTGTTGAAGGCGCCGGAGGTGGTTTGTTGGAATAATCGAACAACAGACCACCCGCCTTTGTGAAATCGGGTACACTGTTGGCGATGAAATAATAAAGTTCATAATGCTGTACCAGTCAGCGTATGCAGCCATGCGGAATAGTGGAACACATACATGTGGAACGATTATTTCTCCTTTGACCAACATGAGGTCATCAACACTGACTCGAGCCCACTCGCGACGATTGTCTTTGCGAGCCTTGGATGCTCCGCTGTTACCGCCAACACCCAATTCTGCTCCAACCTTTCGACAGCGGTCCAAGAACAACCAAACGGGATCGCCTTTCTTGACCCTGACTGTCCCTGCAGGGATGTTGGTCCCATCGAAGAATATAAAGGGGATTAATATCTCGGTATTCTTCACGGCTTCCTGCATGGCAAGGAACTCCTTGCGGAGCGCATCCCGTGCCTCTGCCTCTGCCTTCAATGCAGCTTTTGTCATTGCTTTCGGAGGAGGCGGGGCATTTGGGTTCGGCGTAATGCGACGTGATGAGGGCGCAGAGCTGTCGTCGGCGGGGGTCCTGGAAGCAGAGCGGGGAATACTCGAATCCCGCGGCGTTGCCGCTACATCAGCGGTGCTATCGTTCTCTTCCTCCTCATCGTCATCGCCGAATGAAAGTTTACTCTTGGTGATAGGCTTCTTTTTCTTCTTCTTCGGCGGGCCCTCGCTGCGTGGCGTCGAGTTGCTATACGCTTTGCGATCAGTTACAAGCCGGGATTTCCTGGAGATGCGCTGTAACTTACCCGTCAGACACTTCACCAGTCGAAGGAGTTGCACTTCTGGAGGTGAACCTTCCTAGGGATTTGTCATGGGCTTCGCGCTCTTTTTGCTCTAAGACCTCGGCGCGACGTTTGCGAAAGTCGGAAAGATGGACGAGACCAACTGTCTGCGATTTAAGCAGATCTTCTGCTGACGCAGTCTGGCTGGTAAACGAGCGTGGAGTCGAGCTATGGCTCGGCTGTTCGGATTGTGACATTTTAATATCGACTTTGTTCTCAGAGAATCAAAGAATAGACGTCGAGATTGGCGATAAATCTCACATGAATGCGACTGACGTACTGGCACGTGATGTCCAAGGTTGCCGGATCGGGAACAACCACAACTCGCCTGCGCCTTGAGGAAAGAAATACTCTCGTCAATTGTTGTTTTTTATGCTACATTCTTGCTCTACTTCTTTTGGCAGGATAAAATCTGCGAGTTTGAAAATCTTTATCATTTTAGATTCGCGACTTTAGTATCCCAGCCAACCAGCAGCACAAGAACAAACAAATCAAAGCCGACGACCTTCGAATCTCCGCAGGATCGCCGCCGACAGAAACGCATCCCGTCACTTCTCCTACCTTTCTACATTTACTCGGTCGCAGATCCCAAACATGATGATGGAAGACGAAGATGATGATTTTTATGACCCCGCCGATGCGGTGCCTGTAACTCAGCATCAAAACGGGTCTCAGCATCCCCAGGCAGATTCAGGACCCCACGACGCCAATGATGCGGAAGAGGAGGAGATAGAGGTGGAAGAAGATGAGGTATGCGCATGGCGACAACTAATCTATCCTGTTACTGTCGCTAACTCTCGCATAGGATGACTTCAATATTATTACCGAAGCACCAGCAGACGCACCCCCTCCGGAAGTGTAAGTCCGCTACCTCTGCTCGACGCATTTCACCTTGTTAATTTATTGAACAGCCCACATCCTCGTCACGCCAGCCTCCGCGCGGAGTCTCAAAGACCCTCCTCTGCAGATGTCTCTACGATATCAAAATCAATAACACCCACCGTTACCCCCAAACTTGAATCTGCTACCCCTGTGCCTGCTACTGCAAGGCCTACGGTCCCTCAGAAGCCCGGTTCCGCCTACCCTCCAGTCCATGCGTCGAATATCGATGTCCACGCGAACCCTATCCATCCGGCGACCGGTAAACCAATCATGTCAACAGACATGGACACCGACTTCCCAGAGGATGACAAGCCTTGGAGGCGGCCAGGCTCCGACATTACGGATTATTTCAACTACGGGTTTGACGAGTTCACGTGGGCCAGCTATGTGTTGAAGCAACAGGAGCTACGCAAGGAAATTGGAGATCAGAAGAAACAATTGGATGATATGCAAGCCTTCTTAAGCATGGGGCTCCCGCCAATGCCCGGAGGTCCTCCGGGACCAGGAGGACCTCCAGGAAGCGCACCGCCTCCTATGCCCGGCATGCCTGGGATGCCGGATATGTCACAAGAGATGATGCAAGGCATGCTGACGAGCATGATGTCACAAGGCCTGGACCCCTCATCCATGGATCCTATGGCATTTATGCAGCATGCGCAGGCCATGATGGGTGGACAACCCGGCGCAGGCGGCGGACAACAAGGTCAACCCGGATTTGGTGGGCAAGGTGGTGGCCAGCCTCAGATGGGATACGGGGGCGGCTTTGGTCGGGGTCGCGGGAGAAGGTGGTAAAGCTAAGGTGGATCCGAAACTGCGACCATGTTATAATATCGAATACCTTGTCGAAATCTCAGCATTGGTGGTTTAAGCGGAGTCCTAGAATCAGTAGTAAACCTATCCATAAATGAATTACTCCCGAAGGCTAAGCTTCTTGTGCGGATCTGGGGTCGGGTTGCTCGGGGAAAGGGAGCTACTAATCGAGTGCAATGTCATTGTTGGTCATCATCAGACATCAAGACCAACTACTCTCAATCTTGTAAAGGAAACAATATTTTTCTGTAATGTTCAAGCGAGCTAAGTACATTGGAAAAGAGCACGCTGTGATCAGAATGATAGGGAAGAAAAGCGAAGAAGTGGTGATACCCTCGGCAGAGAGGATGGAAGCTGTCGGTCTTGGCATTCTGGAAATTTCTCGCGAGTCCAGATCAGATCTTCTTTCCCCGGCCGCTTCCTCTTCTTCTTTTGCTCTCCACGTCCCCAACTTGCTTCCATTCTCTCTCGCTCCTGCTTGAAAACGCTGTTCCTCGTGCCCGGCACTTCTACACACACACCTTTATCACAATGGTATGTTATTGCACTTGATAACGCATGCTGTAGAGCTCCGAATCAACTTTTTCACCCATCAACGTCCATCCCCTTCTGCCGCAATTGCCATCCTTTATCGCTAATCAAACTATCCCTGATCATTACTAATGTGTTGATTGCTTAATTAGTCTTTCCTCCGTAACGTCAAGAGCCTTGCTCCCCTCCTGGACCGCGTCCTGGTCCAGCGTGTCAAGCCCGAGGCCAAGACCGCCTCCGGTATCTTCCTCCCCGAGAGCAGCGTCAAGGAGCAGAACGAGGCCAAGGTCCTCGCTGTTGGCCCCGGTGTCTTCGACAAGAACGGCCAGCGCCTCCCCATGAGCGTTGCTCCTGGTGACCGTGTCCTGATCCCTCAGGTATGTTCACCGCCCGATCCGTGGCCATCCGATGCGAGAAGCGAAGCATTTGGTCCATCGCACTGGTTGATGTGGTAATATCGAATATATTTACTAACGGGTCTTTTGACATAGTTCGGTGGCAGCGCCGTCAAGGTCGGTGAGGACGAGTACACTCTTTTCCGCGACCATGAGTATGCACACCCTTGCCACTACGTTGCTCTGTTTAAACCTCGTATACTAACATATGCTACCAGGATCCTTGCCAAGATCCAAGAGTAAATTGGACGAGTGAAATGATATTCAGCTCCGTTGTCTTTCTGTTCACGGGTTAAGGCCGAATCACTTGTACTATACCTCCTACGCAAAATCATGAGCTTCAACCATTCAACTCGGGGAAAACTCATAATCAAAAAAAGAACCACCGAAGAGGTATCAGGAGGGATCTTGTCCCTCCTTTATCGTCTTGGGCTAACGTCTTGTCTGGCATTTATTATCGAAAGCGTGAAATGACTGTTTACATACCACACGATGTACTTTTAAATATAGCAATCATCCTGTCCTACATTGTCTGACGCGATGAGGGCAAGTAATCAGATATGATAATCTCCTCTCTGATGTTTCTTGATCTATTCTACGATAAGCGGCTGGAGTAGATTCATCTGCACCGTACCGTTCTGTCCAAGACCGATAACCGATAGCGTCCCTAAAACCATAGACCTTCCAGTATTTGCCCAGTTAGAGGGTAGCCGTTCGACTTGCCCTCCAATTTTATAATCACTGAGTTCACTCTAATCGGAAACTATCCGAGAACAAGCGGTGTCCTGAGCTCGGGTCCAGCTGAATAGGCGTATCGGACTATCGACCTGGAACGAAGACACTTGAGAAGACATGAGTATGGCCGCTACAAGTAATTCATAGAACTTACTAGCATTCTGCATCAAAAACACAACAGACTAGCAATATGGCAATAAGGGCAGGGGCATGTGTATGAAGATGTCGTAATATCAGACAAACTAAACACCATCACCATCATCAACTCTCTAAACATACCTTTATCAGCAAGATCACTACATTCCATACAAAATAAACGCCTGGTACTGAGACTTGCACTCTGTCAAAACTAGTATCATGCTGCGAAAACAGGCCTAACGCATATCAGATTGGGGGGATGGTGGATCTAAGCAGAGATGCTGAAGATTACTAGTTAGTAGGAATGATACGTACCACAGTAACTTGTAAGTTGGATTGGTTGCTCAAACTTAGTAAATTGTCGACTATTCGCATACTATCCTGGTTCTAGCCAAAATGAGTTGGTGTCGCTCAGCCCAGATTATAGAAGTCAGCGTACGAATATTTGTATAAACGACTTAGTCGAAATCGATGTAGTATTCAGCATAACCCGGTAACGGATTCTGCTCACATGGGACAGGCCATTAAGGTAGTAGGTTCTTCTATTCATTTCATTTGTATAACTTTTAACAATTTACTGCTTACTGTGCAATTTCAGGAGTTGTTCGTCACTTCGTGGGATTCAATGATACTTTGGCTTAGCGGTGTCCAGGCAGGACTAGTAGTAGGAGCGATATATAAATTGACAGGCAAAGCGCGGATGTATATACCCGCGTACACGCGGACCAACCAAGCGCGACAATATCGAATAGACGCGAAACACTGCGCTGCACTTCTAACGATCATGAAAATGCATCAACTGGTTCACTAGTAGTACAATAGTATACTTAAAGCATAGTAGACACCCAAACCAACATCCTCAATTCTACATCGCGAACAAGGGATAGTACTATATCACCATCATCACATCACATACCTCCTACTACCTCGGTTACACACTTGGTAGTAAACAACCCAACCCAACCCAACACAACGAAACAGAAACAGAAAAGAAACGATTGAAATTGATAAGATCCAATCTAATCAAAGCATTCCCAACAGCCAGCTACAAATTAATAATTAAAACCAGACCCCCCCCATCCCCTCAACTAAGTAGTACAAAGTAAATTCTCCATCACGCAAAGGCCCGTCCCGTTCTAATCGATGCCATCTCATAGGCTGTAAGCTTATCCGTCCACCACCACCACCACCTAAACCTATCCATTATACTAAGTACTACTCCGTTCCATCCATCCGCGTCCCGTCTCGGACGTACGGAAGCCACACACACACACACTCTCCCTCCACCCCCCCTGCTAGGAAAATCCTTTTCCAATTAGTGTTGCCACGCGAGAACCAAGCTCATCTTATCTTTTAGTTTCTTTTTGATCTTACCGTTCCCTTTCCCTTGCAGCTCCTGGTGGATCTGGGGTAGAGTTCCGTGAGATTAGGTGTGGCACCGGTTTTGTAGTTTATTTGGACTTCTTTTGTTACGGTCTTACTTACTTGTATGTATGTATGTATGTATTGTGTATTTATTATACATACATGTTATACGTACATACATACATACATATGTAGTTGTGGACTTGGTTCCCTGGTTGGGACCTGCGTGTGCATGAATGGACGTGGTGCTGGATATGCGTGGGTGCCTTAACTGCTGTCTAGTTGGTTGGTCACCGTTGTTGGTGTTGTGCGGTTGTGATGTGTCATATTGTGTATGCAGTCCACGTGTGAGGTAGGTGGGTATGGCAATTTAATTTCCATAAGTTGTCGATGAATTAGAGAGGGGTTGTGCGGTCTGGAGTTTTGAGTATGCGTGCCAAACTGCGTTGAAGAATACGGACGCATGATAAATACAAGTGTACTAAATGGCTGATAATATAGATATAGTGGTATGTTGATTGTTGGATACATGGCTCCAGTGACAGTCATAGATCATATCGTTCTATTAACGACTATCTTAAGTCTAAACAGCATCAACTCCAGAACGAGTATCCCCTCTTCCACTTGCCCTGCAGTGTAAAGCTGGGCAAACCGTTTGTACCGTCAATAAAAGAAAAAAGTTAACAAGATAGCGTAAAACAACCATATCATGCCATGCAGTTGAGAAGAAATATAAAAAAAGAGATTCTCATAGGAAATTAAATTAATTAGAATTCAGTGAAACGTGCCCTTTATTTCTTTTTTTACGCGGAACCGAACTCCTTGATGTCGGTCTGCTTGCCGAGGAGGGCAAGAGGCACGATACCACTGACGTGCATCTCAGGGCCGTAGACGTGCATGTTGAGGCCAAGCTCCTCACCAACAGCCTTGATGTTCTTGAGACCCTCCTGGTAGTTGGGACCAGCACGACGAACCCAGATCTGGACCTTGTGCTCGTTCAGGACGGGGGCAACCTCACGGAGAGCGCGGATGACACCCTTGAAGGTGGAGGCAACGTTGGTGAAGTTGGCAATACCACCACCGATGAAGAGGACCTTGCCGTCGGGGTGGATGGGAGAGCGCAGCATCAGGTCGAGGATGGTACGGGCGTAGTTGAAGGTCTGGGTCTCGGTGGGAGCACCGGAGTACTCACCGTAGTTGGCGAGCTCGCTGACGAAGCCAGCAGAGGCAATGGCGTCAGCGTACACGACGGAGGCACCACCACCAGCAACGAGGGTCCAGACACGGCCGTTGGCGTTGAGGACGGTGAGCTTGAGGGAAGCACCAGTCTTGGCATCCATCTCGGAGATGAACTTCTCCTCCTTGCTCAGCTCACGACCGAAAGGAGCGGGGAACTCCATCGGGGGACCGGCGTCAATGTTGACCTTGTCGCTGGAGGGAAGGGTGGGCAGACCCAGGTTGGCGGGGCTACGAGCAATGGCCCACTTGGTACCGCACTCGAACTCAGCAGTCTGGTCGAGCTTGGCAGCCAGATCGAGGAAGTGAACATCAGCCGAGGTGGCATCAGCGTTGGGGATGACAACCAGAGGGTTGATCTCGAGGTAGGTGAACTGGCAGTCGACGTAGACGGCGTAGAGGCGGGAGATGAAGTCAACGAGGACGTTGTGAACACCCTTGGGCACCTTGCTCAGGAGAGCAGCAGCGATCTCCTCGTTGGAGGGGTACTGCTCGAGGTTGACGGGGATGAGAAGCTTCTCAGCCTTGGCGTCGACATCACCAACGTCGACACCACCCTCGTGGGTGAAAAGGATCCAGTCACCCTAATGCGGTACATTAGCATTGATACCCCGCAGCTACGGAGGGCGCCGATCAGATGGCGGAGAAAGACAAAAAACTTACCTCACGCACGGAGTGGATGTTGATGTAGTACTCAGTCTCCTGGGGGTGAGGAACGAAGGGCTCAACCAGGAACTGACGGAGAACGCCGGTGACCGTCTCAACCTGGACGTCCTTGGCAGCACGGGCCTCAATCCATTCCCTGGCCTCGGCCCAGGTCTTGTTCAGGGCCAACAGGCCACTCTTTCCACGTCTCTTGATCAATTGGTCGGGCTTGGCCACGAACTTGGAACCGGGAGTCAACAGCCAAGGGTAGCGGACCTCAGCCTGATCGAGGACATCCTTGACGGCAACATCTTCGGGGAAGTAAAGGGAGGCGAGCTTAGGAGGAGGGTTGTGCGTGGAGGACGGAGGGAGGGGAGTAGGCTTGATAACGGGAGCACGAGTGAGGTGGTAGTTGAGGATGGCCTTGCCATCAGCTTCGAGAATCGACTTGGCGGACATGATGATCGTATAGGTGAAAGAGGAGAGGTATGATTATACTAGACAGACGTGTAAGAAGCTGCAGAGCAATGGTTTTGGAGTGGGAAGTGAACCCCGGAATGGGTGAGAGGTATACCTAGAGGAAGATGTATGTAGAGGGAGATAGAGAGAAAGAGGGAGAAGGAGAAAGGAATTGGAAAATAGTGGTCTTGATTTTTTTGGGAGGTCTGGAAGAAATCACCAACCAAAAGGAGGAGCAGGAGTAAAATGGAGAGTGGGAGTAGAGTAAGAGGGGGGGAAGGAGGGGAGGACGAAGAGGAAAAGAAGAAACAAAGCGGGAAGGAAAAAAAAGAACCTAAACGGAGTATTGCAAGAGAAGAGCGCCGATTAGTCGGTGATGATAAGTGACGGCCGGCGAAAGGAGGAACTAGAAGGGAAAGAGGGGGGGGGAGGGGAGGAGAAGTTTCGACGAAGCAGAATTTTTGGGGTCCGAAGATGGAGGAGGATGGATGGAATGATCAACTGAAGCCACAGTAAAAACCGCCAAAACGACATGATACAGAGCACGATCAGGGCCGAGCTCGGGCAATACAAGGGGCTTAGCGGCTTGCGATGCTGCAGCCAGCGGACTTTGTTGAGATTCGGTGGAGCCGCCGTAAGAAAAAGCGGGTCGGCCCAAGACCCATCCTGTCAGCCGGGATTGGCGGCGTTGGGGATCCTCGGAAGCCATTCTCGTGAGTATTTGACTCGCAGTATCTGCCCTACGCTGTAGCCTCAATACTGAAGCCCCCCTACCATCACCAGAATGGCCGCCTATTCTTGCGTCCTTTTTTTTTGTTGGGTACTTGCTTTACGCTCTTCGTTTTGTTGACGACACCACCATCACCAATCACCCCCCTGTTCGAATGGACAACCTCCAATAATGCAGTGATAGTGGCGGATGTGTTAGCTGGACAACATGTCTGATCACATTTGAACTAGATAACGTGTCCTGCCCGATGATGTAATGGGTTGGTTGTACTTCCCCGGCTCACTTCCCCATACTTTACGGGAATTGACCACAATTCTTCCCACCAAATAGTCCTGGATAGTTCTGGATTCAGGTACCCCTGCGTGTAATCTACGACTGTAGTAGTAGTATAACATGTTTGCATGTAGTATAGAGATGGATGGTAACATGGCAGCGCACACTACTCTATCTACAATATGCTGGAAGCCTAAACCTAAGGTACATACCACAGATTCCCTTATTCAGATTGTGGATGGGCGATATACCTACTTGGGTAGGTGCCCGTATGATTCCAGAAGCATACTTTCAAGTAGTATACCGCCGTTTGATCTTTCGGTGAGCGGCCAGCGAAAGGGAAAGAAAACCTCCTGGGAGTTACGGGGCCTCGTGCATACGCATCGGCCCAGTCCCTGGCCGCAATTGGGACCTCCAGTTTGCTGATCCAGCAGACGGATGTAGGATCCACCCGCTTTAGCCCCAACCAGACCACCAGGACCACCAGGACCACCTCCCGGTTCGATTTGTACGCAGTATCAATCAGAATGCCCTTGCCCCCGTAATACGGAGAACCGTGGTCTCGGTGTCTCTCAGACGGTCTATTTCGGTTTTTAACCTATACTAATCTTATTCAAGGCAATTCTGCATGCTCCGATACTTGCCTGCAACCTCTTTGGCAGCCAACGGAGTCCTCCGATTAACCGACCCGGCGGACAACAATCACCAAGTTTGTAAACACTTCTCTTACTTTCTCCTAGTAGATACAGTAGTGATCGGTCAATCGATCAATCATTCCCAATTCCCACCCCCTCCCACGGAGTTTGTTGGGCGTTGGAATCTTGTGAGCATACTATACTCCGGACTCCGGCCTCCGTAAGGATCAATATCTTCCTCCCCATCTCAAGACAATAGACGAGAATCGGCTTCTGACTGCGCAATGTCATTTCGGGTTGCGCGCCACTAGTCCCATCGACTGAAACGTCTCCATAGCTACTATCTATTCTAGCGAAGTTGATCCATCCTTGTGGTGATTCCCCAACTGGGTTGTTTCGGACCAGGAGTTGCCTGCGCCAGGATCATTGATACTGTATGGTACGATCGATACGAACCCCATTCATACGCCCATACCAGCTGTGTATGTACCTGCTCTTTCCTCACTTGGCCCCATAATTTTTCTACCCCCCCATCAAGCTTCCCGATATCGTCCCCTCCTTTAGCTACTTTTTTTTTTTGTCCGTTCCATTTTCTTTTTATCTTACATCTTGTTTTTCTCTCATCTCCCGTCTTTTTCCCATCAGTCCACTTCTCTCTCCTCCTCACTCCTCCTTCCTCCAATTTTCTCATTTCTCCATCTGGTTGCCTCGCTCTTCCAGCTCCCTCCTCTTCTCTTCTCCCTCTTGTTCCTCTTACCATCCTAAACCACTTCCAACTTCCTTTGTGTTCAGGTCGCAGTCTTACGAAGCGGCTTGTCACTTCCTCACCTATCTATATCTCCCTTACTATCTAATAATATCCTCCTTTAATCCTTTCTCCTATTCCCAACTCTGTTGACAGGTATGTGTGCTGTCCGATAGTATATTGCTACCACGGCGGATACATTTCCCCTCCCACGGATTCTTCCCACACAGCACCCGCTTTATGAAAACCTTCTTGATCTCTTGACACTGACATCTTGCTCGATTCACAGAGTATTCAGCCAACATGCCTACCTCTGCTCCCCTCGTCAACACCGCCAATGGCGCCTCCGCCAACGACAACATCACCCGCTTCGACCCCCCCAGCCGTGTGCGCTCTCCTCTCAGCAACGCCCTCTTCCACAACAAGACGAGATGCTTCGTATAGTAAGTGGCGGCCTGTAGCCGTGCTCAATTGTTCTGGCTGACAATCTGCCACAGTGGTATGCAGCCCCGGGCTGTCCAGGGTATGCTTGACTTCGACTTCATCTGCAAGCGTTCCACTCCCTCCGTCGCCGGTATCATCTACACCTTCGGTGGTCAGTTCGTGAGCAAGATGTATGGTAAACCAGATCCCTTCTCTTGAATTGAGATACTGATACAATTATAGGTACTGGGGTACCAGCGAGACTCTCCTCCCCGTCTACCAGGACGTCTCCAAGGCCATGGCCAAGCACCCTGACGTTGACACCGTTGTCAACTTCGCCTCTTCCCGTTCCGTCTACAGCTCCACCATGGAGCTGATGGAGTGCCCCCAGATCCGTTCCATTGCCATCATTGCTGAGGGTGTCCCCGAGAGAGTAAGTTCTGCTTCTGAGACACACCATGCTGCTCTCCGCTAACAGCAGAACAGCGCGCACGTGAGATCATGGTCAAGGCCAAGGAGAAGGGCATCACCATCATCGGACCTGCTACCGTTGGTGGTATCAAGCCCGGTGCCTTCAAGATTGGTAACACTGGTGGTATGATGGACAACATTGTTGCCTCCAAGCTCTACCGCAAGGGTTCCGTCGGTTACGTCTCCAAGTCCGGTGGTATGTCCAACGAACTCAACAACATCATCTCTCAGACCACCGACGGTGTCTACGAGGGTGTTGCCATTGGTGGTGACCGTTACCCCGGCACCACTTTCATCGACCACCTGCTCCGCTACCAGGCTGAGCCCGAGTGCAAGATCCTGGTTCTGCTGGGTGAGGTCGGTGGTGTTGAGGAGTACCGCGTCATCGAGGCCGTCAAGAACGGCACCATCACCAAGCCCATCGTCGCCTGGGCCATCGGTACCTGCGCTAGCATGTTCAAGACTGAGGTTCAGTTCGGTCACGCTGGTGCCTCTGCCAACTCCGACCTCGAGACCGCTGTTGCCAAGAACAAGGCCATGCGTGAGGCCGGTATCTTCGTTCCCGAGACCTTCGAGGACCTTCCCCAGACCCTCAAGGAGGTCTACGACGACCAGGTCAAGAAGGGTATCGTCAAGCCCCAGCCTGAGCCTGTCGTCCCTAAGATCCCCATCGACTACTCCTGGGCTCAGGAGCTGGGTCTCGTCCGTAAGCCCGCTGCTTTCATCTCTACCATCTCCGACGACCGTGGCCAGGAGCTTCTCTACGCCGGTATGCCCATCTCTGATGTCTTCCGTGAGGACATTGGTATCGGTGGTGTCATGTCTCTTCTGTGGTTCCGCCGCCGCCTCCCTGCCTACGCCAGCAAGTTCCTGGAGATGGTTCTCATGCTTACTGCTGACCACGGTCCTGCCGTGTCTGGTGCCATGAACACCATCATCACCACCCGTGCCGGCAAGGACTTGATCAGCGCTCTCGTCTCTGGTCTCCTGACCATCGGTTCTCGTTTCGGTGGTGCCCTGGATGGCGCTGCTGAGGAGTTCACCAAGGCCTTCGACAAGGGCATGAGCCCCCGTGACTTCGTTGACACCATGCGCAAGGAGAACAAGCTGAGTAAGTGAACCCTCATTTGTACCTGAAAAGTTGAACAGCTTTAACTGACTATGCACAGTCCCCGGTATCGGTCACCGTGTCAAGTCCCGCAACAACCCCGATCTCCGTGTCGAGCTCGTCAAGGAGTTCGCCAAGAAGCACTTCCCCAGCACCAAGCTGCTCGACTACGCCATTGCTGTCGAGACTGTGACCACCTCCAAGAAGGACAACCTCATCCTCAACGTCGACGGTTGTGTTGCCGTCTGCTTCGTTGACCTGATGCGCAACTGCGGTGCCTTCTCTTCCGAGGAGGTTGAGGACTACATGAAGATGGGTGTCCTCAACGGTCTCTTCGTCCTTGGTCGTTCCATTGGTCTCATTGCCCACTACCTCGACCAGAAGAGACTCCGCACTGGTCTGTACAGACACCCCTGGGATGACATCACCTACCTTCTCCCCGCCCTCCAGAAGGGTGGCTCCGAGGGTCGTGTCGAGGTCAGCGTCTAATTTTTTACTTGTCTCCCTTAATACATTTACATCTCATGGATTAGTCATAAAATCCGTCATTGTTGACGTCGGAGTTGTGATGGCCTGTTTTCTTTTCACCCATATTTCTTTCTGCATCGGTTTGGTTCGCTTCATATCTCATCTATTTCAACTTACAATCTGTAGTGGCACATGTGGCATGACTCGCTGTTAAAGGTTGATGAATATCACGCAACGATTAAAGAAATGTGCATCCATTATAAAATTGTAGATTAACGTAGATGTAGTTCCTATCTTTGACTGTTGTATGGATGATTAGTTGATCTGCGGTTGTCAAAAGTATGTTTCTTCATCCAAGTAGGCGGTAAATGCAAGCGCAGGCCCACATGCGGCAGAAAAACGGGCCTCTGCCCGCGCCGATCTGCTTAATAGAACTGCTATCCTCCAGCTCTCCAACAATATTCAATCGATCTCAAAATTCCGAACCATTCAATCACCACATCGCCGATAAAATCACACGCGCATTCTACCAGGAGGTCGCGCGCAACAATCATCACCCGAACTCATACCTCAAACCACCTCCAAGCACACTCACTCAACCAATCTACCACCACTACAATACAGTCACCCCAAACCCTCCTTCAAATACTATTGAAATACTAAACAATGGTCCGCCTAAAACACCGCTACATCCTCCTCGACATCCTCTACCCCGACCCCTCAACATGGCCCCCAGCCGCCTCCCGCACCAACAAGAACCCTCTATCCAAATCAAAGTCGCAAGCACAGCTACAAATCCATTCGCCCACATCCGATGCCCTAACACCGGGCCTGCTAGCGAAAATGGTCAGAGAGGAAGTCTCACTCATGTTTGGCGATTACGGCGTCGGTAGATTGGGTGGTGCGGGCGCGGGGGGTATTAGTGGTATGTTTTCCTTCTCCTCTAGCTCTATTCCTCTTTGAATTGGGTTTTTTTGCCTGCTGGGTTGTGATAATGAGACTAATTACTTGTTTGATGAATATCCAGTGAAATACCTCTCCCCTGCTACTTCGACGGCTATTATTCGGTGTCCTCGCGCGTCGTTCCGGCTTGTGTGGACGGCGCTGACCTGCATGTCGCAGGTTCCGGGGTTTAGTGAGGGTGGGTCGAAGAGGACGACGAGAGCTTGTGTGTTTCGGGTTATTAGGGTGTCCGGGACGATGCGGAAGGCGGAGGAGGAGGCGATTCGGAGGGCGAGGAGGGAGATTGTGCGGTTGAGGGAGGCGGAGGAGAGTGGGGTTTTGGAGGGGTTGTTGGGGGGTTTAGTGGATGTGGCTGGGGAGGAGAGTACGCCGGTTACTGGGGAGGATGTGGTTGGGGATGTGATGATGGAGAGTGAGGATGATGATTGATTTGAGTACGAACGGGATTTACGTTTGATATGTTGGAAGGCATAGGTTTGGGTGCTGGGAGTTTTGTCTTGCTGATCGTTTTCATTAGAGATACCCTATATTATACAGTGTGTGTATGTATGCGTGAATAGAATATAGATGCTGGGATAGATTCCATGTCATGTGTCATGATTTTCGTATAACCTTCACACCACCATCTGGTATCGACCCCCTCCCCAGATCGTCGTATTCGTCGTCATCGAAGTCCATATTGGGTTTCTGTGCTGATGCGTCTTCGGCTGTCTTTTCGGCGGCTTTCGCTTCTTCCTCTAGCTGCTTAAGCTCGTGCTCATCGTACGTGTCTTTCGCGTCCAGCCACCGCTCTTGCACGTCCCGGATGTCCATCTGTCCCAGGCCTTCTCGGACAGCAACCTGCCAGATGGAGTCGTTTGCACCCTCGGCGGGTCCGAACACATAACCGCTAGCGCGGTCGATAACGTGCAGTAAATTCATCATGCTCTTCTTGTCCTCCACGGCTAGCGTCTCGAAGCTCACTAGTCCGAATTCCTCCACTAGGTCGATGATCGCGTTATTGAGCGGTCCGAACTTCTCATGTGATAGCCGTGATGACTCGGCTTCGAGGTGCGGGAGAAGGTAGCTGAGGTCTTGGACTTCTGTGTAGTAATCGAGGTTGAAGGGCAATGGGGAATAGTTCGATAGATTGTCGATCTTGGTGAGGACGTTCAGGTGAGGTAGGTCCATTTGGAGCATGGCGCGGAGGGAGAGGAGGAGGGCGGAGATGTACATCGATGGTAGTGTAAGGTTGTAGGAGTCAATGAGATGGATCACGATTAGCTGCGCATCGTCCGTTTGTTAGTATCGCATAGCATGTTACTCCGGATGGGACGGGTAGGACATACTCTGTAGCCCATCTTCTGCAATTTGAAGAATATGTTTCGTAGGGACGAGTGGTGTGTGAATAATTCAACTTGGCCAGGGCAATCAAACAGGACGTAGTCCTCTATCACATAGAATATGCATTAGCGTTTGATCCTGTAACATCTTCAGACGGCAGAATGCGCATACCTCCGAGATCCTTCAGCCCCTCCTCAAGCCAGTCAAAGTTCTCCTCTAATTCTTCCAGCGCATACAAAATACCCCCGTTAGGTCCCAACAGGTCCTCACTCATAATCTCCTCTAACGTGACAAGGTCGCGAACGTCCAGCGCACACGGATAGGATGTTTTATCATTTGCGGGGTCCAGATTCACAATGGAGCATTTGCGACCAATAGCTCCAAGAAACTGGTGCATGCCATTGCAGTAGGTTGACTTCCCGGCGCCCGGGGGCCCTATGACGAGTTGCGCGAACGGCATGATGAAGATCTGCGCACAAGAATGTGTTCGATCCAGAGAATGTCCGACGTCAATGCAATCAATCAATGATGATGGCGGGGAGAATATTCCAGGGCGGTGGCACCTGGCAGAAAATGGTCTGAAGGTGAAGCTTCCATGACGACGGGCCGATCAACAACGATATACAATTGAACTCATTGAAGGTTCAAGCAAGAAATCATGGCGTCAAGTAAGTCGCGAATTGTTTCCATGGCAATCCTCTTCCACTGACTAGTGTTAGATCAATTCTCTGTCGCATCCCCGCCGACGGATGCTATCTCCGCCTTGAAGTTCTCGCCCGACCCCGACTCCACGCGAATCGTTGTTTCTTCCTGGGATAAGAACGTGTATCTGTACGACTTGCGCGATGAAAATGGTACCGTCGGAGAAGGCAAGCTGTTACAGAAGTTTGAGCATCGCGCTCCGGTGTTGGATGTGTGTTTCGGCGCAACCGAGGATGAGATCTACACGGCTGGCTTGGATTGGGACGTCAAGAAGTGAGTCCATGTCTGTTCTGTTTGGGCTTCGGTAGCAACCAGCGCATAACCAACCTATTCCCTGCTGACAATAAACAGAATTGATGTAGCATCATCCACCCAGACCGTCCTCAGCAGCCACGAAGCTGGTGTTCGAAGCGTCGTTTTCAGCGAGGAACACAACCTAGTAATATCCGCCTCTTGGGACTCCACGTTGCATGTGCACCCGACGAACGATCCCGCCACAGCCCCCGCTATCATTCCCCTCCCCTCGAAGCCCTTCTCCATGTCTCTTACCGCTACGAAGCTCGTTGTCGCAATGGCTTCCCGCGCCCTACACATCTACGATCTGAAAGCATTGGCTATGCTCACCGCTCAGTCGGAGGGTACGGTCCCCAACAAGATTGAAATCGAACCCTGGCAGCGAAGGGAGAGCAGCTTGAAGTTCATGACTCGCTCAGTGGCATGCATGCCCGACGATGCAGGATACGCGTCATCCAGCATCGAGGGCCGTGTCGCGGTCGAATGGTTCGATCCGTCTGCTGAGTCGCAAGCCCGCAAATATGCCTTCAAGTGTCACAGACAGACGGCGGATGATGTCGACGTCGTTTACCCTGTCAATGCGCTTGCGTTCCACCCGGTCCACGGTACGTTTGCTTCGGGCGGTGGTGATGGAGTGGTTGCGCTTTGGGACGGTATTGCGAAGAGGAGAATCAGACAGTATCAGAAGTATCCGTCGAGTGTGGCTGCTGTGGACTTTAGCGGTAACGGAAAGTACCTGGCGATCGCGATTAGTCCGGGCTTCGAGGATGGAAAAGATGATGTTGTCGAAGGGACGGTTAAGATCTTTGTACGTGAGCTTGGAGAGACGGAGGCGAAGGGGAAGGGCGCCAAATAAGTTTGAGCATATTGTCGCCTTATGAAACTAACTTACTTTGTCTTGATGACCGGCGTGCGGAGACTGGTGTTCTTGTTCTTACTTTTGGTTCTTGATATCACAGTTACGAGGCACCAGGTTATAGAAAGCGTAAAATAGTCCGATTCGTGCTAACAGTCTACATGGTATCATTTGTACTTGTACTTTTTCTTCTAGTCTCTTGACATATCGTATATGGCGTTAGGGAGCAGTCCCAATTAAGCAGCTGCCTTTCTGACGGACACCGAACCGTCAGGCATACCGAAGTAGGCAGCAATAGGCTTCTGGCCTCCGACACCACCGAGCGCCTGCGCCTGAGGGCCGGTCATGCCAGAGAAGATACCCACGTCGAGAACACCGGGAATCTGCTTGATCGCCTGAGAGAGGGCGTGAACCTCCCACACGCCGTCCTTGCCACTGCCGTCCTTTCCGGCAGCCACGTCTGCCTGGGTCAGCAGAGTCTTGAAGGGAGCGTCGATGATGAAGAAGGCCTGGTCGGTCTTCAATGGGCCTTGCTTGGCATCAGAGTTGACGCGGACAGCGGGATCAATGCTGCCAATCTCTTTCAGAGCACCGAGAACGCGACGGGCCGCAATAGGAGCGACTTCGATGGGGATGTACTTCCAACCAGTGAGGAGGCGGGACTGGAGCTTGCGGGAGTCTATCAATCGGGGGGTTAGTGCGCATGCCCTCTATAGAAAGCGCCAGACACTATCGCTCAGCGTAACATATACGCACCAGCCACACAAATGAACTCCTTGGCCTGAAGAGCCACGATCTTCTCCTGGAAGAGACAAGCACCACCACCCTTGATCAGGTTCAGCTCGTCGTCGACCTCGTCGGCACCATCGAAGGCAACATCCAGAACCGTGCCTTCGGGGAGGGCATCGAAGTCCACTGCGGTCAGACCAGCGTTGACAATCAGCTGCTTGGACTGGAAGCCAGTGGGGACGTATTTGGTGGCGGAGGTGTCTACTCCGGACTCCTTGATGGCCTCGACCACATAGACAATGGTCGAACCACTGCCAATGCCGACGTATTTGGCGTCCTTGGGGTAGTGATTCTCGACGGCAGCCTTACCGGCTGCGCGCTTTGCGGCTTCGACGACGCTGGCCATGGTGGAATGACGACGAAAGGTAGCGCTGGAAACGGAGAAGAGGGGCACAACGGGAGTAGACAACCGATCTGGTCGTAAGCAGAGACGAATACGAGAATAAATAGAGGATGAGGGGAAACTGCCGAGCCGGGGTCTGTTGATAGATCAGTAGGCGGACCGCTCCGGGGGAGAGAAACCCTCGAATCGAGCCCCTGCAAATTCGGGGAGGAACCGTCAAATGTAGTGGATGCCCGTGGTGGGGGGAGATGCGAGAGGCCCAAGAAAGTTTCCAGCAAACGAATTGGACCACTTACAGGGAGGACAGACAGCCACGCGGAAGTGCAAATCTCATGGCATAGCAATTGGGATCTTGACAGCTTATACTATCCCGTCTAGATTCGGTCGATAAATGCAACCTTCGGCGATGATTCCGGGTGACTGATTGTTGTTCTGCGCGTTTTCCTCCGGCGGGGTTGTGTCGTCATACCATGTGCAGCCTCAGGCATGCAGGCACTAAGGCCATCAACAGCTCTGGTGGGTCCGTGCACACGTCGATCATGTGACTGCAGCCAACATATGGATTCCAACGCTCTTACTTGACCGGAATATCAGTACTTTCAACAAGTCATCAGTCCATTTGGGTATTTGAGCTCGTGCTGCTTCTCTTAGTTGCAGACAGGGATTGTCACTGGAAGATTCTTTCAGTTCGTTGACTCCCCACTTCTCATCCCACTTGGTTTTGTCTGTCTCCGTCTCTTCTCCGCTTTAGCCCCTCATGGCAGAGGCCTTCCCGAGTGCTTTGGTTGTACCATCCTCGAAAGAGAGGAAATATGATCGCCAATTGCGCTTGTGGGCAGCAAGTGGGCAGCAAGCTCTAGAAGAGTCCCGCGTGCTCCTGGTCAACTCCGACGAACCCTGGGGCAAGCATAACACGGGTGTATCCGGTGTAGTCGGCGTGGAAACGCTCAAGAACCTTGTACTTCCTGGAATTGGAGGCTTCACGATTGTGGACCCTGCACTTGTCACCGAGCCGGATCTCGGGGTCAACTTCTTCTTGGAAGAAGAAAGCTTGGGGAAGTCCCGAGCTGAGGAGACCTGTCGATTGCTACGAGAATTAAACCCGGACGTAGATGGGAGCTTCTATACTAAGGTAACTTCATTCAACCTCAAGTTGCTCTATGATGTTTCAGAGCTAACGAAGACTGAGCACAAGTCAATCACAGAACTGTTGAAGGAGCCAGACTTTCTTCCGCAGCACAAGCTGGTCTTGGTATCTGGACCGGTAAAACGCCCCTCTTTGGAGGCCATTTGCAAGGCTGCTAAAGCATTCGGCATTCCAGTAATTTACACACGCTCGGTTGGATTCTATTCGACCTTTTCTCTTCAGCTCCCGGCTGCATTTCCTATAGTAGAGACACATCCAGATCCTGAAAGCACACAGGATCTCCGTCTCCTAAACCCGTGGCCTGAGTTGGCGGCGGCCGGTGCTAGCATTCGCAACCTGGACAGCCTGGACGATCACCAGCATGGCCATGTCCCGTACATTCTGCTTCTTCTCCATCATTTAGAGCAGTGGAAAGAAGCGCACAATGGCCAGGTCCCATCGAACTACAAGGAGAAATCTGAGTTCAGGGAAATGGTGCGGTCTAGTGCAAGAACAAGTAACCCCGAAGGTGGAGAGGAGAACTATGATGAGGCTGTTGCTGCAGTTCTAAAGTCCTTGAACCCATTCAGCTTGCGCAGTTCCCTTCGCGAGATCTTCGAGATGGAAGAATGCAAGCACCCGGCGCCAGATTCGGCCAACTTCTGGATTATCGCGGCGGCCATACGTGAATACTACCAGAGGCACAGTGTACTTCCTCTGCCGGGCTCTCTACCAGACATGAAGGCTCAATCAGCCGATTATGTTTCTCTTCAGAATATCTACAAGTCAAAGGCTCGCAAGGACATAGAAGAAGTTACCAAGATTGTCCGTAGCCTTGAAGCACAGCTTGGACCACGCCCGGCCCCAGCCTCGGACAAGGATATCGAGGTCTTCTGCAAGAACGCGGCTCACATTAAGGTTATCCATGGCCGAGATATCCCCATAGTGGATGGGGAAGCATCTATTTTGAAGGCCATTCGGAACAACATCAATATTCCAGACTCCCTCGTGCCGACTTTCCTTGCATTCCAGGTCCTGGATGACATAATTACCGACATCCAAGCGGGCAAGAAGTCAGAAGAGGCCTTGGATGATGAACAGGCGTGGGACTCTGCAATCGATCGCATCCTTGGTGCGCTTAAATCGGAAGATCCATCCGCTATCGAGGAGGAAGATGCAAGGGAACGAATTCAACAAGCAGCCCAGGAGTTACGGAGGACGCAAGGCGGAGAACTGCACAACATTTCCTCGCTCACCGGAGGACTAGTCGCACAGGAGGCGCTCAAAGTAATTACCAGGCAGTACGTGCCCTTGGATAATACTTGCATTTTTGACGGGGTACGCAGTCGCAGCGAGATGTACAAGCTTTGAAGAAGACGGTGGCGATTATGAAACCTGCAGTGACCCCCATGAGGCAGCATTTGTGCCATGAGTCACGAACATCGATATGCAACTTAACAATTGGTCAACCAATATGACTTCTATATTTCGAGACCAGCAGCATTCCGCCACTCATCTCGTAGACATGTCGTTCCGTCCCGCGGACACTCCTGTGACCCATAGATAAGGCTTGGCTCGGGGCCCGCGGGTGCCGAGCAGATCGCAGAACAACAAGTTTTGACCTGATCGGCCACTCCTCATTCACGTATAACTAGACCTTCATTCCTGGCAAAGAGTAAATCCCAATTAGCTACTACCTGGTATTAAGTAATCATTTTGATCTGCATTACACAAAACTATTCTGTTGATTTCACACCCCCGCCGAAGCAAGATCTCCCCGATGTTGCGGACCGACCCAGTCCCATTCAAGCACTAGTACATACTGCCTTATAACATGACCTGGAATCTGCGTGGATTAGTACCAGGGCAGAATGACACCAAGCCGCCGGTCTTTCTAAAGTGGAGGTCATCTAATGCTTTTATTATCTTCGTGGTGGTTTTCGCTGTCTTCACGGTATGCTTGGCTTAGCTTAGCTCCTCGGACCTTTGATCCGTTTCTAGCTACACTTGCTAACCACCACATGTTCAATAGGATGTTTTACTCTATGGGTTGGTACGTGGCTTGAGTGTACCGGTGGATTTGTTATAAATGGGTTCTTCATCTTGCTGACATATAACTCTATCGTAGATTGTCCCTGTGGCTCCTACCGCTTTACATGAGAGGGTTGGGATGTCTGTTGATCAAGGTGAGTTGATCATTTCTGACTTCTTTTCTCTATATAGATAGTGAGTTGATGCTGACTATAACATGGGGTAGAACAATCATGGACGTCGATATTGTTAGCATTGTATGGCGCAGCGCTGTTAGCAGCATCGCGTAAGTATCGCTCTGACCACCTTATTATGATGAATGTCCTTGCTGAAACTATGTTCTCCAGCCGTTGCGGGTTACATTGCCGACCGCTTTGAATCACGATGGTGGCCACTCATAGTCGGATTGCTGGCACTGGGCGCTTCCACAGCTCTACTCTGCGTAGGGACTCACCTTAGTCTCTGGATCATTGGCCGTCTCTTCCAGGGAGCATCTGCAGCGGTTGTATGGACGGTTGGGGCCGCGTTGCTCGTTGACACGGTTGGAAAAGAGGGCCTTGGGCAGGCGATGGGTTATATCGGCATGGGTATGACCTTTGGAATCATGGGTGGGCCACTTCTAGGTGGCGTCATCTACGCCCGTGGCGGATACTATGCCGTTTTTGCGCTGGCATTTGCTCTTGTTGGCGTAGATATTGTTTTGCGGCTGGTCATGATCGAGAAGAAGCATGCCGTGAAGTGGTTGCAGCAAGAAAAGAAACAGAGTCCGGATATTTCGCCGTCGGAAACCACTGAGAAATGCTCTGATGTGGAAGATGCTACTGATCGGTCGCCCGCTGTTGCATCTGATAGTAAGTCGGAGGGCCCGGTTTCAGTTGACCAGCAGTCTGCTGAATCCCCTGAACATGCAACTCCCAAGAAGAGTAGAAGCGCTGTCATTACTCTTCTCGCTTCAGAACGCATGATAGTCACCATCTGGGCTTACTTCATCGTCTCCGTGGTCCTGACCTCATTCGACAGCGTCCTTCCTCTCTTTGTCGAGGACACCTTCGGTTGGGATCAGACAGGCCAGGGGCTCATTTTTGTGCCCTTGTCCGTTCCTCATATTTCCGATCCGTTCTTCGGCTGGATCAACGACAAGTTTGTGAACGCAAGACGCTACATGGCGGCAGGAGCACTATTTTCAACCATTCCATTCATGGTGCTGCTCCGTCTTGTGACGCATGACTCCATGGGCCAGAAGGTGTTGTTATGTGCATTGCTGGTCCTTATTGGCTTTTGCATAGCCTCGCTGATGCCTCCTCTATTGGTTGAGGCGTCCTATATTGTGGAGGAAAAGGAGGCACGGGACCCCAATATCTTTGGTAAGGGTGGTGCCATGGCCTTGTCTTATGGAATCCTCAACTCGGCATATGCTGCTGGAACCATTGTTGGCCCCTTTTTTGCGGGGTTTATCCGGCAAAGTGCGGGCTGGAAGACCATGACGTGGGCTTTGGCCTTGCTGACTGGGGTATCCGGTGTGCCTATTTTGTTGTTCCTGGGTGGGTTTCTGTTTAGGAAGAGGAGAAGTGAAACGGCTGCATCGGGTTGAGTGATTGACCAAGACGAGGGGAGAAAAAAAAGGGGAATGAACGGGACTAGACGGATCATGACATATCATGGTGTATATACATAATGTCTGGTAATAGAATTCTCATCTCAATAGACATAAAATTGACATGTCTCTTTATTGGATTCAAGCACATCGAGGACTGTACTGACTGACGTGAAGGATGGACAACTTTCGTAAGTTGTTGTTGTGAGTGGAAAGACAACCTCGCTTCAACCGTCAATTAGTAAGTTCCAGTCCAATGACCCTCACAGAAACGGGCAAGAAAACTGATCCCGCCTCCGTGCCTCCCAACCGAGCTGGCCAGGAACCAAACCAAACGGAGGCGATCGACCCAAAGACCCAAAGAAGAAAGACCCAACTTTGTGCAGCGGGTGGATCTCCCCGCAACAGCCCCACATCATGACGGAGGGGGGCGGCCAGGCCAAAGTTGCCCTCAATCCAGCCAGTTAACCAGCCAGCCAGCTCGGATATCGGCATTTCCTGGGAAATTATGAGCCGGATCAGAAGAGAGGATGCTGAGAAATCATTGACGAAGACGACGCAGAGCTAGGATGCTTCGTCATAGAGAGAATGGCAGGCCGGTGGCACCATCCCCGCTTGTCTTTCCGGCTGGACCGTTTATGGCTTTCGTCTCAATCAGACTTACTCTTCGCGTGTAGCATACTGTGACGATATTTGGAAAAAATATGGCATCTCCGCAGATACAGCATGAGGGCCTTCGTGCCATTTTCACGGGGATTGAGAGGGTGTCCGAGGGGGTCACGGTGAATGAGTTTAGGGGTATCAAGTACGCGTCTGTTCCCGCGCGGTTTGAGCGGGCGCAGCCGGTGGATGGCTTTGGGGATGCTGTGGTTGATGCTTCTTCATACGGGTACTGTTTGCAATCGTGTAACGCTGGCAGCATGGATAAGTGCTGATTTGGATTTGATCCTGCTTAGGCCGAGGTGTCCGCAGGTCGATGTCGACGTTCGCCATTTGCTGCGCATTCCAGAGGACTTTCCAATCGAAAGGGAGCCTGAGGATGAGTTTGAATGTCTGAATTTGGACATCACCTGTCCTCCGGCGTCTTCGGCTAAGGGACCTCTTCCTGTGCTCTTGTGGATTTATGGTATGTCATGGGCATACCCTCAATTTACACTGTCAATGGACCAATGGCTAATCATGTCATACAGGAGGATCGCAGGTGGTGACCTTTTGCTCAGCTGCATCGAAGATCTGCGGTAAGTTAGGCCAAGGGAATATCGTCCTTGGAGACTGACAACAGTATCAATAGATCCCGTCAAGATCGTCGCGGACTCTATCAAGTCCGGCCAGCCTATCATCTTCGTCTCAATCAACTATCGACTCAACATCTTCAGCTTTGGCGACGGCAAGGAGAAGAACCTTGCTATCAAGGATCAGAAACTGGGTATTGAGTGGGTGCGGAACAACATCGCTGCCTTTGGAGGCGATCCGGTATGTACTAACTCGCGCGGTTATTTACTAAATCTAACCAACCTTCTTACAGAACAACATCACGTTGGCCGGAGAAAGTGCCGGGGCAGTTTATACGCATGCCCATCTCGTCACTGGTACACCAGTCAAGAGGGCCGTCCTGGCATCTGGATCCCTCTATCTCTCTTCTCCCTTGCCAATAGAGAAGGGCCAGGGACTAATCAATGCGCTGGAAGCCAAGGTGCAGGAACTGGGCGAGCCGTCGCTTCGGTTAGCGTCAGTGCCGGCTCTGTTGCAGGCATTACGAGAGTGCAATGTGAACACTATGTGGATACAGGAGGATGAGGACTTTCAAGGATGGGAAACCAAGTCCGAGCTGGTGGACGAACTCATGATTGGTGATACTGAATATGAGGTGGGTGACCAGTCCACACAATTTATCAAGATAACTACTAATAATAATCATACAGTCGGTTATCTGGAGGAACGGTATCGAGACATTCGATGGAGAAGCGATTACTGCAGCCTTCGAGCAAAATGAGAAATGGGGTCCGAAGCTACGCAAGATGTACCAGGTTGTCGCGGATCGACCCACTGCTTGCAAGTTGGGTGCACTGGACCTTGTGAATGATGTCCGTTATACGCTGCCAGTAGAAGTTGTTGCCGAGAAACTACAGGCAGCTGGGAAACGAGTCTACAAGTATGTGGTTGACCAGGCCAACCCGTGGCAGGCATCCAGCCGAGCCCATCATGCTGTTGACCTGCTATTCTTGTTTGACGGCGCCGACCTGTCCTTCAACCCTGCTGCACAAGCGGTTGGTCAGGAGATGCGGAGCCGTTGGGTGCAGTTCGTCAACGGTGGTAGTCCATGGTCTACCGAGCAGAGATTCGCGTACGGACCTCTGGGGAGCTGCGGAGAGATTTCTGAAGCACAGTTTGCATCTAGACGGCGGGTTGAGCATGTTAAAGTTCTTAGGGAGGCTGGAATGGGTGTCTATATGCCTATTGTATTTGCCTTGACGGCAGGCAAGATTAGCTTGTTGAATTAGACAGTGATATAGTTCAATACAGCTTCATAACCAATTCGCCACACTAAATACAGGAATCTCCACTTATGATATTCTTTACCTTTTCTTTTTTTGTATTGCCGTAAGCTGTGAGATATTGGTGATACAAAGCAGATAGTTAGATATTGCTTCTTGGAGTATATGCAGAAGAGCAGTATACATCGGCAATTCCAGCGATGGCTGCTACCCGGGGGTGTCCCCGCAAGCGCAAAGGCGGGCAAACTTCCCCACCGTTACTCAGGCCTGACTCATGTGGGGTCGCTCCACTGGTCGATGCCTGAGGTGCCTGATGCTGCCTGAGTCCTTCATTGCTTGTACTACTCTCGGCAACACTCCCCCCTCGACATCTGCCGAACATCCCCCCCAATTGCTCGCCAACTTCCCATATCGTATGCAATCCATTCAATACTCCCAAACTCTGGTCTCATCCATCAATCCTGACTTGCTGTCTTTGAATCAGCTGGCCCGGATATCCGGATGGCCAGCGGTCTGATTAATTGCTCTATAATGGCCTCCCGCTTGGACCGACTCCACCAGCTCAAGTATATGAGCCTGCTGGAACCTACCCCGGCTGTCCTCCCCATATATCACGATTCATGACTCTATAAACACCGTGTTCCCTTACACAAACCCTTTTTCCACCTACAATAGCTACTTTCCTGAGACCTATCACCCATCATGCCCTCCACAAGTGACCTCGCCGACCCCAAAGAATACCAGAAGATCTTCCACTGGGCAGAGACACAGAAGGATGGTACCATTCCCTCCTTCGCTACTAGACGGAATGATCCCTATGAGGTAAGTGTTCTGTGCCAATGCCTACCCTCTTCTTACCGTCACTAACTCAAGCGCAACAGTACCAAGCCGGATTCGGCAACTCGTATGTCAAAGCGCTCCCCTGCATCTAGCGATTCAACTGGCTGATGTAGTTAATCTACTAGGTTCGCCTCTGAGGCTGTGCCTGGCACCCTTCCACAGGGCCAAAACAGCCCTCGTAACGTCCGCTTTGGCCTGTACGCTGAGCAGATGACGGCCACGGCCTTCATTGCCCCGAGACATTGCAACAAGAAGGCATGGCTGTACCGTGCCCGTCCGGCTGTTGCCCACCAGGGATTCGTATGTCTTGCAGCTCTGTCATCGACGATTGCTATCTACTGACAGTGACTGTAGACCGATCTTCCCGACAACAAGGACACAGAATCCAACTTTCTCCCTCTGAACCCTCGCGTCCATGTCTCTCCTACCCAGCTTGCCTGGTACCCCTTCGACATCCCAACCAATGGCGAAGTAGACTTTGTGTCTGGTCTGAAGACTGTGGCTGGCTCAGGCGAGCCAACCCTTCGTGAGGGTCTGGCCACCCACGTCTATGTTGCTAACACCAGCATGACCAAGAAGGCCTTTGTCAACTCTGATGGTGAGATGGCTATCGTCCCTCAACAGGGTGCACTGGATATTCAGACCGAATTTGGTCCCTTGTTCGTCCAGCCTGGAGAGATTGTCATTATCCAACGTGGCATCCGTTTCCGCGTAGAGCTTCCTGATGGGCCTTCTCGTGGTTACATCCTTGAGATCTGGGGTAGTCAGTTTGAACTCCCCGAGCTGGGACCCCTGGGTGCCAACGGTCTCGCCAATGCACGGGACTTCCTCTACCCCACGGCAAAGTATGAGATCTCCAAGGAGCCTTGGGAGGTTGTGTACAAGCTGGGCGGAAAGTTCTTCAAGAGCACACAAAACCACAGTCCGTTTGACGTGGTTGCCTGGCACGGCAACTATGTATGCTTTCATTCCCTTTCCGGCATGCTTCCAAGCAATAGTATACTAATTCATCATACAGGTGCCCTACAAGTACGACATGACCAAGTTCGTCAACGTCGGTTCTATTTCCGTTGATCACATCGATCCCTCTATCTTCTGTGTTCTTACAGCCAAGTCCCGGGATCCCACGGCTCCTTTGGCCGATCTACTCATCTTCTCTCCTCGCTGGGATGTTGCATCGCGTACGTTCCGCCCGCAGACTGAAGTTGCCTGACTCTTGCTAACAACAACAATGATAGACACCTACCGACCTCCATACTACCACCGCAACGCCGCCTCCGAACTGATGGGTCTCATCTACGGCGACTACGGCGGTCGTTCCGACGCCTTCCAGCCTGGAAGTGTCTCCTTCGAATGTGGAAGTAAGCATCACCCCTACCCCCCGATTCCAAATTTAAAAAAGCCACACAGCTAACCTACTGATCAACCAGTGGTCCCTCACGGCGTAGCCTACGAAGAATTCAAAGCCGCCACGGAAGTCGACCCGCCGGCCATGCGGATCTCCGAAGCCTCAATGGCATTCATGTTCGAGTCGAGTCGCCCATTCACCATCACAGACTACGCCTGGACAAGCAACAAGCGACACGAGCACGAGCCTAAGATGTGGGATAATCTCGTCGACAACTTCTCCAAGCACGAGAAAGAAGTCGAAGAGTTATTGGCCAAGAAGGCCCAGGGGATGAAGATCTAACTTTTGTATATATAGCAGATATGTTGCTAGTCTGCTGTGTTTTGCTTTCCTCCTTGAGCTTAGCCATTCCTCCTTTTCTGTGTGCATGTTCTTGTTCTTGTTCATGTTTTATGCCTGTGATTGTTATGATTGTATTACTAGGTGTCTTTGTCTGTACATATTTGAGACACTAGTCATATATGCCAACATTATTCTTGTGATTTGTGAAGAAGCGTGACGTGTGCATGACGTATAGTATATTCAGGGACCATCATTTGTAGAATGCCGACGTCTAGAGATTTCAAACATTTCCTTGTATTCTTGAGGGAAACAGAAAGAAGACTTGGGAAGCTCATTCGACTTGTTAAGAGAGGGGCAACAATGCAGGACATATCCACCACATGCTCGAATATGCCTGAAAACACGACAGATTGGCACAAAAGGATGAACAATTACGGTTGGTCTGTCACATTGGGCTCAAAGCCCACAATGCAAGTGGTCGTGTATGTCTACCTGAGGCGCATACCGGTTTTCAGGCAGCGACACAGGGCAGCACCCCACCAAGTGGCAAAACAAAAACACAATGTATGTGTTATGACAGTACAGAATAAGCAGCAAGTCTCGGTACGTCTTTTATTTTCATGAATTGGTATCAACACGGTCAGAAATACGGACATACAATTATTTAGGCCAGACCGTTTTGGTTGTGTCTTTCCGTTGCCAAACGTCCCAGGAGCCCTTTCGAAGGGTCGGAGAACCTCAACTTGCCAGAGGTGAGCCGGTTATGTCTATCACAAAAATCAAATCACAGGAAGTAGTCGGGTGTGCGCCTCGAGACCATGGGTTCTCCTGCGCGCGGGCAGGGATCGAATTGTAAGCTGTAGATTGTGTCAGTAATTTCTTCTCCAGTTTGCAATGATGGGGCCAACCACATACAAGGTATATTTCAGATGCTCGTCAATTTCCATAATTGCGGCTTGGTTACCGCAGCGGTAGCAGTAGTTAGGAGCTGGAGAGATGTGGTTAGCCGTAACCACCAATCCCGCGAGACAAGAGCCAAAATTTGCCGTGCAGCAGCATACCGGAGAAAATCGTGACCACATTTCTATCCTGGGACCAGTTGTAACCCTCCATTACCAGCTGGTGCGCCCGTGCCACCAGAGTCAAGCCATTGTTGTGATTAAATGCCTCCGAAATATCCTGCCCGAATGTGTATCCAGCACCACGGGGAGAGATACCCCAGCCGCATCGGTCGTCGGGATCACTCCACAGAAGGTCGCACATGGGACCCTCGTGCGGGACCTCCTGAATCCGATCCAGAGAGCGGATGTTGTCGAGGGTGTCGATCGACGGACTCAGACCGCCGTGCAGACAGAAGATCTGGTTCTCGATAAGTGCGGTGAGGGGGAGGTAGTCGAAAAGGTCGGTGAAGTATTTCCACACGTTAGCGTTGCCGTACTTGCGCAGGCACTCATCGTAGAAGCCGTAGACTTGCGTGATCTGGCGCGATTCGTGGTTTCCTCGCAGAATGGTGATACGCTGGGGGTAACGGATTTTGAGGCAGACAAGGAGCGTGACGGTCTCTACAGAGTAGTAACCACGGTCGACGTAGTCACCTAGTGGGCGGGCGGGTGAGCCAAGGGGGACGACTGGCATAAGCGGTCACAAGGCGCCAACTCACCCATGAACAGGTAGTTTGTATCCGGATTGGGGCCACCAATGCGGAAGAGCTCCATCAGATCGTGGAACTGGCCGTGTATATCACCGCACACAGTTACTGGACATTTCTATAGATTGAAGAGAGTCAGTTCCGATCGGTCGCAACGGCCGCGGGGCCACGACCAGTGGCCGGGCAGCGCGGGAAGGGCCACAACAACAATAGCAGAAAAGTCAATCACATACCACGGGCTGCACGTTCGACTCATCCTGCAGAACCTCTCTTGCCTATGTAGAAAAAAACACGACCACGATTAGGATTATTCATCTCCAAAAAACACCTAAGTTCCCAGCAGAAGCAGCACACACCCGATCACAAAGCCTCCGGACATCTTCCTCCGCTAGTTGCTTGCAGGTCATCAAGCTTTCGATCCATCCGTCGAGGGTGGGTATGGACCCCGGGTCGGTGGTCGGGGAGAGGTGGTGAGGTTCGGGCGACCGCGCCGTATCGATCTCCATGTTATTGTCCATTGAAAGTAACCACCGCGAGTGAAGATGAGGGTGGTGGGGGAAAAGAGAGCGAGTTCAGGACGAATGCAACCGAGGGGTGGTGGAGCGGGACCAACTGGGGAGGGGAGGTCTCGTGAGAGGGAGGCGTGGATTTCTTAGAGGGGAACCAGGTCGGTCGGACGAGACACGGTGCACCAACGGAAATTGAACGACGGATCAACGATGGGACAGCAAACCCTATCGCCTACAGATTGAAGAAAGATAAGAGGGGCAAATAAGGGGGGGAGAAATGTGGAGGGATTGGGGGGGGGGGGGGGGAAAGAAGAAGAAAGATGAAGGCAAAGGTTGGGGGAGGGGAAGACTTGGGAAGAGAGAGAATAGGGAAAGGGAGGTGTGAGCTGGGATGGCGGTGGTGCTGGTTTGGTGGTGGTCAGTGGAACAGTCAGAGGTCCAACTAGCAGTCACTAAACTCATGTTCTCTTGAGGTGGTGCGAAACTCGCCCGCCCAAAACTGGGCTTCCCAGTCCGTGCGCCACACCGCCCGCCTTCCCCTTCCAGCTTTGCATTAGCCACACTTACCCTGTTCTTCTCGTTCTTTTTTTCTGGGCCCCAGAATAATTACTACAGCTTCTATGGTTCCCGCCACAGCAAAAACCAGAGCATCCATTGAATGTATTGATTACACGAAATAGTAAACATATCGACTTAATTCAAAACAGAATAACACTAATCCTAACATTCATATACATACAAATCATATCATCACTCATTCTGTGTCATCACGTCGTGCACACTAACGAATTATGTACCGTGTAGTTCAAACTTTGCTCTCCCTCAGCCTCAGCCGCCGCGCTTAAATGATGTCACCACCAAATCCCCCGAACCCTCCGCCAAACCCGCGTCCCCCATACGGCCCCTGTCCTCGTCCAAACGGTGCCCCTTGTCCGGGTCCTACCGGATCATACCGCGATCCTGGTGGTGCTTGGGGATCGTAACCTTGTCCACGAGGTCCACCAAACAGAGGATCATCGAACGTGGGGTGCATACCACCACCACCGCCGCCGCCACCTCCCAGCCCAGGGCCTACGCCTCCTCGCAAAGGATCATTTGGGCCTAATCCGGCAGGGTACAAATCGCGGTCTCCAATACTCAACGGATTTCTTCCCCCCATACCTCCCGGGTATCCTCGGGGTGGTCTCTGGATCTCGAACTCATCCTCGAATCCTGGTGGAGGAAAGTCCCCCGCGGGAATGGGTCGTCGGGGAGGCACCGCTAGGGGGTCGTCAAATGGATACGGGCGAGCGGGTTGGGGCATCGGATCGTCTCGTAAGGGATCATGGCGTGGAGGTCTTTCCAGAGTTCTCTCGCGCAACGTCTCCTGTGGCTGATCGGACGAATCTTCGTAGCCTTCTTTGTACAATCCAGGCGCCAGCTTCTGCATGACGTTGATCTTGAATAATCCGATCAGGTCCTGGACACGAGAGGGAGATATAAATGCTTCGCGCAGTGCTGCTGGGAGATCATCGCCGGTAGTGGTCAAGGGAAGGGCTGATTCGGAGACGTAGTCTTTCACGGGGAGATCGAAGGATGTAGTTCTGTCATCGCCCAGAGCCAAGGCGAAAATGACAGCGTTATTTCCAAGTCGGCTAATCTTGAGCAGATACTGCATCGACGACTGTGAGTGGGCGTAACGGAAGGCAAAGGCCGTGTTGGCGTTCCATTCTGCGGGGAGTGAGGGGCTCTCGGATTGGTTCTCTGCAAGGTTGAGAATCATCAGTAAGGCGTACTTGATTACCTTGCAATGGTCGCATCGCACATACCTAGCGTATGATCTTCCCCAAGCCCGACTAAGCGAAAGCCGACTGCTGTCATAGACGCATGGCCAACTAGAGCGATCGCCTCGTATGGCGTCTTGAGACTAGGCGGCGCGGCCCCATCTCCGCGAAGAGCTGTTGCGGCGATCGCCAACACACTGTCCGAGCTCAAGGAGCCAGTGCTTTCAGCCATCTTGGTGGATGACAAAAGATGTTTTTGGAAGGAGAAGTAGTGGGATGTGAGTGCGAAGATGTCTTGATTTAAGAGGGGACTTGAGGGCGCTTACGACTTCATTGCAGCCTGCGGAGAACCTCGTAACCAGTGATTAGTCAGGATCGCGCCTTTCCAGATGCATAACTAGTTATTGTTCAGATTACCATCTGCGATATCTGCGCATCAAAGACAGTCAGGTATTATCATTTTACATATTGATACATAGTGATCATACTTCTAAAACACATGTCCCATCCTTTGATTTAGCACAGAACTTTTAGACCAGTCGTAGAGCATTATAGACTGGGTCAGAGTTATTGATTCACGTTACTAGTATATATCTCACGGCATTTGAATGTCAGTAGTAATACTACATGCTAGTGTCAACCAACTTGGTCAATTAGCTTGGACTACAATTACTCTTAGCATACAACATATATTTGCTCCTTAGAGCATTACTGATTGGTCTGAGAGGTTGCAGACTCCGCTCTAATGAGAACATGCTGATGAGTGATGATGGGATTAGCATCCGATTACGTTAGCTGACGAGGCAGTAGCGTGACACGAAAGATTGATAAGGAGAACCATCCCAGATACTAACACCTTCACGAGAGCATCTCCCTTTGAGAATCCAGGCTTGATGTAGGGGATGGCCGGTCAGTGCGACACAACTACTGCTAAAGCTAGCTTCCTTCACAGACTTACAGCTTCAACTTTATCACAAAACCTAAAATTCACCTAGAACTCGCCGACTATGTTTCAAGTCTGAAAACCTTCCTGCAGGAACCTGTGTCATAAGGCGAATGCTGTTGGTAGTAGCATCTATTATGAATCCAGAGGTAAATGTGATAACGGTAGCCAATACCCGATGACTATACCCCGTCCCGCAGGGTCTATTGAAATTTATTTTTACAACATCGCCTTGGGGAACTTCTTCATCGCCTGACGAACTCCCAAATCGGCCAGAATCTCCTCCGTGCCACCCAAGATGGCGTCAAACTTGTATGTCCGGTGGAACATCTCGATGACCTTACCCATGCCGGTCTGGGTCAAACCTCGTCCACCAAAGATGTTGGTCGCAAGGTCCGCGATCTCCTGTGCTGAGCGGGTGGCATGAGACTTGAGCAGGCCAATGGGGCCACCCAGATTAGCTGACTGCTGCGCATAGGTCATGTTGCACATCTGGTATGCAATAGATTCCAGCCAGGCCTGGTTCGATTCGCAAAGTGAAATCATTCGGGCAAGTCTGAAATATGTTAGCCTGTCGGAAGGGTATCCAGATAGATGACTTACTTTTGCCGCATAACAGGCTGCTCAATCAGCTTCTTGCCGAAGACAATGCGTTGGTTACACCACTTCATGCACTCCTCCACAACGGTCATGCACATGCGGACCACACTGCAAACCATCATGAAGCGCTCGTGGTTGAAATTGCTCATAATCACAATGAAACCTTTGTCTTCCTCACCCAAAAGGTTCTCCACAGGGACCTTGACGTTCTCAAACTGAACAAACGCGGTGGCAGCCGCTGTCGAGTAGGAGGTCTTGATCTGCTTAGTCTCGACCCCTTCGTCGCGGGGAATCAAGAGCACAGAGAAACCCTTTTCGGTCCGGCAGCCAGTGACAAAGTAGTCACAGAACATGCCATTGGTGATCCATTTCCTGGAATAGTGGTAAGTTCATGTACCTTTGAGCAAAAAGACTGGAGGTATGCGTACTTGGTTCCGTTCACGATGTAGTGCTTGCCGTCAGGGGTTTTCTTCGCGGTTGTGCGAAGACCAGCGACATCACTACCAGCAAATGCCTCTGTAACCGCCAGGCACATCTTCTTCTTTCCAGACAGGACTTCGTCAGTGATCTTCTGCCGAAGAGGCTCATTGCGAAGCCACTGCTGAACGGCAGTCAAGCTGATACACATGCCTGCCATGTTACCATCCTGAAAGCCTGCAATCTGTCAGTATCAGCGTTCCTCTGGCCCAGGCAAACATGAAGAGCCAACTAACCCCGAGCATTAGATCTCACCAACTCCTGTGAGAGCACCATGTCATGCAAGTAGTCGAACTCCTTTCCATCGATGACCCCGCCCAGGAGCTTCCGCCCGTGCAAATGCTTTCCTGGACCCAAGCGCATTGCTAGAATTCCCGCCTCCGCCATGCGATCGATCAACTCCTGACTGATATAGGTGCCATCCTTCTCCTTCTCTTGCGCCTCAGGGGTTATATAGCGATCAGTGAACTCTCGGAGCGCTTTCTGAAGACGACGGTGACTGTCATTGAAGTAGGGGCTCTTGAATTGCGGACGCAACCACAGAGGCTCGGCGTAAGGAACCTGGCTCAGGCTGCCGGGCTCGGGGGTGACAATTTCCGGGGTTTCGCCAGCTACCGTTCCAATGCAAAGATCCTTGTACTTCTCGAGGACTTCCTGTCGATGAAGGTTATAGAAATCGACCGTGGCATCCGTGCCTGCGATCTGGTTCAGAACAACACTGCCACCGGGATGTGCGTCGATAAAATCGGTCAAATCGTAAACGCGGTGATCGATAATGCACCAGACAGAGTCCTCCGTGTTGTGCTGCGCAACCTCGGCGCGGGTGAAGGTCTTCGACATGGTCGCGTTGGTGCTAACGTCGCAGCTTCAGATACCACCAAAACAAAAGAAAGTCCAGAGCCTTGCAGAAATACAACAAGAGCTGCAGAAACAAGAATGCGGGGAAGTAAATCGGTCCACGGCCTGGTTTTAAGTCATTGTTGCCAATCAATGCGAGTGGATTAGTATCCCTTAAGCATGCCCCGATGGGCCGAGGCTTTTACCGCATTAGGTAAGGCCGATCATCTGAAAGTTCACCGAGACCAAGGTTTGCTTCAGCTTTGGACCCTCTTCGCGTCTCTCATTATTGTTCGGCTCTAATAAAACTTTGAGATCGTGTCCTCAATGAGAGTCTCCTCGAGCTTACAATATTGGAAACGAAATTAGAGGACGGCATGTGAAGCATTGACGGACCAAGTGAATAACGTGTCGTATACAGAACAGCGCGTGATGCCACTATCAGGCAATCGGCCAATTTACCCGGAACTGCCTCGGTTATGCTGACCTTGGAACGGACCACAACGGCTCAGATTGGTGGCGTATGATCTCAAATATGAGAATTGACGCAGCTGGTAGTGGCTCGAGCTTTTCGGAGCCAATGACAGACAGGATGACAGGAGTCTGGCCGTAGATCGGCTGCGGAGGCAGAATGAGACGACCTGTTCTGCACAATCATCATAAACACAGGATGTCTAAGGAAATAGTCTACAATATGCATGGCGATCTACTATCCGAATAGTCTTATTTGACTGTGTATTCTCCAAATTATGAAATTGATCCTTTCATATTCTAGCACTAAAAGCAGCACCTAACACGGCCTCTGCCTTTACTATTCGCAAAATGCGTATGAAGTTCGACAACAGTCTATACACACCCTTCCCCTCCTACGAAACCTCCAACCTCAACGCATCGTACTGCACATACACGGTCGCCGGCAAAATCGCTGTCTCCGTATCCGTCGCGTTATACGGGAGATGCAAGGTCAAAACATTGTTGCCGACCTTCAGCCAGTCCGCCGGGAACTCCATGCGGGAGCGAACCTGATAGCAACTCACAGCCGACCGTACAATACAGCTGCTCGACTGATTGAACCCGATAAGAAGGGTCAACGGCTCGGCCTGATCGTTGATATAACTCTCCAGCGCGAGGTTGGTATATGGCTCCGATGCATTGTATACGTCCGTATTGCCGGATGCTGCTTTCGCTCCCGCCAATTGGATTGTGAGAGTGGCCTTGGACCGCTCTGCAAGATCGTCCTCACTCAGAGGGAAGTTGATCGTCCAGTCGTGCGTGGTATCGTATTCGACGCGCGGATCGTTCGGTGTCGGCCCGAATACAGACCAGTGGACCGTGTTCAGATCGGTTGCTGGATCACTGGTACCAATGGTATAGTTGATTCCGTCCGGGAAGTCAGATTGCCAGTCATATGCGCCCCAATAGATCAGGTACTCTGGCGGGTGAAGAGGGTGTGTGGGGTCCCTGGCAACTCCATGTCGAAACTCCCCGGAAGACTTGTCCGGTGTGCCTAGTCTCCAGATCTCAGTGCCTGCGGACTCAGCCTCCCAGGTTTCTTGGATGGTAGTTTTCTTGCCGGCCTTCACTTGCACGCCGTCGCGTACGAAGTCACCAAAGATTCCGTCGGCGTATACAGTAAGTCGGTACGGGCCCTCTTTGACATGGTCCACGCTGAAATGCCCGGAGTCGTCGATCTCAGCCCAATACTGGTATGATGATGAGTTCACCGAGTTGTCCTGGAAATACTGCCCGTCCACGGTCAGGACTGCGATAGGTCTAGTGGCACCTTTGGGTAGCTTAATCTTCCCTTGAACGCTGCCGCGTTGACTGGAAGGCGTGTATCCGACCACGTGTTTGGCGATGGAGTCGTAGAAGTCGACGTTCCAGCTCGGATCTGCCAGGGTTTCCGCGTCAGATTTCAGCTCTTGTAGAGACGCAGTGGAGCCTTTTCCGCCGTTGAAGTGATAGTATTGAGGGCCGAAAGTGCGATCAAAGCCGTAGGTGATGTTAGGAGTGCCTTCGCCGTGGTGATTGGACACGAGGTAGTTGTAGACGATGCCGTCGACGGTGAGATCCGAGTGCAGGGGGCCCTAAGGCAAATGGTCAGCATTTTCTCCAATCAATTGAGAGAACGCAGTGACATACACCGTAGTAAGTATCCTAAACAGAACAGAGAAATGCACCATTAGCCAGGGCTCCGATACACCTTCCAAGATCCAAAATACCTTAGTATTCATAACCAACCAAGCCCCAAACGTACTCCCATTCGATGTACTCCCATCGGCATACATGCCATGAACGGAATTATCCCTCCACGCTAGTAAGCAAAACCACAAGTCAGCCAACCCCATCCCCTTGACAATAGACACAAAAACATACCATTGGAAAACGTATACTTAGTAAAATAATCCGCAAACTGCACATAATACTCATCAGTCGGAGTATTATTGAACGTCCAGGTCGCATCCTGCACCACCACCTCCTCTTCCACAGCCTTCTTACTCGGCAACGGCGCCGTCTGCACCTCACTCGAAGACAAATGAGTCCAAAGCTCCGTATTGGGCCGAAACAAGGTGCGGAATTCCTGCAGATTGCGCAAATATGGCGTCGTCTCGTTGTAGTACGCTAACCGGCTGAATGTATGGAGCCCTGTTTCGCCGTCGCGCAGGAACCAGTATTGTTGGAAATGTTGGCCCGTCGGCGGGTAGGTCTCGTCCATGAGGACGCCTGCATAGCTGGTTCCGGATTTGTCGGTGCCGGTGAAGAGTTGCAGGGTTGGGGAGGTGGAGCCCGGCGTGTAGAAGCCGGAGGGGATGCAGTAGCAGTCGAGGTAGGGGCCGACGCCGGTGTCGCCAGATTGGGGACCTAGGAGGTCTTGGTTGTCGAGGTAGAGGTCGGTGATTCGGCCTTGGGATTTGGAGAAGTTTGCTGTGAGGCGGTTGTTGGTCAGGGTTATGGTGGTGTTGGTTTGGGAGGTGTGCAGGGTCGCGGAGGTGAGGGTGAGGAGGAGGGAGGCTGGGATGAGGGGGTGGAGGAGGCGCATTGTGATGGCGCTTTGGGTGGTGCGATTGAGAGGAGATTGTTGTGCACCCTGTATACGGAATTGAAGGGTTCAATGGAGAAAAGATTGCATGCCATCTTATAGTTTCTGTGATGGTGAGAGTGCTGGAGGGCGGGTGGCATTACCCCGAATGAGGAGGTTGACAACATGTTGTTGTGCAGGGCCAAGAGGTATGCGCGATGCATGACAGGAAGAAATTACTGCAATGATACTGTTAGGAGCTTTTTAATGGCTGCAGAAGCAGTCGCTTAAGATCCGGGGTAAAATCGCGGGGAATTCAGCAGCCAAGCGAGACGGATAAATTGTTGTCAGTTCCTTCGACGGAGAAAATGCTCGGCCAGCATTGTCCCGATAATTCCTGTAGCTTTGATCCCCTCATCAGCTGAATTATCTGTGGAGAAGCTGTCATAAACTACCATGAGGAGCACTGGCCTCGAGAGCTCTAATTTGATGTGAATAGCAGTATATTAGTATACTCTGCCGTGCATCCACATCTACTTGGGGTAGCCACAATTTGGCACCAAAAGACACGTCTTTGCACTGACGACACTACCCTAAGACAATCCTACAATAAAGGTCAAAGGCGACTGCAAGAGCCGTGCTCACTGCCGGATTGCCTATCAAAGCGTCATCAGTCGCGTCAGTCTTTACTGGAAGTCCACACTGAATTCACTAGACTCAACAAAAAACTAACCAACGTCCATACAGTACGTGATATCACCCAGCCAAGAAGATATCCGAAGTTGAGAGCCATCTTTGTGAATCTAGCCGATAGAACTTCCGACGCGGAAAGTTAGATCTCGAGTCAGCCAAATGCGGGGATCCTTCCGTACCCCGGATCAGGACCCCCTGAACCCCGGTACACACTAGCAACTAGCTTCTCCCCAGACTCGCGACAACATCAGGGTCTTATAAAGTTGGGCGAGATCAACGGACCCGCATCCGACGCCATCACCGAACATTCCGTCGGATGCCATCCCGTGCATCGTTGTTCTGGGTATGGAGTGTATAACCTCGGGTAGCAGGTCGTTGGCCACTCCTGAGCACACAATTCGGAATCAATTCCTCACTTCAGTGGTCAATTGGTGGTGATCCCCATGATATACATCCTTGGCATCCAGCTGCCCAAGGACCGTGCACACTGTTGATATGGCGTTCAGCTTGGTTCAGCTCCAGTCCCGACGGTCCTGGCCTGTAAGGGGCCCGGGACGCTCACCGCGGTGCAGGGTTGCCTGGCATATAAAGTAGACTGAAGACTAGTATTTGTGCATAGAGCTGTGGGAAGTGCTAATTAAGTCTTCACTACCACTGCTGCTGCCTCTAGCCTAGTTAACTTTACCACTCATATCTCGGCGCCTCGATTCACGCCCTACGCACTCTTCTCTGTCACCATGACAGAAGATGTATCCTTGGGCACCGACATGGCTCGCTCTGACACACTGAAGAAGAACGGTCATGAAGAGGTTCATCTTGAGAATGTATCTCCAACGCCACCTGGCCAAGAGCCAAACAGGAGCCTTTGGACAGATCCTTCTCCCACCAACCCTCAGAACTGGCCTGTCTGGAAGAAAAATGCCCATATCTTGATGGTGGCGTTTCATTCAATGGCCGCAACCTTCATGGCGGCGGGAATTATACCGGCCTACGACATCATGGCTGAAAGGTACAACATAACGGTGCCACAAGCCAGTTATCTCACCTCCGTTCAAGTACGTGATATCTATCGTTTACTCAGCGCTTTTTCCACAGGGTCAACTCCTCCCCTTTAGTATTGGACGTACCGCCTGACTCACATTCGATCATCTGTACAGATCTTGCTCTTAGGAATTTGTCCCCTTTTCTGGAGACCGATTGCCAACACCTACGGACGATACCATGTATTCCTGTTTTCGGTCCTTGGAAGTATGGTCTGCAATATCGGTGGAGCTCGCTGTACTACCTACGGGACACAAATGGCCACTCGAGTACTCGCCGCAATCCTCATCTCTCCCCCTATTGGAATAGGCAGTGGTGTGATCACGGAGCTGTGTGAGCCAGAGAAACGAGCGCAAAAGCTTGGGTGGTGGACACTCATGTTGACGCTTGGAACTCCAGGTGGGCCATTTATTATGGGTTTTGTTACAAAGCGAATTGGGTTTGAGTGGATCTATTGGATATTCGCCATGATGAACTTCGGGCAGTTCATCGCTTACCTGCTCTTGGGTGACGAAACGCTGTACATTCCGACCGACGGCGATACTCATGATGCAGGCGTGGCTAGATCTCGCTTCGTCCAGAAGTTCATCCCTCGCCGGATCAACCCGCGTCCGCTTAAGCTTCGCGAATTCATCGAGCCACTTCTCTTTACGAGGCTTCCTAGGGTGCTGATTCCTGCATGCGCTCATTCTATAGTGTTCTGTTATGGAAACATTGCTTTGATTGTCGAAATGCCAATTGCTTTTGGCGAGAAGTTCGACTTCGATTCGCAGCAAATTGGTCTGCAATTCATTGCTATCATTATCGGGTGTGTCCTTGGTGAGCAGTTGAGTGGCCCTATGTCAGACCGGTTTCTGCAAGCCATGCATAGAAGAAGAGGATATCACCGTCCCGCAGACCGGCTATGGCTCTCATACATTGGCTTTGCGACTGTCATTGCTGGCCTTTTCGTATGGGGATTTCAGCTACAGAAGGCTACCAGCTGGAACGTGACCCCATGCGTCGGCGCCGCAATCGCCAGCTTTGGAAACCAAATCATCACGACAATCCTTATTTCGTTCGCTGTTGACAGCTATAAGGAAGCGTCGACTAGTGTCGTCGTCTGCATCAACGTGTTTCGACATGTGTATGGTTTTGTAAGTCAAAGAGCAGACAGCTTTAGTGGTTCCTTGCTGATGGTTTTAGATCGGTCCATTTTATTTCCCTGACATGTTCGAGACGTTGGGCCTGGGCGGTGCAGCTGGCGTCATGTGTGCTATCATTGGAGTCTGCGCACTGCCCTCGATCATTGCCATACATTTCGTTGCTACGCGCGCAGATCAGAAGACGCAAGATGTTGTTACGGATTAATATGGTTATGGCTTGAATGAAAGATCCTATACTGGGGAATTAGTGATATTACAACTTGACAACAGGAAGGAAAATGAACAGCTCCATCTTGGATGACTTACAGCCTCGAAAGACGTCGTCAATATCCTTAAGAAAAGACAATACATTCTCCCACAGCTGCCTAGACCGATGCCATGTCGTAATCAGCCGGTCAACTCAGAGAACAGGTTACATATCGACTCTCGTGGAGCAGAAGCCCAAAGAAAGTTTGTTCCGTAGATTTTGTAAATAGAAGAAAAAAAAAAAAAAAAAAAAAAAAATCACCTTCACGAAGCCAGCTCAGAATAAATTGCTTGGAACACTGTTCAACCATGACATATCTTGAAAGTCTGGGAATTCAAGGCCATCCAACAGTATTGAATTGATACCCTCCCCTAAGGAGAGGTCGCCCAGACCATTAGATGCAGGATTTGAAGGAAAAGTGCTCGCTGGGTGGTCATGGAGTGGAGGCCCTTCGGACACTACCCTTTCGTAGAGAATTTCGAGAGCTGCAACACATCGCCGGGCGGACGTACTGTGGCTGTGATATCTTTGCAATACTTCCAAAGCGTTCTCCCATGATTGCGTCATTGCAGCTTCAGTCACCTCTTCTAATATAGCAGAACATAGACGACCGGCTATGAGAACGGTAGCAGCGGTATAAACGTCTGTCCTTTATGAGCTTCGCTGAAAATATTCACCAAGGCTGGACCACTCACACAGAATGTTGTACCACCAAGCAGGAAGGGGGCCCGAACTTCCATCGGCGGGCAAGTTACTGTGAATTAGCCCGATAACCTCTTGCGCAACCTTTACGCATATGGTCGAGCATTGCAATGCAACCCGCTGAGGAAAAGAGTCTTGCAGGGAAATCAAGGGATCCACGACCCCAATTTCACGTGAAGTGCAGTATCTAGACAGGATAGGTCTGAAGAGAAGCATCCTTACATGAAGGAATCTTGTGGGAGGGTTAGTTTGGCAGTTCACCCTTCAACGCAGACTTAGGAACACACCTTGCACGCAATACAACACTTTGGTGGTAGAAGACCGTATATCCGCCTCCTAGATGGGATTCACCTCGTAAGTGTGATGGTAGGCTTCGGGACCACTTCGTAAGTGCCCGATCAAGTTCAAATATCGTCCGCTCTCCTTGATTTGCTTCCTTGTTGAAGTAATAGTCATAAATGTCTTCTGGGCTTTCATCGGTTGTGGGGCTATAAAGGCTCAACAGAATGTCATTCAAGATCTCATAAAGTTCAAGAGACTTTGCATAGAACGCCATGACCGATGGCCGGTCTGCTGGCTGTGTCACTTCGGACCCAGACACTGCAGGGATATACTCTTCATCCACCGTAGCTGGAAGAGGAACCGAGCCACATGACGCCTTAGAGATCATGGCAGGGCGCCCAAATGTCATAGATATAACCCTACAACGTATTAACATTCGACGAGACTAACGTATCGGATCGAAGTTACATACCGATCCATCAGGACACATCCGTGCCATATTTTGCGAGCCAGCTGCTGTTCCTGGGGATTATGTAGACGAGCGATCGTCTGGGGAAGATGCAAGCCAAGCCCTTGGGCATTGCGAATCGCCAGTCCGGTGACAATCCAGCACTGATGGGCGGAATCGGTGCTTTGCAAATACTGGGCCATGAGAAGCAGACATTGAATCAGAGCAGCGGAACCTGTGTTCCAGAGATTAAATTGAAGAAGATCCTTTGCACGAGTAAAGAATGCATCTGCAGAAGCCTCTCGCTCCTCTGGCGGGATGAAATCAGCCAGTTGACAGGCTAATGCAAAGATGACATTGACGGTACACATAAGCATGTTCTCATCTGATTGAAGAACCTCCCCTGTCCAGATCCTCTCATATTCTCTTCTCAACTGGAGACTATCAACGAGGGGATATAGTGGAAAAACAAACTCCCAGTATACCTCCATGAGGCTATCGGCTGTCTTCCGTGGGGGGAGGACATAATTAGGGACTGTAGGTGGCCGCGGCTTCTTTGTGGACATCAAACTGGGAGGCGGACCGACCCCTAGAATCGAATCTGAAGTGTGGCGATTCGGCGAGGAAACCTTCTTATCTATGACAGTTTTGATCTGACGTATAAAGCTGGCGGCACTAGAGCTGCCAAAAAAGCCCTGCGTGGGACGCTCATCCTCCACGGCACCCATCATGGCATTGACACTGTCCGTTGGGTCTTTCAGTCGAAGCGACTGGTCCAGCGAGCTTGGAGACTGATAAGAAGTTTGCCCGGTAACAAGACGGGCATTCGCTTTCGGTGTACATTGTGAGGTGCTTCTTGCTGGAGAAAGATGATCCGCATTTGTAGTCGTTACAGAGACAATGCTCCTAGGTCGATTATGGCGAACTGACAGTCCTGATGGCCCCGATGGAGACACCACCGATGCTCCCATAGAGGGAGAAGTATAATGCTGCAACGTGTAAGTGGGACCAAAACATACTACTCTCACGGGTGGTATATGCCGCGATGATGGAAGATAGGCAACGGGGCAAAAAGTAGCTTACCTGCAAATGGTCCGAGCCATCATGTGATTGCACAGGCACTCCTTCGCCACCGTTGTAGAGGGAATGAGGACTCTCTAGATGCTTGATTCGACTTTCCAGACTTTCGATATAACTGTCATTATAAGGTGATGGTTAGTCCTAGTAGCCCGGTGGGGAATCGGGAAAGAGCCCGTTAGTGCCTGAGGCAGTTAGGAGGCACTCACTTGCGAACTGCTCGCTTTTTCTCCAATTCTCCAGTGTAAACACATTGGCTTCCCTGGTCCACTCGTTTTGCGCACGGCCCACAGACTTGATACCAAAAGTTAGCGACATAAGCTGGTCCTGTCCGAAGAAGCCCCCAATTGCAAAAAATACGCACTGGGTTGTCTCCCGTCACAGCGGACCTTCCGGGCACGGCATTCATCACAAGCAATTGCCACTTTCCGGCGTTTAGGGGGACGATCAGAAGCGTCGGAACGACGAACATGAGAATCTTGCCCACTAGACATTGTGGGGAGGGTTCAGGGGTGTCATGCAATCGTAGATAGAAGACCCCGGACTCACAGCAAGCAGGTGGGCGGTGCAGGGAAGGAAGAGAATCCGGGGTCGCGGGGAACGGGATCTCTTCCGGTGGAGGCCGGATGACTAAATTGGCGTGAGCCAGCCAAGAACCACTCAACTCGTATTAACCAACAGATGAGGCTCAAAAAGCTCCTATTATGAGAAAGAAGATTCAGGCTATGCTGTGAAGATTGAGCATGTTTAGCTTCAAACATTGTCTGCATCAAATTCGTTGTACTTGCGAGAGTTGATCAGGTGGACTGACTATAGGCGGGCCTTGTTGGCACGGAATGGTTTCCGAAGAATCAGAACATTGACAAACTCGGAATTACTGCATCTTGTCACTGCTGGTGTTGTTCTTGTTGTTTGCCCCCTGCAGCTCTATGGGTGACAAATGGTGAACGGTCCTTCAAATGCAGTATTTGATACCCTCCAACTCTTACTGCCAGACAACATGTCCTAAGTTTTGACTAACTCAAGTCTCAAGGATTGATAGTGCATATTAAGCGAAATCCTCATTGAACGAAGGAGATTTCGACTATCTACAACAACACACCGTGGAAGAGGCAATGGCGAGTTAACAATTCCAAACAATTTATATACAATGACGTACAAATATCAACAGAACATCTTCGACTCCGATAAAATCATCCGACTGTACATAGATCAACCATCAGCCGAGAGGAACAAGATTGACACCCCTTTGGAATGTTTGCGTCGCAGAGAGTGACATTTAGACCAGACGCCCGATGGCAATGCACGGGAGGCTGATGAGGTTATAGCTCTGTGTCACAATGATTGTCAGCATCTCTATCTCACTGGGTTACGCATCCTGGTCACTCACGCCTTCAGAGCAGCAGGCAACGCTCCGAGATCCTTCGTCATTGCCGCCTATCATAGGACAAATTAATCAGTTTCCGTACCTAGCAAACAGCTTCAAGGAGATCAACTTACAAGGACCACAGTTGTTTCCGCCCTGCAATTCGCCGGGAATACCCTCGCCCAATCCGGCCCGGAAGCGACTCTCGTCTTGTCGGGAGAGTCCGTGCTCGGGACTAAAGCCCTGACAACACCTTACATTGTTCGTTCCGCAGGCGTTCTGGGCATGAGACCTGGTGAGCCCTGATTCCGAGCGGTCGTTGTGGCTGATCCACTGGTAGTTTTGAGGGACAACGCCGGCCACAGCGGTGGCAGCGAGGAGGGTGGCAATTGAGAAGAACTTCATGGTGATGGCTGGTTGGCTAAAGAGATGGCAGAGAAGCGTGTTTATTGAGTAAGGTCTGAGGTGAAAATATCAGTGGCTTGTGCTGTTGATGATGGCTCTCAAGGGTAGGCGTGAGGCGCCTCTTTATAGACGCCTGGGAACTCCTAGGTTCTGATCGCGAACTACGGGTATCCAATGTATTCGGCGATGATGAAGCTTACAACACTTGATGAGGTCTCAGCATAGCTCCTTGCATGAAAATAGTCTATGTGGTGGCAGTGCGCCGTCTACGACGTCTGAAGGCCTCTGTTGCAGAGAGACCATCAGGAACCATTCATGTGACATCAGTCCTCACACTGCATAGTCCGCTTATGGAACCTCCTCATACATTCGGTACCAGTGAGCTGTGTACGGAGTATAGCATATAGAGCGACCGGATAAGGCAAAGTCTCTAAAAGATGCATGATATTCAGGGGATATACCTGACATGTCGCTTACAGCAGAGGCCTGTCCAAACCTTGCGCTATTCGTGGACGGATCCCACATTGATAATCTCTCAAAAACAAAGGAGTTCATGACATCTCATGTGTGACCCACAGCATGAATCTGATATCACAGAAGATCGCCCATGGAGACTACAGTATGCATAGCTGGATCTGATGAAATTGATCAGCAGTCGGATGAATATTAAACTGTCATTGCTAATTTCCGTTTTATCCCCGATAAAAAGCACACTCGTCGGATTTATACATCAACGTTCATGCCAGTTCATAGAGTCGAACATCCTACTTCTAATACCTTCCTGCACAAAGCCGGAGAGAAGCGGGAGAAAGTTTTAAATCATGTGAAAGATACAACCAGATTTGAACTGAATAAAATAAGCTATCATTTTGGAACAGGGGTTCCCGTAAAAATTAATGGTCATTTGTCTGCGGGTCTCTAAGAATGATTGTCCGTGACATGGAGAATTATGTTTGTCCCGATAGCAAGCACTGACTACCTGGCGACGATCATTTCCTCAATAACAGCAAAAGACTTTCCGAGATCGACTGACTAGCATCTTGAGTGCATAAACAATAGTCAACAGACCTGTAATCCCCTTTTTTCTCGGATAAAGAAAACCATACGCGACTAGCAGTGTCAAGAGACTATCACCAATCACGGCGGCACCTCATGGTCGAGCAGGTTTCCATGCATCCAGTTGCCTAATTCTCGGTCTGGGTGACACCAAAACAAACCGTGTTTCGCTAGAACATTTCAACAGAGGTGGAGTGGAAGTCCCCGAGCAGATTCTGTATTCCAATTTCCATCATAGGATTACGGTCATAGGTTGGAGTCGGCATGTTTGATTGTGGCAGAGATGTGCACGTGGGTAGGTTCGCTTCGGCCAGCTGCGGCCGCTGATTGTCGCGCAATCTGGTCACTGGCGCGACATAGTGGGCGCTGCACATTATTGCTGAAGCATACAATTGATTTACATGGGCTGACATGGTCCCTCCGAGCTGCACAGCCTATCCGGGTGGACCTGCTTGCTGCGACGACGGTTGTCTCCGTAGGCCACCTGGGAATGGCGGGCCATAGTCACGCCCCGGTGGTCAGGGCACGACGCGCACAGTAAGGCAGACGTAACTACTACCAGAAGGTAAAGTAACCATGCAGCATAAAATAAGTGCAGTCCGGAGAGGATTAGCCCGCTTGAGAGAGGAGCCCAAGTATTGTGCGGACAGCCGAGCAGAACGAGCTAGTCAACTTCGACTGCGCTGCGCTGCGCATTGCCGCAGGCGCACATAGTCAGACCGTCTCAGAAATTGCTCCGTTCGCTTCAGAATAGAGAATGCGTCGAATAGAGCAACTATAGCAAGCACTCATGAGACCGTCAAAAAAGAATCCGATGGATGGCGGGATTTTGCTCGTTTCGAGAAATTAGCCCCCAACAGGATTCTCAGAATAGCTCATCCACCCGTTAATTCGGTCCGCCTCGTATCAGATTAGGCAGATAATGTTAGAATTTAGCATGAGAACCATACTGAGATTCCAGAGGCTCCGCTATAAATACCAGACTCATGGAGTTGACATGGATATAGCCAGCAAGAGGATCAAAATCACAGCATCTGCATCATGAGACTCTCCGCTAGAGGCTTCGTTTGGAGTGCACTTCTCGCATGCACTGCGTCAGCCCTGAGTGAAGCTGCAGCAACTGCTAGCAACAGCAGTCAAACTCTGCGCACCTGTGTGTCCCAGGCGCTTGTTGCGGGCGATGTCAACACCCGCATCATAGACCCTAGCAATGACACCTACACGGACGCCCGTTTGGGCGAGAAGATTCAGTCTGTTATATCATTCCCTGCCTATTTTGGACACACACTAATGCGGCTATAGGTTCAATGAGTTTCCAGCACTGATAGCATACGCAAAGAAAGCGGAAGAAGTGGCATCGCTCGTCCGCTGTGCTCAGAGATCGGGGTTCAAAGCCGTGCCTCGGTCAGGAGGTCACCAGTTAGTAGAAACCCCCCTCTGTCTACGTTCATTGACTATTATGGCCCTGAGTTCTTGCTAATCAACAGCAGCTTTGAGGCATGGTCAGCTCTCAATGGAACTCTGGTCATTGATCTCAGCCATATTAACCACGTCAATGTTTCTGCCGATACCACCACCGCCAATGTCGGAGCAGGCATTCGACAGGGCGCTCTGTACCTGGCGCTGGATGAGCACAACGTCACATTTCCGGGTGGAATTTGCCCAACCGTTGCGCTGGGTGGGCTCGTGTCGTCCGGCGGGTTCAGCCTGCAGATGCGTGCCCTTGGACTCGCTGCCGAATACGTGCAGTCCGCGCGTGTCGTTCTCGCTGACGGCAGCCTCGTGACAGCCTCGTCCAGCTCGCACGAAGACCTTTTCTGGGCGATTCGAGGTGGCGGGGGCGGAACGTATGGGATCATCGTGGACTTCGACCTGCAGTTAATGCAGTTCCCCACGTCAGCAATGGTAGCCATCTCCTGGAACGCCAGCAGTGACCGGTACCCGGTGGCGCAGCGATTCTTCGACTGGGCACCGGTGCAGATACCAGCATTTACTTCGCAGGTGAATGTGTACAAGAGTAGCATCAACTTCCTCGGCCAGTATCTGGGAGGTACCGAGAATGAACTCCGCAAGCTGATTAACGAGTCGGGGCTCCTAAATATCGGGACCCCAACCGTCTACATATCCGGGAACTGCGACACCGACAACTCCCGGCTCTTTGGCTATACGAGCTACGAATGCGTCCCGGCTAATGAAACGAATCGACAGATCATGAACGTGCTACCAGAGCCGTTCTCTCAATACAGCGACTACCCGCAATATCAGTACGAGAATGAGCCAGAGGACCCATCCATTCCCATTGCTGAACCTTGGGCCCGCTTCAACCGTATCAGCAAATCATTCTTCATGCAGAAGGACAATATCCTTCCTGCAGCAGATCTGAAGACCGTTATTGATATGATGGGCCAGTTAGACACAGACTCGGAGATCTGGGGTGAGTGGCATGCATGGAACATCTCCAGCGCGACTAAAGCAGACTATGCATTTCCGTGGCGCGAACAAGCATATGCGCATCTAGAGTTTCAGGTACATGGCTCGTTGACGAACTCAACGAAGCAAGCGACCTATGAGAAATGGTTTGCGGATTTGGAGACTTATCTGCGGCCAAAGATTGGGTGAGTGGTTACACTGGTACACGTGCTTCACGCGTGAAAGTCTGAGGCTAATAATTGTCATCATCATCTAGGGTTGCATCGTACTCTGGAGAGATGGATGCTCACATCTCAACGAACCCGTTCGAGTCATATTACGGCGATAGTGTCTGTCGACTAGTTGAAGTCAAGAAGGCTTACGACCCGGACAATTTTTTTACGAATCCCGATGCCATCACACCAACCGTGCCGGAGGGGATTAGTTGCTAGAAGGATCGCTCGGCTGTGGAAGACTGTAGCAGCAGGGGTAAATTTGTGAGTTGTACAAGGTTGTACAATTAATAGCCAAGGAATACATATGTACTAGCTAGTGTCGACAGTATACATTGCATAAGATGTGGGTCTTTTCTGATCATATTTCAAGGTTGGAGACAAAATGAAGAACAGTCCTGAGCTAGAAAAATCTTGATGACTGACAACTAGGTATCATGATGTTGTCTCGTTTTGATTCTGATGCAAATGGGCAGATAGTAGGTGAAATCTACTATGTATTGGAGAGTTGATAGTATATACCTATTGCACGATAGAACCTCTATTAGTTCTAGACCCCTGGGCCACGTACGTGAGCCTTTGATTGTAAGTTCTTCTAGCTTTCGAATATAACTACAAGATAGAATCGATATATTTAGCCTAAATTTACTATATAAAAATAGCCAACTATCTAGGCTTCAGAATCACACCTCCAATTGATAGTCCATCTAGAAACTTCGATCGGGTTCTGCTACCTGTAGAGAAGTAATCGCAAACAGCCTTGAGGGGACATATTAGCATAGATAAAATATAAAAATGCTATATATTAGCATCTTGATTGGGTAAAATCTCAAGAGCAAGGGTATTGATTTTCAAGTATGCTGTACAGCATGTGGCTAACACTCACGGTTGTGAATTAAAAATGTACAAACCTGAACCTTCAACTAAATGGCATGAACAAAACACTCGACATTAAAATTGGCATAAGTTCTGCACTACTACTCCAAGACATAAATTATTGACGCCTAGAATCAACGTGCTCCTCTCTGACTGGATGGTGCTAGCTACGGTAATCGATCCCTCTGACAAAATCCTGATCCCAGCGCATCTCCTTCCGTCCCCAGACGGAGACTTTCTCATCCTCCGTCGCAAATATAAACCCACTACCTCCGTTTGATCTTGACAGAATTCCAATCTCTCCGTACTCCATCTGTTAATTAATTCCTCTTACTATCATTCTTATTCCGTAATCCATAATCCTTCATCCTTCAGACACAACATCATGTCCAAACCAACCATTGCCTTCCTCGGTGCCACGGGCGGCTGCATCAACGCCTGCCTCGCCCACACCCTGCAAACCGGCTATCACGCCGTCGCACTAGCCCGCACGCCATCCAAGCTGACGGCCCTCCTTCGCACCCAGAACATCGACCAAGAGACCCTGGACTCACGACTCCGCATTGTGACCGGCGATGCGACCGACCCGGAGGCCGTGAAAAGTACGCTTCTTCTGCAGCCTGGCTTTCCTACTGATCCTACGACATCAGCATCCTCACCAACACCAACCCTGGTATCCCATATTATCTCAGGAATCGGTGCCACAGGCAACTTCCGTGGCTGGTGCTTCGAATTTGACCAGCCGCATATCTGCGAAGAAGCCACACGGGCACTCCTCACTGCCCTGCGAAACATCTACGCCACGTATCCGGAGTTCATGCTGCCTGCAAATGTGAAATCCAGACCGCTCCTCACCGTCCTCTCTGGCATGGGCGTCGACCCGAGCCAGAAGCAGATGGATGTGCCGTTCTTGTTGCGTCGGGTGTATCATGGGCTGCTGCATGTGCCACATGCGGATAAGTGGGTGATGGAGGAGATGCTGGCGAAGAGGGAGGCGAGGGAGTTTTTTCGGGGTGTAATCACGGTGAGGCCGGGGAGTTTGTTGACCGGGGATCATATGCTGGGTTCTGGATATGGGTATGAGAAGGTCCGTGTGGGGACGGAGAGGGAGGAGCCTTCCGTGGGATGGACTATTCCCAGGGCGGATGTGGGCGAATGGGTGTTTCGTGAGGTGGTGGTCATGGGGGGTGGGAGGTGGGTGGATGAGAAGGTGACATTGACTTGTTGGTAGAGTTGTTTGTTTGTTTTGGGAGATATAGTGAGTTGTAGGCGAAGTGAGTGAGTTTTGGGTTACTGTTCATTGATGGTTCTTAGCAAGTATGAGAAGTATGAGAGGGTAATTTAATGTGGCACGAGAATCTAATGTTATTCTGTTACGGTGCACGAAAACGTAGGAATGAGTGATTTCCTTATGTTTGTTTGCGCAATAACTTGTAGACTTGTGAAAAGCGTAACATGTAATTCTAAAAGGCCTTCTTGCAGTGCGTCTATAAATCTCCATCGTTGAACAGCATTCGCAAATTGTCCGTCCAGACCCCATCCCAGTAAGCGACAGTGCAGATAAAAAAAAAAAAAAAAAAGAAGACAAAGTACATCTCATAGAAACAATGAAATCTAGCAAGACTCTAGGATCTGTCTAAGCATGCTGGTCACCTCCTCCACGTGTTCCTCATCGAATAAACTATCGTGCCGTGCGTCGATCAACAGCGTGCGAAATCGATCGAAGTTCTGCGGCCTCCACTGCAGGGTGGGGTGCAGAGCACACCTTCGGATGCACCGTTGCCGGGCAGAAAATAGCGCGGGAACAGTCTCAGACAATTGTGTACATTTGACTAAAGTCACACTGGTATGACAGACGCTGTTTGGCGGTAGCAGCTTGCCGGGCTCGGTGCTAGAAATGGAGAGAGTGCTGGCATGAATGTGGCGGCGCATCGTTGAAAACAGACGATGCAGGTTGTCATCCTCCTCCTCCTCGTCACTCATAGTACTCCCGTCGTCGCTGGCATCCGAGGCATCTGATCGGTTGTCTTCATCGTCGCTATCGTCTGCAAGATCTGCCATTCCCATCGCTTGACAGACGTTTGTGAACAGTCCGTCTGCGATGATGCGGTGCTCTTCCTCATTAACGAACGCCGGATATTTCTCTGGGTTGATGGAGTCCAGGAGAATGACTTGCTGGACGGTCTCCTTCTTGGCTTGCAGGATCTCCGCCATCTTGACAGCGATCATCCCGCCCATGGACCAGCCCCCTAGGAGATATGGGCCATGTGGCTGGAGCTCCGACTGTAATCGTTCGACATACTCCTTGGCTATCTCTTCTAAAGAGGATGGTAGAGTATAACGACTCACACTGTAAACTGGTGATGAGATTCCATAGACTGGTCGGGACCTGGCCGGGTCACTTGTGTTGCTGAGGTTGCCAAGCGCCATATAAGGCCATGCCAGGCCGGACACTGCATGAATGAAGATCAACGGGGTTAACGACGAATGAGCATCGCCCTGGATGTGCAAAATAGGTTCCATAGTTGAAGGAGGCTTTTGGCTTTCTTCCTCTTTATCTTTCTTCTGTTGTCAGTGATTCTGATCGCAGAAGATGTGCACAAGATGAAGACCGCCCCGAGTCATCTATGGATACTGAAGAGATGGAAGAGATCTGACAACCAAGGAGTTTGTATTATCCAGTTCCAGTTTCATGTTTTGCCTCCGTCTGATAGTTCCACCAAAGATACTGCCATTTTGTATCCGTAGTTAGACGGAGACAAATTGACAACGACAGCCTTGGGGGCCAAGTTCAGACATACTTCCAGCCGCACGCATGGATGTATACCTTGTTGCTACGTGAGCGTACGCCAGCTTATCGACCTATTTTAGGACCTGCTCCCACGTGGAGATTCTGCAGCAAACGCAGGAAACAAGGACCAGAAATTCGTCATCATCGTTTCTCCTTAGCAATCGGCTAGGATGTTTCCCTGCTCTCGTATTTGGTCTCTGCTCGTTGCAGCCGCCACCGCTAGTGCTGTACCCACCAGTCTGGCCACCACGCACCTGCAATCGGTTGACTTGCTTCTGACTCGCAGTTCTTACGGGTTTCTTACTGACATAGCCCTTGGAACTCCGGGTCAGAGCCTGCCGTATCTGGTTGACTGGACCTGGACCGGCCACTATGTGGTGACCACCTTGTGCTACAACGATCCCACCGCCACCTACGATTGTCTCAACGTCGATCAGAAAATTTTCAACCAGACTTTGTCATCCACTTTTATCAACCAAACTGACCAGTATGGCTATCTTTACTGGGATCCCAACCACTTCTACTTTACGGAGCCCGCAGCAGCCGATGTGGCGACGGACATGCTGCGCATCGGTCCCACCGCGGTGAACACCACCATCCAAGCAGCCAATTTCGTCTTCAACGAGACTATTAGCGCATTCCCTTTCTCGGGAGTATATGGACTCTCACCTGTTTTTCAGGGTGACAATCGTGAGTTGTTTCCCCACCGTCATAAAACTAATTCATGTTAACACGAATCATAGGATCCGTGCAAGCGTCCTTCTACCAAGGATGGAGGAGCGGCGCCTGGCACTCTCCAATTGTCTCTTTTATCTACTGCCACGACAATGCCACCAAAGCGGTATGCAGTGGTTACGACGGCCTTCAGACACTAGGCGGATACAACACCTCTCACGTCCAGGGAGATATCACCTGGTACGACATCATTGTCACGGAGGCGATCAACACGCTGGACTTTGTCTATGCGCCAGCCGTGATTAATTATTGGGCGTTGAACCTCACGCGCTTCTCTATCGGAGACGAAGAGCAAGAGCTCAACAAGACCACTACTCTGGATGGAAAGCAAGCCGCCGTTGCCGCGTTCGACCACGCTTCGTATGGTCGCGGTGCCCCAGTGTCTGTGTACGGTTACCAGCGTCTAGTCGAGCTGGTCGGGGCAAAAGCCGTCACGCTTTCCGATCCTCCAAATAACGGTGAGCAGGGATTCTATCAGTTCGATTGCCGGAACTCGAGTTTACTGCCACCGCTGCGGTATGAGTTTGCCGGGTCAGAGCGGGCGTGGGAGATTGTGCCCGAGAACTATGTGGAGGTGCTGGCGAACGGAACCAATAAGTGCACCTTTAATGTACGCACCCTGGGAGATGGAGCGATGGTAATGGGAAATTTTGGCGAGACATTTGCCATTGATAAGTATGTCATGTTTGACTTTGAGAAGTTGCAGGTGGGGATTGCAGACTTCGCGTGGTAATGGTATAAGGATGTGTGTTTGAACATGTGCATTATCTCGAGTTTGACTGAATAGACGGAGAATCCAAGACCGTAGATCATGATGCTATCTGCTTGATTATTTTCAATGTCTCTAGTATGGGGAAAGTAATACATGTGATAATATCTCCAAAGTAGTAATTAAAAGAGAAAACTAATCACCACTAGTAATTAATACTGCAAATAGCGCTGTTCCACATTGAGACAACCATATAATAATAAGTTAGTGGATATACGGAATATTAGAGGTCATCTTAATACCATACTAGTGGATACAACCATCCGTACATACGGAATAGGAAGGAGGAGCGAGATGGTCATCATTTGACACTGAGCATACTGTGTTGGCCCAGTCAAGCTGTTGTATGGGGGAGCTCCTAGTGTGCCCAAGGCTCCAGCATCTTCACCTTCCGCAACGACTTTACTTAGTTTACATTAGGTGAGCCTTTCTGTTACATAGTTGATTGAAAGCCTCTCCCCAATTGTCTTAGCATGATAGAGGTTACTCGGAGAACGTACTAATCAGGAGGCCAGCCATAACGACGAGGATTGATTGGAACAAGCAAGTCTGGGTTGCACGAACTGACCCGGAGAATAAACAATCACCCACGTGGTGTCAAGCTCATATCCAAAATGGTACGACATGGACTCTGCAGAACTTGGCTGCCTGATGTTCAGGGGAGCTCACGGGATCGGAGGGATCACGGCATAACTCCGCATTGATTGTTCGGAACATTTTCTTAATATGGGAAGCATTGAGGTGAGACTGTTACTTGAAGGCATCAACCAAACGGAACGCATATACCAAGCCAGACTCATCAAGAGCATTATATCATTCAATTTCCGTCCACAGACGGATCATTTCTGACTCCCAACAGAACAGGATAATATGCTCGTATGTGACTAATCCCGCCCCCAGACTGACTGAACTGTAGCTCTACTATTAAATTCAACCGATAATCTCATTCCTTCATCACTAGTAGCTTGTCGCCTCAATTACACAAAGTGGATCCATCCTCATTTCGACATCGGCTCTTGATTCCCCCACCAACCCAGATCCTGCTTCCCTTCCTTCTACAATCGAACCCTTGCAAACCTCGTGTTTTTGTACATGAACCCGAACCAACCACACGCCAGCATGTCCACCCAAGTGCTCATAGTGGGTGGGGGCATTGGAGGCCTGACGCTAGCAGCCATGTGTCGAAGGATTGGCGTGTCTTGTCGGGTGCTAGAGCGAAGCGCTGCTCTTGAACCGGTGGGTGCCGGCATTTCACTGGCTCCTAATGCCCTACGGGCTCTGGACCAGATCGGTCTGTACGACTACGTGCGCCAGGAAGGCCAGCCGGTCCGCAAGATCCGTGTCTACCGGAATCAGACACAGTGGAGTGAGATTGACTTCCAGTGGCTGGAACGTACTTTTGGCTATCCCGTGTACTCGATCGAACGGCATGGCTTCCATCGGCGACTGTATGACGCTGCGGGGGGTTCCGAGACGGTCAACTTGGGGGCAGAAGTTGCCAAGGTGATCCCTCCGCAGGAGGAGGCTGAAGGGGTATCGGTGGTCCTGAAGGATGGGAGGCGATACACGGGGAATGTGCTAGTGGGTGCTGATGGGGTGCGGTCAGTTGTGCGCCGGGCTCTCATGGCCACCATCAATTCACCTCCCGGACAAAGTGGAGCAGTTGGAGAAGACGAAGATGCAGCCGATGTCATTCAATTCACGGGCCGAGTGCATCTGTCTGGCTACACTCACCCACTCGATCACCTTGGCCCCGCGGACGAAGGGATCGCTTATTGGATGCTGTATGATCGCTCAATTCTCACAACGTGGCCGTGCAGGGACCATCGTCAGTGGTTTGTTGGGGCAGTGGTAGGGATCAAGATTTATGAAACATTGCTCTCACATCAGCTAAACTATGCCTCTAGCCCTCTAAGCTCAAGGACCCGAATCGCTCCGTCTGGAAACATGCCGATCACAACACTATCAATCAGGTCTATGGTTCCGAATATCACCCCTTTGCCCCGGATTTTCACTTCCGTGACGGTGAGGACATTTATTATTAGCATCCTGCCAGAATGACATGCTGACTACGATGATTGGATCCTTCTAGTCGTCAAACACGCGGAACGTGTCGTTGCCAGCGATGTCTTCCATCAGACCACCTTTCCCCCGATGGCGGCCGGTCGCATTGCTATGCTGGGCGACGGTAAGTAGCGAGCTACCCACACTGCTTGCTTACAGGTCATTCAGGATGGCTTTGTCCCACTAATGCAATAAGCAGCCTCTCATGCTATGACTTCATTCTTCGGCCAGGTAAGCCAGCCAAACGGTATTTTTCTAAGTTAGGAAAAGGCAATCACGTCCCCTTCAAATCTGGCGCTGACAGGAACCACCTCCCTGTTCTTCGCCTGCCCTTGCTGTGTTGGACGGCTTTTCTTTCCCGATCTTGTTGTTTGTTTATTTCTCATGTTCTGAAAATATCTTTGATTACTTGCCTTTTAAATTTCTTTTTTTTCTCTTCCTTCTCCCTTTCTGTCTGGCTCCACTTTCTGACACCGAGAATAGGGCGCCTGCCAGGCCATCGAAGACGCGACGGAGCTGGCCAGTGCGTTGGGGATGATCGATGTCAGGCCCACTGACGCGGAGACGATCCTTCAAGGCTACCGTCACAGCCGGGAGCGCCGGGGCCGCGATTTAGTCGTATTTTCGGATCGATTTGCCTTGCTCCATACCGGACGCCTGTTGGGAAGCTGGGGTCCATTTGTTCGGCAAATGGTATACACCTGGATGCCTCTCTGGGGTTGGAAGTGGGCCTTGCAGTGGCTGTATGGCCATCAGCCGACTCTCGTGGAGCAGCGGAATGAGGCCGCGAAGAAGACTGCCTGAGAGATGCGTCTTGTCCAATGGAGTTGTATTTAGCCGAAACTGGGCAGGATTCTGCCCTGCAAGCGATGGTGGTATTGCCCATGTCTATAGAAGAGACTAGCGCACACGAGCAGACGAATCAGAATTAACATCACACACTGTGCCCTGTGTACCAGAATCCCGATACTAAGGAATAAGCAGTGGGGCGGGATAACATCCTTTTGAATCAGAATTAACTAGTAGTGATAGAGTAATAGTACCGTAGGGTAGTCAAGGTTCCTTGCTGTGCCAGTGAGCATTAATCTCGTTTACTCAGGGATGAAGTCAGCAGGGATTACCCGCATGACGCTAGCAATCCTTTGTTGTCTCACTTCCTCAACTCCTCTCATCAGCATCATCATAGTCATCATCGCCTCTCCACCACGTGGACTACATTTATCTCCGCTAGGTATGCTGGTTAGCTCGTGGAATGAACTCCGATCTCAGATTTTGGAGCCCCGTGTTCAACTGTAGTAAACACATGCTCCCTTTCTTTCTTTACTATGGCCAAGAAAGCTGAGTTACGGCGGAGCTGCACCTTCTGTCGCACCCGCAAGATCGCCTGCTCCGGCGAGCGCATCTGCAATGCTTGTCGTTCCCGGTCGATTGAATGTGTTTATGATCTGGAGATCGCCAAAGGTCGACCTCGCCTGAACAAGACGACATCCACTCGGGCCTCCATATCGGCCGGACCGGCCGGGCCCAGTCCCATCACGCTGGAAGACGGAGAGCCGGGAGACGGGGGTCACTCCATCACGTCGGCGGTTAACCCCAGCATCACTCCTCTCACCGGAGTGATGGCAGAGCTGGAGGTGATGTTTCGCGAAAATTTCGGGGAGGATCCCATGGCAGCTCCATCGAATCAATTCCAGGACCGAGTGGCTCGCTTCAATCGGAATTTAGCGGCCGGAAGAGCCAGCCAGGGCCCATCCACGCCGGCGGGCAGTCTCACTTACCCCGGATTTTTGGCCCTATTGATGCAGGATCTGGCTGAGACAGTCACCGGTAAATTCGGTGACCTGGGCTGTCATCCCTTCTTTGGACCTGGGGAGCGCTTCTATCGCGCCTGCATGCTTCAGGACACCACGAAGACAATGTTCGATACTGCGTGTCTCCCATCACCTTCCACTTCCACGCCATCGGGTGGTGAAGCGGACATCTTGGCCGATTACAACTCACATCTGATCACCCAGCATCTCGAGGTCTGGATGAGTAACCATCCCTTATCGATTATCATTTCTAAATCCCTGCTGCTCCGCGATCTGCGTAGCCAAACAGCCAATCGGGTACTGTTGGCGGTCATGCTGGCAGACGCTCATCACTTTGCCGATAACTCTGCCAAGGGGGATCGCCTGCTGCAGTGGGCCGTCTCTCAACTCTCGAACATTCCTGCGGGCCAGGAAGATCTTACTACCGCGCAGATTACCCTGTTATTAGGCTGGTTTCATGTCTGCCGCGGACACTCCCGCCGGGCATTGTGCTATGTGGGCTACGCCGGTCGCATCACGACCAAGCTGGCCAGCCAGCTGCATGAATCGCCTCTGACTGGTCAGACGCACATAAATGGCATCGATCGGGGCGCTGTTGAAGCAGAGATGATCCACCATATGTACTGGGTGATGCTGGCCCTTACTGTATGGTCTTTTATCCAGATGGACATGCCTCTAGCGGATCTCCTCCCCGCGCAGCTGTTGCAGGTACTCCCTGCAAGAACAACGCCCGATTCCACGCTGCTGCAACTGGATCGCGCGACGGATAATCTATCTACCCTCAAGCCCCAACTCTCTTCATTACAGTCAGTTTGGCTCTTGTCACACGTAACCGTTCTCAGCGCCCACCTGTACGCTCTGTATCCCCAACACCTTCGCAGTCCTCCGGAGCCGCAACCATGGCAAGATCTAATGCTACATCGGCTCAACCGTCTCCTGCGACAGGGACGTAGTCTGACACAGATTTGCTCTGATTCTCGAAACGCTCTCCTGGACATTATCGTGGTGCTGCAGAAGGAGTCGGCCCATGGCCGCGGGGAACCTACCCTGCTCGCCTTGTACCTGGCCGTATCGATACACCTTCTCTTCCCGCGCGATGAGACCGGCCATCATGTCCACAACTCTCAGACCTTTGTTCTGAGCGATACGCTCTTTCAACAATTGATCGCGTCCATACAGGATTTGAAGCAGCTCTTTCCAGCCATCAGCTCCGTCGCGCGGCATGACTCGTCCCAGCCAGCCAGCACAGGTTCAGCCGGATTGCATTTTTACCTTCTCGCCTTGGACGCCCTCGGTCGGGCTCTCATGTACGTACTCACTGTCTGGGACCGTGTCACGGCGGTAGAGCAGCGGGTCTGGCAGGATCGACTTCGCGGATTGTTGGACGGGGGCCTTGCGATGCATGACCTGTTCGAATATGATGCTCTGTTACAAGATCACCGATGGCGCTCAGTAAAAAAGCACCTGAAGACCGCATGCAAGGGAATCAAAGGAGTGCTTTCCGGCAGCCGGGACCAGGGCTCTCGCAGCTCCTCGTCTTCTGTCTCCTCTCTGGACCTGTCCTTCGCGTTACCGTCGCGGCCAACACCGGCGATGGGCATCCCCACCAGCGAGGAAGGCCGCAGCGAGATGATGTTCCCCACGATGCCCTCTGCCAGCGGCATACCCTCATCCATCTCGTCGTCAATCTCGCACACCTCCCGTGAAGTTGGCCTTAGCTGGCCAGGGGACGGGCAAATACTCCCGACCCAGGAACAAGGACCACGAGAGAGCTCGCATCCCGCAGCGTCAGATTTGTCTGATTTTGACCTTGCCCCCTTCGTGTCTTTGGGATCCATTGACTCAATGCAAAATGGGGACGAACGATCTCGGATCATGCAGCAATTTTCTCCCAACCCGATGTCACTGCCTTCATTCTGGCACGACCCACAATTCAGCCCGGCGCACCACTTGGTGGGCACGATGCCCCCGCCGTCATTGATCTCGCTGGCAGACCTGGGAATGGGTGAGCGGGGGCAGAAGCGCTCATCGGAGAAGTTGGGTGGTTTAAGCGAGGGGGATACGCCGGGGACGAGTGCAGATGGGGGGACAAAGAGGCGAATGAAGGGGATGTCAAACTGATAGACTGTAGTAGGCTTATTTCGTATACGGTCTGACGTTGCTTGAGGGTCAAACATTCATTCTTTCTTCACCAAAAGGCGTTGATACCCGTCGATTAGACGACACGATTCATCATCTTCATACTTGAGCATCTATTCCTAGAACACAAGTTTAGAAGTCTTTTCACCTCAACACAAAAAATGAAATCATTTAAATCACTATCTATCCCTCTATGCAACCACCAACTCCACAACCCCCGTATCCGACTCCTTATCCCGAAACACCCCATTCACCTTCCACCCCGTCCGCTGCGCAAGCTCCCCAAACATGCCCTCGCTGCGCCTCTTGCCCCCAAAGTTCAACATCCACAGATCCAGCGCTGCAACCGCCAAGCTGGGCTCCTCCTGGAGAATCTGCTCCGAGATCAAAACTCGCGAGTTCGGGGCCGCTGCATCCCTGATTCGACGAAGAATCGTCACGCAGTCCTCATCGGGCCAGTCGTTCAGGACTCGCCGGATGTGGTATACTGCTGCACCCTTGACGGGTTGCTCGGAGAAAAAGCTGCCGGGAATTTTGCGCACTGTGCGCCAGGTCTCGTCATCGTCCCTTTCTGCCTCTGCAACAGCCTCACGGATAACGTCGTCCACGTCGAACAGCACACACTGTTCCGGACGAATCCCCGGATACGCTCCCAGAATCTCCTTCAACGCCTGGCCCTTTCCACCACCCACATCCACTATCGCCATGCGCTCCTCATCAGCGAGCTTCTCAATCCAAGAGAAATCATACATTCCCAAGACCGGCATTGGCTGAAACGACGCCGCCATCGTAGCATTGAACTGAGCCGCCCGCTTCGGCATCGTCTCCAGTATCTCATAAAGCGTCTTATCGGGATACCCCGCCGCATAGCCGAAGGGCGTCCGGCTGGCGCTGGTCGGCTCGTTCAAGCCATGTTCCGCCATGTAACCGGGCCATTTCACGGCGGGGACCAGGAAGAAATCGAAGATGTGTGCGAAAAATAGTGCTTGGTAGCTGGTTGGGTCGGTGAATTGGAGGGATTTCGGGGTGTGTGCAATGTGGCCGGGTTGAGGGGAGGACAGGACGCCGGAGGCGATGAGGAAGTTGGTTAGGCGAGTGAGGAGGGATGGGGAGGCGTTAAGGGTGGTTGTTAGGGTGGTTACGGGGATGGAGGCCCCTGGCGTGGTTGGGATTAGAGTGAAGATTTTGTGGTCGAGGAAGAGTTTCATTATGCTCATTTCGACCATGGAAAAGTAGTAGGTGTGGAGGGGGGAGGACTCGGGGTTGATGGTGGACGGGGACATCTTGGTTGTGGTTGTTGTTGTGGTGGTGGTGGTGTTGATTAATTGATTGTGAGATTGTGTGGGACAGGACATTGTGTGATATGGGTTGTGTTTTATATAGTTGGTGTGCTTGGTGTGAGATTATATTCGGTTGAGTTGAGCGTATACAACACTTGGACTGTACAATGGGGGCTGCATATACTGGGGCCGAGGAAAACCTCCGTCTCCCGACGGAGAGAGGCATTCACTCTGATTTGTGGAGACCTTTTGGGTGGCATTGCCGGGTTCAATGCGAGGGAGACATTTTTCATATAGGCTTCTGTGCTATTGTAATCGCCCTTTAGGATAGATCAATATTTCAGTAGATGTTTGGGAGTTATCGCGTAACTACTTCCATCGCTACGATATACTTGATCTAATGGACACGAAATGAATTTGACTGTCTACTACCAACTACTTACGTACCAGATGCAACGCGACCACATAACAAAGGACTTGCTATTATTGTTCACACATATTCTCGTTCGAGATTTAGTTATCCTGCTGGGAGTCAAAGTTGGTGTTTACTGTGGTACATTTTCCGTAGACATTGAATGTTGTACCATTGCCGAACCCTATGTGTAGTATTAATTCCCTTGTCTATCCGTCTCTCAGTCTTAAGGCACTGTAACTACCGTAATATGGCTGTGGGGCCATGTAGCCAAACTCTCGCTAGCGAAGGGGGCCTGCTATCTTCGGCGGGCCAGGTGCAGAACGACAACTCTTCCGCCCGTGTTCTGTTTACTTCTCTCGCTACCAATACTATCAAAGGCAGAAGAGGTGGCGGAGGATCAGGTAATATCTGCCAACATATCCTGTGCGTCACAATACAAGGAACGCCACCTGCAATGCTTGGATCACAACAACTGTCGCTGCCATTTAGTTCTAATCATACTGCAAAGCAGACGTGAGCCTTATTTGTACATGTACATTGCGAGTCATGCTTCCTCCATTCCCTGCTTATCTCGCTTCACAGTCACCCTCGCATCTCCCTTCAACCACGCACTACCGACCCTAGAGAAATCCAGTTGCTCAAAGTCTTCAGGCGGCCCAGTGCTCGACCAACGAACGTCATATGTTTTCACCATGTGAGCCACCATCTCCCGCGCAATCATCCCCGCCATCTGCTCCCCAGGGCATCGATGACATCCCGCCCCGAACGGGAAATAAGTCACCTCCGATCGATTGCTCTTCTGCGTCTCGCTCAGCCTACCGCCCTCCAGCCACCTTGTCGGATCCCAGATATGCGGATCAGCATACGTCTCTGGGTCATGATGGGTCAGATAGGGTGAAATCGACACAATGCAGTTTTCGGGGACCACAATGTTTCCCTTTCCGGGAGCAGCATCGGCGGGTAGTTGGTGCGGTTGCCGGGCCCAGCGGATCATGTTCACTCCAGAATACCGTCGGCTCGTCTCTTTAAGCGTGGCAATCAATGTAGGAGACCGGTGAATGTCCGCATCAGTTGCCAAGGCTGTTTTCAGCGCCTCAAGATGCGTAGGATTGCGGAGCAGCTGTTGCAGCAGTGTTAGCTGCCCAGCCATTCCTTACAGGATTAAAGCGACTACTCACCTCTAGCACCGTCCATGCAATACTCGCTACAGTACTAGTATGAGCTGCAAACATGAGCAAGGTATGGTGCGCAGCAAAATACTGACGCAGGTGCGCTGTGCGGCTATCCTTGAGGGTGTAGGCAATGTAATCGAGCGAGTCCTGCCACTTTTCTGGATTCTGCTCGCGCGCCTGCAGCCGCTCGTTAAAAATCGCCGCCATCCGATCGCGGGCATGATGGAGACGACGAGCTGGGCCGTGAGGAACCCAGTTGGGCAGCAGGAAGTGAAAGGGATGACCGATATCTGCTTCCATACGGTGGAGAAGATCAAGCAGCTCGTCGAGGTGGTGATCGTAAAAGTCCTGTCCCATCAAGCACCGCACGATCACCCGGTGCGTATAGCGAGACATCTGTTCGAAGACCTCGATGTCCGGTTTCTCGGCCCAGTTAGTTGCAATCTTGCGTGCTTCTTCCCCGGCGATGCGCGTATAATGTTCCAAGGCAATTGAGCGAATTACGCCTCGATTGAGCGAGCTCACCATCTCCTTGAGGTGGGATAGGTATCCGGGAACAACGACTTTCTCTAGGAAAAGACCCTATTTCATTATTATTAGAACAATGTTAGAAAACTTGATGGTGTATGGCTACCATGCCATCCCCAAACGACCAGACCTCCTCACGCGTGTCCAGATAGAACCGATTTAGCTGGGCGCCACGGAGCATAACGATCTTGGTCAAAAGGAGATTGATTTGAAATACAGGCCCACATCGTGCCGTAGCTTGTCGGATGTATGATATCGGCGACTTTCCAAAGGCGTGTGCATCACCAACAACCGGCAGGCCGATCCGGGGCTGGGGGATCTTGCGACTGGGCTGGGAACCCTGCTTCCGTACCCAGTACAGCAACCCGGCGACCAACGCCACGATAACGGGAATACGCCACATCGCGAGAACAAAAAAGTTTTAATTTGACTTAGTGCCCTTTCAAGAAATGAAGTGGGCGTGATTGGTATATATGCAGCTGATTTGACCAGTGAGTGGCTTGGGCTTCACCACCAGCCCGACCTTCCGTGGAGGAACGGACATTTTCCAGTCGCACCACGTCTGATGTCCGCAACACAGAGGAGCTTTCCTTAAAAAGTCCGCATATTCTCGCAAAGGATACTACACGACCTTTCCACCCTGTAAACGCCAAAATTCATTCATCATGTCGCACGACCAGCGTTCGCCCTCCGAGGAGGTCTCTAGGACCGCCCTGTCCAAACCTGCTTCGGAGTCGACTATCGTGGGCGATGGGCACCACCCACTGCCAGCCAAAGACACCAGTACGCGGGCATGGCTAGTCGTGGTGGGCGGCTTACTGATCTACTTTCCGACTTTTGGTATGTCTTTATGACAGTGGATTCTACCTGTCACTTACACATTCTCTCACTGCAGGATTCCTCAATGCTTTCGGTACCTTCCAAACGTTTTACGTACAGGATCTCCTTGCCGGAACCTCCAGCTCCAAGATTGCTTGGATTGGCTCTTTGCAGGTGTGTGAATTGCCCCTGGATTTGACTTGAACCTAGCTGACCTGTTTAGATCTTCCTCCTCTTCATTGGCGGTCTAGTGGTTGGCCCTCTGTATGACAAGGTGGGAGCTACCAAGCTCTTGGTGCCGGGGTCGGTCGTCTATGTCGTCGCCCTGATGCTCACCAGTGTGTGCAAGAAGTACTACCAGCTCATCCTGGCTCAAGGAATCTTGTTTGGCTGTGCCAATGCGCTGCTGTGAGTTCACATCATGCATATTCCGATGTCAGCTACTAATGATGGGCAGCTTCTATCCAACTATCGCAGCCATCAACCAATGGTTTGATCGGCGTCGAGGGATAGCACTCGGTCTTGCTGTGTCAGGGTCCTCACTGGGCGGAATCTTCTGGACAGAAATCATTCAGCTCATGCTTGACCACATTGGATTCGGATGGACCGTCCGTGCCTGCGGGTTCATCAGTCTGGCTTTCCTTGTTCCAAGCTGTGTGTTGATCATCACTCGGCCTCCAGAGCCCGGGGAGAGCAAGGACATGCAGCTCGACTTCAAAGCCATCTTTACCGATACCAAGTATCTGCTCTTTAGCGTGGGAATGCTGCTCGTGCTCTGGGGAATGTTCATTCCCTTTTTCTACCTGCCATCTTACGGAGAGACGTACGGAATGAGTGTGACGGGGGCAAACAATCTCCTCGCCTACATGAACGCAGGGTCCTTCGTCGGACGAGTCCTAACGGGCCTGATGGCCGATCGCCTGGGACGGTTCGTTTCCTTGCATCATTATTCTTGATCGCGTTCACTGATTCTTTTTACAGATTCAACGTTATCTCACTGGCTGCACTAAGCTGTGGTATCCTGCTCTTTTGTCTTCACAAAATCACCACATCCGGCGCCATCATTGCCTTCTCGACCCTGTACGGCATCTGCTCGGGCGGGTTGATCTCGCTACAATCGGCATGTATTGGCCAGATCACTCCTGACCACAGTATTATTGGTGTCAAGATTGGGCTTATGATGGGTTTCTGTTCGGTTGGGTATGTTCTTCCCTCGGTGAAATTTTTCCAGACATAGAGAGAGCTTTGCTAACCAAATGGCTTCCTCTTGGCAGAGGTTTGACCGGTAGTCCGATCGCGGGCGCTCTTCTCAGCGCCGATCACCAGAAGTGGTATGGATTCATCGACTTTTGTGGTTCGATCCTCATGGGCGGAGCTGTGGTGACAATCCTCTCTCGCTACGTGGCAGCTCCGCGGGAATGGAAGTTTTAGATTGCTCTTTTGGTCATGCACTACCCCAGCGCAGCTAGGTGTCATGAAGCTGTTGTTCTGCTTTTAGTATATGTCGGGCAGGTCTAAGGCCATATATATGGGAGATCTAATTGGGAATTCGTAAAACGAGTGGTCAGACATAGGCGATTAATGAAGATGAGGAAGAAGCTACGACAGTATCAACCTAGCACTGGATCTCCTCCCCACAACGAAAATTTCCAGTAGATCTTTCTCGATGTTTAGCTAAAGTCCTTACTCATTAGAGCACAGGCTCTATCTGCAATTCTGTGTGAGGAAGAACATCACAGGTACCTCGTCGTGGATAATGCTGCTTACGAGATAGCCACTTCACGATTAAGACATATTCCCAGTCAGGTGTCATCTCTGAGTTGATAAGAGCTCTACGCTAAATATAGGCATGAGAAAAAGGTCGATAAAGTATACCGTTGCTTTTCTCCTTGGGCTTTTTTTTTTTTTTTTTTTTTTTTTACTACCTTGGTTGTGTTTGTGAAGATGGTGAATTGGATGGAGTCCTAGAAGAAACGGCTAGTACTAAGGTTATAGATATATAAATTGTCCGTGGCTCAATGCCGGAAACACCATGTATTTAGGTGAGGGAACTAAATGAATCTTAAAAGCCGCCGCAACGTGGGGCAAAGCTTCCATAAGGAAAGACAGAGGACTCTGACAGCGATCTTACCAATTGGAAGTGATAGTGAGTGTTTCTTCGGACAAACCCCCATGCTTGTCGCCGCGATGGAACGGGGACAAGCATGAGCGGGTGTTGTGTGCATAAAGCTCCGTGCGCGGGCGGGATTTTCTCCCTTGTTCCTCTCCACTCGCCCACTGATCCTCAAGCCATCCGCCGCTTCCTCCCGCTGTCGCCCGTCTCGCGCTTCTCCCACTGCCTCACCATTCTGGCCCGATTCTGCCCCCATCCTCAGCTTACTATCGCCATCTCATTGCGAAGCTGATCAATGCGACAGAGATTACTGAGGATCTCCTCGAGGGCTGACTAGATTGTATTCAGTATGGCCACCATTAGGGAGGATTGCTCTTCGCGAAGGGCAACGCGTCAGCCATATAAACACACCTGGCCGACCATGGTGAATAGAAGATCATGCGATAGATTCAACTTTCTATAGACTTACTGTATTTCATCCTATTCGACCCTTCAACGTCGTCCCCGAAACCATCACAATGGACACACCCCTCTCATCGTCTGAGATCTCTCCCCGCTTCTCCAATACCGTCCCCTCATCGGTCTCTTCCATGACACCCAACGCGGACCCCTCAGTTATTGTGGGGCTTGCTTGTCGTGTCCCAGGAGCTACCAACCCAAGTCAGTTATGGGAAAACATCGTCGCGCAGAAGGACTTGCAGCGGAAGATGCCCGCGGATCGGTTCAATGTGGACGCTTTCTATCACCCAGATGGGACCAACAAAGGCACCGTACGTGCAAGAAGCCATGATAAACTTAGAACGGTACTGACTGCTGCAGACCAACGCCAAATTTGGCTACTTCCTTGACCAGGATATTGGCATGTTTGACGCCGGGTTCTTTCGGATTTCCGGTAAGGAAGCCGAAGCGATGGACCCTCAGCAGCGGTTGTTGCTGGAGGTTGTCTATGAAGCGCTTGAGGATGCTGGCATCACTCTGGACGAGGTCAATGGATCTAATACTGCTGTCTTCTGCGGCTCCTTCACCAACGACTACAATGCCATGGTCACTAAAGATCTTGAGTATTACCCCAAGTACACCGTCACCGGCACAGGAAACGCCATTCTTTCCAACCGGATATCATATTTTTACAACCTTCATGGCCCCAGCGTGACGATCGATACTGCATGCTCGTCGTCTTTGGTATGTTTCCATCTTGGCAACCAATCGTTATCTCAGAACGAATCGGATATTGCTATTGTGGTCGGCTCAGCCCTTCACTTTGACCCGAATGTGTTCATTACAATGACCGACTTGGGCATGCTGTCAAGTGACGGTCGCTGCCGGACGTTCGACTCCATGGGCAGTGGCTATGTCCGGGGCGAGGGTATCTGCGCCGCAGTCCTGAAACGTCGGCGCGACGCGGTATATAACGGTGACAACATCCGCGCCGTGGTACGTGCTTCAGGTGTGAACCACGATGGTATCAAACAGGGAATTACTCTGCCAAATACCAATGCCCAGGAGAAGCTTATCCGTCGGACGTACGATCTAGCCGGTCTAGATCCAAACGACACGCAGTACTTCGAGGCACACGGTACAGGTACAGCCCGAGGAGACCCAATCGAGGCGCGGGCCATCGGTGCTGTTTTCGGCTCAACACGATCTGAGCCACTCTACGTAGGATCGGTTAAGAGTAACATCGGCCATCTGGAGGGTGCCTCGGGCTTGGCCGGTATCATAAAAGCGACTTTGGCCTTAGAGGAAAGCCAGATTCCACCCAACATGCACTTCAAACGGCCCAACCCGGAAATCAAGTTCGACGAATGGAAAATCCAGGTGCCGCAGGATATTATTAGTTGGCCAGCGAGCGCGAACGGTATACGCCGTGCCAGTATCAATTCTTTCGGTTATGGAGGCACTAACGCACACGTCATTCTGGACGCCTACAAGCCCGAAGATAGCGAAGCCGAATTGCAAGCCATCCCAGCCATCTCCAGCAGCATACCCGTTGATCGTCCGTACCTGATTCCGCTGAGTGCGCATTCGACGAAAGCCGGAGCCTTGTGGGAGGACAAACTGACTAAGTATCTGTCAAACGAGCCCATCGGTAGGCCCGCGGTCAGCGACCTCGCAGTTAGCTTGTCGACACGCCGCACAATGCATGGCAACCGCTCGTTCATTATCGGCAAAGACATGCCTACTGTTCTCCAGGGGCTCGAGCAGCCACCTAGCCCTGCTGCTGCCTGGACGCGCCCGTTGAAGGAGACCCCCCGGCTCGGATTTGTCTTCACTGGTCAAGGTGCTCAGTGGTTTGCAATGGGCCGGAAACTCATCCAGCAATCGCATTTGTACCGGCAGACCCTGGAGCGATGCGATGCGGTCTTGCAGAGCTTGCCAGATGGACCTGACTGGACAGTCCTGGAAGAACTGCTGCGCACAGAGGAAGCCAGTCGCCTGAAGGAAACCCGGCTATCACAGCCCATCTGCACTGCCATGCAGCTTGCCACGGTATGCCTATTGAAACAATGGGGCATTGAACCTTCCGCAGTAGTGGGGCACTCATCTGGCGAAGTAGCAGCAGCTTATGCAGCAGGGATTCTTACGTTTGAAAATGCTATGATTGCTGCCTATTACCGAGGGCTTTACATGTCGAGCGGTGTCGATGGCTCTATGACCACGGATGGCGCCATGATGGCGGTTGGATTGACCGAAGCGGAAGCAAAGAAGGAATTTGAAACCTACACTGGCCAGATCTGCGTGGCTGCCGTCAATAGTGCTTCTAGTTTAACACTGTCTGGTGATAAAGATGCCATCGTCCGCTTGAGAGACAGCCTCGTGGAGCGAAAGATATTCGCCCGACTGCTTCAGGTTGCACAGGCCTTTCACTCACACCACATGCTTCCCTTGGCGCCGAAGTATGAAGAGGCACTGAAGAACTGTGCTGGGTTCGGTACAAGTCCTGCACGTGTCCGCATGTTTTCCAGTGTCACTGCTCGATTAGCTCGACCAGGGGAAATGGGTGCCGGATACTGGACGGCCAACATGACGGGTACTGTTCGATTCTCCGACGCCCTTACCGGCATTCTTCTGAACGAGGAGGATGAACAGAATGTTGATATTCTTGTTGAGATTGGTCCCCATCCAGCACTGAAGGGTCCTTCGCGCCAGGTCATGAATGCTCTCAAGCTCAACCTTCCTTACCTGGCATCGCTGACTCGCGGAGTGAATGATTACGAAAGCCTGTTGACACTGGCAGGTCAGCTCTTCCAGTATGGGTTCCCGGTTGACTTGATTGCCGTGAATAGCGACCATTTTCTTCAAAGGGAGACAGGTATGATTCAATCTGAGCTGCACGGGAAGCGACTTCGGGATCTGCCGACCTATGCCTGGGATCACAAGCGGTATTGGTCTGAAACTCGACCTATCCGCGAGCATCGGCTGCGCAAGCAGCGGCACTCAATCCTCGGGGCCCGAATGCCTGGAATTCCGGAGAGGACTCCACACTGGAGGAATTATCTTCGCCTCAAGGAGATTCCGTGGCTCGCGGATCATGTCATAGACGGTAACGCCGTTTTCCCAGCTGCCGGCTACTTCAGCATGGCTATCGAGGCAGCGGTCAGCATGTGTGCAGAGGACTCTGTTATCAAGGAGATTGCTCTGCGGGATCTCAATGTCCAATCGGCCCTACTATTGAGCGACTCAGAGGAAGGGACAGAGGTCATCATGGAGCTCCGACCGGCAACACAGTCCGCCAAATCAAAGTCGGCACTATGGTACGAATTTACAATATACTCCTACGGAGAGTCCAAAATCCTCAATGAGCATTGTTCCGGTTTGGTTTCAGTTGAGACCAACGCTCTGACTTTGCCGATGCGATGGGAATCTTCGAAAACTTTCGATGACCTGGCAAAAGAGTCACAAGAATCGATACCCGCGGAGACTCTGTATGACCACCTGACGGCGCTGGGTCTACAATATGGTCCCAGTTTTCAGTTACTGACTGGCGATGTCCAGACTGGACCAGGATTTGCATTGGCTGGTCTCGACTTCCAGCCAAGCCAGTTCTCCGTCCAGGCGGCCGACCTCACAATTGCACATCCCACATTGTTGGATGCATCCTTCCATGCGATCTTTCCTGCTATTGAGTCTGCTCTTGGACGCTCTCTCGATGAGCCCTTAGTGCCCACCTTTGTTCGTTCTTTCAAAGTATCGGGTGATTTCCTTGCCTGCTGTAGGGAATCTCGGGAACAGAAATTCCAGGTCACTTGCTTCACTCGCCTGCCTGGGCCACGTGTTGCCCTAAGTGATCTGACGGTTTGTTCAAAGGAGAGCAACAAGCCGCTTCTGCAATTCAATGGTCTTGAAGTCACTGCACTCGGATCTGACAAGACTGACAATTCCGCTGGTCGTTCTCTGTTCTTCCGTACCCGCTGGCAGCCCGCGTTCACGTTCTTGGGTCCCGATCATCCGGCCGTGGCCCAGAAGAATATCTCAGAAATATTGGATATCTTCGCGCATCAATTCCCTGATACCAGGATTCTGCATGTTTCCGATACGGTCGATGGCACGCGAGACGTATTGAAATATCTGGGAGGTCGTTCGAACGAGAGACGTCGTTTCCACTCGATTACTCCGGTGTTCCAAACCCAAATTGCACTTGAAGAGATCGATGCTCTGAGCCAGGAATGGCCAGGCTTGGTTGAAATTTCGGAACCTGAACCCAATGCATACGGCCTGGTTGTCCTCAGTAGTGATGCCGCGGATCTTGATTCCAGACAGTTTGTGAAAGAAGGCGGGTTTGTCCTTGCTCTCGGACCGCACCCACAACCCGAAGGACTTCATGATGTCTTCTTCACCAAAGACTTGGCCGTCTGGCAAAAATCGACGGACAATGCGCAGAAGCCGAAACAGCTGTCGCTGATTCTCCCTTCATGTCCTAGTCAGCGAACTTTGGATATTGCAGATGGGATGGAGATGCAGCATGGGAGCAGTGTCTTTGTCACCCGTACCTCCTTAGCAGCCCTTTCCAATGAAGCGCTCCAAGCAGAAGACATTGTGGTACTGGCGAACTTGGATGAAGATGTGCTCTTTGAACATAGCTCGTCTGATCAAAGCACCTTTCTTGGGATTAAGAGACTACTCACGGCTGGTGGCAAAAATATAGTCTGGGTGCTTGAGGGCGGCTCGATGGATGCCCCTAAGCCGGAGCATGCAATGATAATTGGTCTCGCTCGTGTTGCTCGCAGTGAGAATGACCAGTTGCGCTTTGTTACCCTTGACCTTCCTCGCGCCTCTACACAGGAAACCGTCGTCAGACACGTCTGGAGACTACTAGACCGCTCGATCACCGAAGACGAGGTGGCTGTGAGGGATAACTGCATCTTCATCCCCCGAGTTGAAGCTGATGACCAGCTTAACTCCAAGCTCCGCAACGGCACCAACTCCCAACCCCGTGAGGAACCACTTGGCGCAGGTCGCCCACTGGCTCTGAAAATCGGCCGCGTGGGTCTTCTCGAGACACTTGTTTTCGAAGACGACGAGCAGATCTTGGATACGCAGCTCGCTGATGACGAAATCGAAATCGAAGTAAAGGCGTCCGCCATCAACTTCAGAGACATCGCTGCCTCGATGGGTATCATCGATGACTACAAGCTCGGCGATGAATGTGCGGGTATCGTCACGCGAATTGGAGCACAGGTCAACCCCCAGGATTTTCAGGTCGGTGATCGTGTCGCCGCATGGAGGCCAGGTCAAGGAGCTCACAAGACAATTGTGCGCAATCCAGCCTCCCTCTCCTACAAGCTTGGCGATATGTCGTTTGTGGATGCAGCATCCCTGCCTTGTATCCTGACCACGGCATATTACTCCCTTGTTCATGTCGCCCACCTCCAGCCCGGAGAAACAGTCCTGATCCACTCTGCGGCAGGTGGTGTTGGCCAGATGGCTATTCAGGTTGCCCAATATGTCGGTGCACGTGTCATTGCCACTGTGGGTTCACAAGCGAAGAGATCTCTGTTGAAATCTCGCTACGGACTTGCTGATGATATGATATTCAATTCTCGCGATGACAGCTTTGTCCGAGATGTGCTCGATACAACTGGTGGTCGGGGAGTGGACGTTATCCTCAATAGCTTGGCTGGAAAGCTTTTGCATGCTACTTGGAGCTGTGTTGCCCCGTTCGGTCGCTTTATTGAGATCGGAAAGCGCGATATCCATGAAAACTCAAAGATCGATATGGATCCTTTCCGTCGCAATGTTGCCTTTGCTTCGGTTGATTTGGTCACCATCTTCGAGAAGAACAAGCCCTTGGGCGCGCGTTTGCTCAAGGAATGTGGTACCCTCGTTCATAAGGGACACATTACCCCCCCGGAGACCGTCACAGAGCTCCCTTACTCCGACGCTGTGAAGGCCTTTCGTCTTCTACAGATGGGGAAGCACACCGGTAAGGTGGTTCTCGTGCCTCATGCCGGAGATAGGGTTCCTGTCCTCCCCTCGACATACCGTAATCAGCCACTCTTCAAACATGAAAAGACCTACCTGCTCGTTGGAGGCCTAGGTGGCCTTGGTCGAACCCTTGCTGAATGGATGGTCAGGAAAAACGCCAGACGCCTAGCATTCCTCTCTCGCTCTGGTGCAGACAAGGAGGAGGCGAAGCGTACAGTGGAGTGGCTTCGAGAGCGAGGCGTTTCCGTTACTGTCTTCAAGGGTGACGTTTCCAGATATGAAGACGTCGAACGCGCAGTCAAAGCAATCGATAATCTTGGCGGTATCTTCCAAGCTGCAATGGTCCTGCAAGATGCTCCACTTGAGAATATGTCCTATCAGCAGTGGCAAATTTGTGTTGAGCCCAAGGTCAAGGGTACCTACAATTTGCATCAGGCAACTCTAGGTAAGCAGTTGGATTTCTTCATTTGCTTTTCATCCGCGTCGGGCAGCATCGGCTCGAAAGGACAAGCCAACTACTCATCCGCCAACTGCTACCTTGACGCATTGATGCGACACCGCCGAGAGATGGGACTCGCTGGCACTACAATGAATTGCGGTATGATCGTCGGCATTGGTGCTGTAGCCGCGAACCAGGCCCTTCTCAAGGTCATGATGCGCAGTGGTTACGACGGAGTAAACAAGGAAGAGCTACTCTACCAGATTGAGGAAGCAGTCTTGTCCGATAACAACAAGAAGGTATCTCGTCGTGGAGTTGACCTTCATCAAACCATTACCGGAATCAACATGACCAAAGCAGACTTCTACTGGTGTCAGAAGCCCTTGTATCGGAACCTGTACAACAACCACGAGTTTCTGGGCCAAACAGCCATCAAGCAGGGAACCAAGAGTCTAGCTTCTCAGCTTCAAGGTACCAAGTCCGTCGAAGAAAGAACTACACTGGTTCTCTCAGCCTTCATTGAGAAGGTCGCGGACGTACTATCCGTTTCTGTGGACTCGATCGAATCTGCGAACCCTCTGTCAGCCTACGGACTAGACTCCATCATTGCGGTGGAGTTCCGTAAGTGGTTCTCTAGAAGCGTGGGTGTTGAGATTGCTCTATTCGACGTACTCGGAGCTCCTTCCATCTTCGCTTTAGTGACCAAAGCCAGCGGACTGATCACGATCACCACAAGCAACGACGACAAGGCTGAGAATGTCGACAACGAGGGGGCCAAGGGGAATGAAGACCAAGAGGTAGAAACCCAGCAGGGCCAGCTGAACCAACCCATCCCCCCAGCAGCGGCTGTTGGCCCTGTACCCATGTCTAGCTTTCAGCAGCGACTGTGGTTCATTCATAACTTCGGCGATGACAAGACCTTCCTTAATCTGTCCATCACTTCATATCTCGAAGGCAATCCGGACGCCACAATCCTGGAGAAGGCCTTGAACGAATTAGTGAATCGGAACGCTATTCTCAGAACTGGCTATACCGAGGGAGATGAGTTTGCTGAACAGACCGTCCTGGACATGCCCAGTATCAGCTTGGAACGCATTGACGTATCGTCAAAACCAAGCCCCACCGTCTCGCTTCAGGATGTAATCCAACGCCGCAGAGCGATAGAGCTGGAAATTGAGGAGGGTGAAGTTGTTAGACCCATGTTGGTCCGGTTGAGTGACGATCAGCACGCTCTGGTGTTGATCTGCCACCATATCGCCATTGATCGTGGTAGTGCAAAATCGTCGCTGAACCAACTGACCGGTATCTATGATGCTATCCGCCAAGGTAGAGATCTAGATATGGTTCCCCGACCGGGAGTGAGCTATGCGGACTTTGCCGTCTGGCATAACCGATTGCTCAGCTCACCTTCTCTGCAGGCTGATCTGACCTTCTGGAAAGAGAATCTGTCTGGAATGCCGAAAACATGCAAGCTCCTCCCCTTTGCCAAGTCTGAAAGGCCTTTGCACGATGACCTTCAGCGGACAGTTGTTTCTGGCATCCTGAAGAAGAGCCTTCTAAATAGGATGAAACGAATTTGCTCACAATCGGGGGCGACCCCATTCCAATTCCTGCTGGCTGCTTTCCGGGCCTTTATCTTCCGCTATACTGAGGACAGCGACTTGGGAATTTTGATGATCGACGGTGATCGACCTCACCCGGATCTTGAGGACGTGCTGGGATTCTTCGTCAATATGACCCCCATTCGGTGTCAGGACAGCTGTGAGGGTGCATTCGACCAATTGCTTGAGGCAACCAAGACCCGAACTTTGGAAGCCATGTCTCATAGTAAAGCGCCCTTTGATAGCATTGTAGATGTTGTCAAGGCGAAGAAAACAACAAGCCACTTTCCTTTGGCCCAGATTGCCTTGAATTATCAAATTCATGGTACATTCCCAGTCTACCGCACCCAAGATTTCAACGTTCATGATGTGCAATCCGTGGATGTACCAACCGCCTGCGATATGCAGCTTGAAGCGCTTGAGCACCCTGAAAGAGGCCTGGACCTCCGCCTTGAATACTCTTCAACCCTTTACGGCTCAGGCGACATGAACCGCTTCTTTGACAATTTTGTCACATTCATGTCCAGCCTGATCAGGGACCACCGACAGCCGATCGCCGAAGTCAATTTGTGTGGCGCGCTGGAGATTGCCCATCTTGAGAAGAACTTCTGGAACACCCAATTTACTCAGAACCCCTGGGGCAGTGTGGGAGTGTGCCAGAGGATCATGGAAAATGCCGCCAAGCAGCCAGAGGCCGTGGCGATCGCTGCATCGGACGGAGCCGCTATAACATACTCCGAATTGGTGGAGCGCGCTCAGAGGGTTGCTGCATCCCTCAAAGCATCTGGTGTCACTGAAAGACAAAAGATTTGTGTACTGGTGGATCCAGGGGTCGATGCTGTCATCGCGCTTCTGGCTGTTTTACTCACCAGATCCTGCTATGTGGCCCTGGATAGCAGTTTTGCCGTGGATCGGTTGGCATTTATGGCGTCTGACTGCGGCGCAGGAGTCTTGCTTTTCGGACCAGAACTTCAGGGACTGGCGGAAACGGTTGCTTCCAAGTCTAAGTCAGGCCTCAGGCTACTGGATACGAAGAAGGCAGCGCTGTGTGAGGATAGATTTGTTGGAGATTTGCCTTCTGTCAATGAAGATCCTTTCTTCATTATTTATACATCTGTAAGTCGTTGATCTTAGGTTAGATAAATTCCACTGATTTTTTTTGTTTTGTTACTAGGGGAGTACTGGAAAGCCTAAGGGTGTAGTTCTGTCCCACGCGAACACTCAGCAGATGCTGGCGTCCGTTGGCGAGTATTTCCGATTTACATCAGATGACCGATTTTTGCAACAGTCCTCGCTGTGCTTTGATCTTTCCGTCGTACAGATCTTTTCTGCGTTAACTGCTGGCGCCCGCGTCTGTGTAGCAAAGCATGATATCCGGAAGGACCCAGCTGCCCTGGCTGCCTTCATGCATGAAACGGGTGTGACCATAACCTACTTCACGCCAACCCACTTTGCTTTGCTCCTAGAGCATAGCTGGGAAACTCTTCATCAGTGCTCGCAGTACCGCGCCGCTTTGTTTGCTGGAGAACGGCTTCCAGTCCGCATTGCCAGGGCATTCTACGACCTACAGACACCAGCCGTCGTCTACAACACCTGGAGTCCGAGCGAATTGGTTGTTCAGACAACAATTCACAAGGTCGATAAGCCAGATGACGACGTCTTTGACATCCCGATCGGTCGGCCACTTCCTAATTGCCGCCATTATGTAGTTGATGCGGTACTCAATCCGCTCCCGGCGGGATTCGTCGGCGAGATCTGCGTTGGAGGCGCCCAAGTGGGCTTGGAATATCTAAATCGGCCGTTGGCCAATGCAACCTCTTTTGTGAGAGATCTCAATTCTACCCCAGAAGATCAAGCAAGAGGTTGGAAGAAGATGTTCAGGACAGGTGACAAGGGATCGTTTCTGCCAAATGGGCTTCTCACCTTCAAGGGTCGAATTGCTGGGGACAAACAGATCAAGCTTCGCGGATTCCGGATCGACTTAGGGGAGGTGGAGCAGGTACTCTACAAGAATGCATCAACACCAGATGGCCAAGGCATTGTGGATATCTCAGTCATCGCTCGAGATTCCGAGAAGAGCGATGCGACGTCTCCCCTGACTGACGAGCGGCGACTTATCGCTTTTGTCATCCCCAAGAAACCGCTTCAGTCAACCCAGGAACGGGATGAGTATGCTAACTACCTCCACCGTATGGCACAGGGCTCTTTGAATGAGTACATGTGTCCAAACGGCTACCAGTTTCTCGAGAGGTTGCCCATGACTATCGGCGGAAAGGTGGACCGTCGCAGTTTACTGACTATGAAACTGGACTTAGCGCAACACACGACCACTTGCACTGACAGTAGGCCAGTGACAGAGGTTGCTGGCGATGATGCTGAAATTCTGCAGGGCGTCACCGGACAGGTGTGTAGCCTGTTGGGCATTGACAGGTCAATTGCCCCGAATGACAACTTTTTCGAACTGGGTGGCCAAAGCATTTTACTTCTGCGACTGCAGTCGCGGCTCAAGAAGAAGTTCAAAGTCACACTGAAGTTGCAGGAGCTCATACATGCTCCCACGCCTTTAGCTATTGCTGGAATGATTCAAAAGCAGCTTAAGGGGCCCGCGGGTGTTCAGAATGAAAATGCTTCGAAGAGCATCGATTGGTCGGAAGAAATTTCGTTACCTGCTTCACTCATGAACACCGACTACAGCCAGCTTTCTCGCTTCCCGCGTACCGATGTGAGCAGTATACTGCTTACTGGTATTGACACCTTCATTGGCCTTCACATGTTGGCCACTATCCTTTCGAACAACCACAATGCGACAGTTTACGTCATTGGAATTCATGATGAACTGACTGCGGACCATTTGGTCGAAGGGTTGACTAAGTACAAGTTGCTGGATGCTCACCTTTCCACTGAAGATGTTCTTTCGCGGACTTGCGCCGTTCCGGGGAAGATGACTTCACCTCGTTTTGGACTTGCAGAAGAGGCCTTCAGAAACCTGGCGGACAAGGTTCGAGTGATTTTTAACATTGCAGCGGATGTTTCGCTCCTCAAGACATATGTCGACCTGAAAACCGTGAATACCAGCGCCATTCTGACACTCATCGAGCTGGCTACGAGCAGCCATGGCCACCTACTAGAAATCCACCATCTATCAACATGGAGTGTGCCCCATCTGCAAACCTGGAAGAAAACCTCCCGGACACGAGCATTCGCCAGCAACAGGGAAGAGGACCCCAGCCATTTCACACCGCCTACAGCCGACGAATACGGATATTTCAAATCTCGCTGGGCTGCGGAAATGTACCTCACCCAAGCTGCCGCTCGTGGTGTACCCGTGTCCATTTACCGTGCTTCCTCCGTCTCTGGCAGCCGAGCCACAAACGTCCCAGTCCCCGAAATGGACTTTATCAGCAACATGATCATGCACATGATCCAGCACCGGGCTATCCCTGAAATCAACTCCAGCAGCCTCATTGACGAGGCTGGTGATTTTGTCGTGGATTTTCTTCCTGTTGACGCCTTGACCTCTTCGATGTACACTCTGGCGTCTGAAGAGAGTGCCGCAGCCCCTGGGTTGCAGGTGTACCATTTGGGCAGCTCACAGCCTCTCCCTCTTCAGGCCTTAGTCGATGTGATACCATCGTTGGATCAGTCGGGCGCGGCTGGCAAATGTCGCGTCGTCCCGATGCAGGAATGGCTGCGACTTGTGTCTGAGGGAGCTAGCGAAGAGGAACAATTGCATTGGATGGTCGTCAAGAAGTATTTCCAACATGGCCATTCCATGTTCGCGTTGGATAAGTCGCATACTGTGGCTGCTTTGAAAAAGGCGGGCAAGGAGGTGGAGTTCCCGGCTATTGATGTGGACTACTTAAAGAGGCTGCTGGACGAGCGGGGTCCGGGATTGAAGCGGTAATCTTGCTGTCAAATACAGACCCTGCTGGAGTAGCATGATATCGAGATCTAGCGTGTTAAACTGTTGGATAGAAATTGACATCTGAATCCTCTAATAATCCAGATTTAGCATATCAACACCATACCGTAAATATATTCACCCATAACTATTCACATTTCTAACCCAATGCAATCCCAAATATGAAAAGCTTCATAAACTCATAAATCGGATATTCTAGTATCCTATCAACTGGAGGACTCCACCACAAATTGGCCTTGTATGGGCATATGGCTAATCTAGTCCCCTTAGGGGTAATCTATTTTCCTCTTTGGGCCAAATTGCGAACCGGTTGGTCTGGCCGGATCTGTGAGGTGCGGACGGGGTCCGCGCTTCGGTGTAAGCGCGTCTATACGACGTGGGCCGGCTACTCTTCTGACAAAGTGGAGAAGGCGACTCACGCTCATTCCTCTGAACCCACAGCTTTTTTGGGTTGGGACTTATTTAAGATCATATTCTCAGAGCTCGAAATCCTTTATCTTCATAGAACTTTTTCAAATCGGCCCTATCCCAAAAATTCTTTTGTATACCGATTGAACATTCGTTTCCAGACGTCTCTTGTCTTTCAAACCATGGCCTTCAACCGTATTGCTGTCTATGGTCACCGTGGATTCGTGGCCTCTCGAGTTGTTCCTGTTCTAATTGCCTCGGGAGCTCCAATTACTGTTTTGCATCGCTCTACCTCGGATACCTCCAATCTCCCCGAACATGTCAGAAAGATTGAAGTTGACGTTTTTGATGAAGACGCTTTGGTTAGAGCCTTGCAAGATATAGACATTGTGCTGTCAGTCAGAGTTACTGCGCATCTGCACCTTTTCGATTGTATGCTGATGGATTTTTCAGTTCTCTGGTTGGAGATGAGGGTACCGACAGACAGTATGGTTTTGTGAAGGCCATTCCTAGGACTAATGTCCGGCTTTTCGTCCCTTCGGATTTCTGTCTGCGATATTGCGAGCAGGGAATGCGCATGCCCTGTATGGTGGCAAAAGCGAAACTCGAAAAGGCTTCTAAGGATGCTGGGATCCCAACCACCGTTGTTCACGCAGGAAATTTCGCTGAATTCACCTTAAGTACACCGTGAGTCATCAACCGTGTACTCGGGATGCTTATATCCATAACTGACACCTTCAAAAATTATAGGGCAGTGGGTGTTGATTTGCAGAATAATATATTGGTCTACACCGGCAACTCTGCTAGCGAAAAAGTCACTATGTGGTGGGTAGCATTTCACCCAGAGACTCCTTCTTCATCTCAATAATCACTTTGGTCTGATTACACTAACTCCTTGTTATAGCACCAAGGACTACGTAGCGGCTGGCGTACGTCGACATATTTACACCAGACCTATACACACTATACAGAACCGGACCATCACCTTGTCAGAGCTTGCACCAACAGGCATGGAAATTGCTGCGATCATGAAAAAGAAGAATGGCAGCGACCCCTCTATTGCGACACGAAGCATAGAGGAAGTCGATCGAATGATTGAGGATTGTATCAGCAAGGAGAGTAATCTCGCCGTCCCGTCCTATTGCCGCAAAATCTGGGGAACGGGACAAATGATGAAGATGCTTCCCGATGATTTATGGGAAGTTAAGGACTACAGGAAAGCAACTTTAGAGGACCTCGTCCTCGGAGGAAAATTGGAAAGCTATAGAGCTCTACCCGATCATGTGTGGGAGTATCTTAGAAAGATGCTTTGAGATGTGTATATAGCCATCTCCTACAAGTCTTTCCCACCATCCCACCAGTCGCAAATGAGATGCGGCTTGGATATAGCTATTGGACCCTGGAAGTGGGCTCTGGGGCCCCCATTGGGGTTACATATTAGTACTTAACCAACAAGCCAAGTCCCTGGAACTGCGAAAAATATATATCCTCGCCTGTAATCTAGAAGTATTTCTTTCACACTCCTCTAATTCCATCAACTAAGTAGGTTTCATTTTCTCGAAGATAATTATTATGGGTGAAACAAGCCCGTGGACGGTTCCTTTGGATGGGTTCCAGGGTGGGGCAAACCCGTTCCGATTCGGACGCTAATCCGACGAGTGGGACGAAGTTGAACCCTCGCGATCTGTCCAGAAACGGAAAGTATATGGTGGACCTAGGAATTCCAATATTCCCCATTGCACACAGCCACTAGCTAACGGGATATGCTTTCCATCATATCACGTATGCTATGCTGTTGTCGTCATTATCGTGCCTAGGTTGCCGAGATGCTGAAACCATACCTTTATACAACATGTTGGCCCCCTAATCTACCTCCCCGATCATACCGCTAAACCTATCTTCCGCCCCCTCATTAAATATGCCAAACAGTCAGTCATCTGTCGAGGACCGCTTGCGGCGTCTCATGCCGAGCCTCCCGGTATATACCGAAGGCACGCACTATCAAGACTGTCTCGAACTATACAACCATGCGTTGAGAAAGAAACCACTGGTCTGCGCTCGGCCGCGGACAGAAGAAGAGGTCTCCCGCTTGGTTCAATTTTGCGCCGAACAGAAGATCCCCTTTGCTGTTCGTTCAGGTGGTCACGACTTCTTCGGCCGCTCCGTGATTCACAATGGCATTCTTATCGACATGCGTGACATGGACACGGTGAGTGTTGTGTCGGACCGAGCTAGCGCACGCGTTGGTGGCGGAGTGATTGCCGGCCACCTGCAGGAAACCCTCCAATCTCACGGCTTGTTCACTCCTACTGGACAGGCAAAGTCTGTCGGCTATGTCTCTTGGGCGTGTGGCGGAGGGTACGGCTTCTATGTTGGAACATACGGGTTTGGGGTGGATCAAATACTGGGAGCTCGAGTGGTTTTGGCCGGGGGCAGTGTGATTGACACCAACGAAGATTCAGAATTACTATGGGCACTCCGCGGCGCTGGGGCTGGCACGTTCGGCATTGTCGTGGAGCTTCGCGTGAAGGTCTACCCAGTGCCCAAACTATACGCGGGCTTCCTAGCCTTCCCCTTGGCCGATGCCGCGACGGTCATGGGCAGGATTGAGAGGCTTTTAGATGATGACTTACCTGATGAGTTCAGCGGAGATGCCATAGTTGTAAATCCTGAAATGGCTCCAACCCCGGTAGCCGAGCCTTGTTTTGTTATGTTTTGGTGATGGACTTCGCCCAGCGGGAACCTCGGGCCTGCGAAAAGCTTCCTTGAGCAGATGATGCAGGCCGGCAGGGTTTTGGGGAACACGGTCACGGAGAGTAAGCTCTATGCTTCCATTGTGATATGGACTTCCCAGTTAACTGACCTGTGTCAAGCTACACCAGCCGCCTATGGCTTGGGTGATTCGTCGTCAGAAACATTCTTCCGCAGTCGAAACGTCGATCGGATACATCAGAAGGTTGGCACCATTCTCGCACGGCACCCTCCACCATACCCGCTGTCCGCTGTCATCTTTCATAATAATCACGGTAAGGGTGTTCGACACCAAGTCGCCGATCCTGTCGGGGCGGCCTTTCCGAATCGATACCAACATGTCATTCTCGGCCTTCATGGGGGCACCAGGCCAGGCGGAGTTGACGAACAGGAGCTTGCAACAGCAGCCAGATGGGTCATACAATTGGAGGAAGCGATTGATCAGAACGGTCTTTCCTTGCGAGGAGGGTTCCCTGCCTTTTGGCCCCCTGACCAAGTGGACATCGAACGATTTTTCGGCCAAGAGAACGCCTTAAGACTGCGGCAGTTGAAGGCACGACTAGATCCGAACAATCTGTTTCACCGTGCTCTGCCCGGTCTATATGCATGCTGATATTTATAATTTATGATTATATTCAGTTTTGAAGAACATACATAATATATTTTCGAACTTAGTATCTTCCTATCATTTAGCTTGATATAATCTAATATCACTTCAATTTTACATACCCGCAGTTTAATTTAGCGACCTGCTTGAGTCGTCATGCCCCATGTCTCGCCGCTTTTGCCCGTCGCCGGCTGCCTGATGCCTCCGGCGCGATTTAGGACACGTCGTTAGTGACGTACAAGTAAAGCCGACACACAGTCAATCGCTCGGTACTCACGGAGGAGATGCTGTCGGAGAAGCTGTTGCCAAAGTTATCTGCGCATGTATGGAGTACAATTGACTATTGGAAGGGTATCGAGAAGCCTATTGCGAATTAGGCTGTGATTTCACCGGTAATTTTATTAAAGTGAGGGAGGAATCTCCCGCAAGCACTCTATTCCCTAGGAGGTTATGTCTAGTCAAGCATTGTGGCGTGTGCTAAAATAGACGCCACAGAGTGCTTTCAGATTTGGGCCCGGCCTGGAGATAAAAGACAACTAGTAATAAAAAAGTTCAACACTGCTCGTCCTAGTACTTGCTACACATAATGTATACCTGAAGGTGCGAGGCTCATAAGGCTTGTGTGAATCTACTGTCATTTAAAAAATTGATATTAGTCTAAGCTTATATATACTACAGCTCAAGTTTATAACAGGTCAATCTCTACTCCCCCAGAACCTGCCCGGCTCAAGGAATCGCCATGTCAAAGCTAGGAAATAAAACTCTTACTTCCCCGGTGGAAATCAAAGCATGTACTTGCCCAGAGTTGGAGAGGCAGAGAGATATCACATACTGATTGACAACTGAGCCATCGATTAATATTCAGTTTAGCAACACCACGTTGTAAATATGTAATCTTATAACTATGCACAGTTCTATTGCATTGCAATGGAATATACCAACAATTTTCATAACCTCATAAACCTCGTCTTGTCCGAGTAGTGATCTACCAACTGAACGACTCCTCGACATACCGTATCCGCCGATACCCTCTTCTCATAGCCAAATGCACCGCCGCACGCGCCTCATCCGCCAACGCGGAAGGCCCACAGACCAGTACCACGGCAGATGATTCACTCAGCTGGGCTTCATGTGCGTGGTCCAGAACGAGCGATTCTAGATCTGGCCGACCGGGAAGGATATCTATATTCCCAGTGTCTCCCTTCCAGAGATGATCTCGGCTGCTTCGTCGATCAGTATCTGTGTCACTTTCGTCGTCGTCACCGGACCTGGCGGGAGTAGGAGTCGAAGAAGAAGAAGAGGTGCAATAAAACGACCCCCGGAAATCATCCCTCGCTAACGCAGGCGCTAATTCTCTTCCCGCGACTTGCTGTGCGAACGCCTCTTGGCGGGTTACCCAGATGAGGTGCATATCCTTCGTCTGGGTCGTGGTGCTGTTGCTCTTCGAGGGAATCGTGTCTGACTCGATAGATGACCTTGCAATATGGTCCTGGATATACGGGACCGCGGCTGCTATGCCTGTTCCTCCTGCTATCAGTAGGACAGATTCGTAGCTCCATAGCGGAAAGTGGTTGCCGTAGGGCCCTTCAAGAAGGATGGTCGTGGTGGTGGTTAGATCGGGGGAATTGGTGCATTGCTGGCGCAGGGAGCGGGTCCAGCCGTCGTAGGGACGAATCCAGAAGATGAATTTGGGAATTCGCTGCTGGCTATGGCGGCTGTGTTGGCGTGGTTGTGGGTGTTTGAGTTGGGTCTCGTCGGGGGTGGTTGTGCCTGGTGAGGATGGGTCGGAAAGAAGGGGCACTTGGGTGACATCTATGTCTACTTCGTTGTCTTTTGATGAGGGGGAGGTTCCGCGGTGCTGGGTGTCGTAGGACCATGCGCCGAGTGTAAATGGGTGGCTTTCCCAGCCGGTTAGTCGGAAGGGCTGGTACAGGTAGTAAAAGTCTCCCGGGGAGGGGCGAATGTGTGCTGATCCCGGGGTCACTTCAAGACGGATGACGTCGGATGATGGGTCGTAGGTTGCTGTGCTGCGCGTGTACTGGACGCCCTTTCCGGCGTTGGCTCGCACGTGGATGTTGCAGTAGATGAGGCGGATTAGGCGTAAAGAACGGTCGGCGATCCAAATGGCTACTGCTGGCCAAAGGTAGTTCCAGTAGTCGTGGCCTTCGAAGATGATTGTGTGGCTGGATGGAGAGTGGTTAGTTGGCTTTTATGAAGATAGGGGAGAGGGACTGACTAGAAGCATCCGAACAGAAGAGCAATGGAGAAGAGGATGTGCAGGAGAAGAAATGTCTCATATAACCGGTGGCGAAACCACTGCACTGCAAATGGAAGAATGACGACCATCACAACAGTTGCCTGTCAAGTGTTAGTCTTAAACCAAACGGATGGGTAGGCCACAGCATACCAGTGTTCCCCAGATCAGATACGGCTTGTGAAGCTTTCTGATGACATTGCCTTCTGTAAGGTTGTCAGTAATATGCTTATGGGAATGTCGATGCGAGAAGCATACTTTGGTACATGATGACAAGGTAAATGAGGGTATGTGCGACAGCCTGGAAAGTAGCGATCCAGGCAATATGTCGATGGAACAAGTTAAATGTCCCAAAACTCCATCCTGTTGCCCAGATGAAGATATTATTGCGCCCGGCAAAAAGCCATACCAGCGGGAGATTGGCGAAAGATAAGACACCGGTTCGGTCAGCGGCGTAGCGCATGATTTGGTCCGGAATAGAAGGCCAGCTGTATTTTCATCAGTTGTGTTGCATCGTGCCTATAGACTGAGGAACGTACTAGAGATTCCCCTCGACTGGCCGGTACTCCAACGTGCAAAAGACAACGCTCAACACCCAGAACAACAGAACGGTCGCCGCTTCAACGCGTGTGGGAAACGTCCACCAAAGCAGCTTCCGCCGTGGCGATGACAACGGAGCCGGTACCACCAGATGAGTCTGCAACCAGTGATATATCCCATCCAACGGTATCCACAGCCACCGTAGGCGTGAACGCGCCCATTGTCCTGCTCGAATGTCTAGCGCGTGGAAAATGTGTCGCACGAGGCGGTGGGAGATGCCAACAGCGATAACGAGGGCCCAGAATGCATATCCTAATAAGCTATTCCGGTCAGTATCACTGTTGCAAAATATAGAGCTTTTCTGTCTTACCCGAATGCATTGTGTGACCAGACCTCGAACTGCCAAGTATCCTGCGGAGCGAGATGATTAGATGGGTAGTCGCAGTGATGGACGACTGTGGGAGCATACAATTGTGTCGAATGTCCGACGATAAAATGTCGGAGAGATTAGAACCGCAGTGGGGATGCGCTGAGACTTTGGTATCTGCCCATATTCGACGACCGGCATGCGACTGAGCGCATCGTGGGTGAGATTCTCGGCCAACTGCTCGCGGGGGATCAAGTCGACCCTGCCGTATTCAAGGCAGTAGCCTTGCAACTGAGCAAATCCCGCGATGTGCTCCTCCTCCGTACAATAAACATCCGCCGAGGCATACGTCGAGGTCACCTTCAGCCGGTTCTGACAGCGCGCCTCCCAGGCTCCTTGGGCCGGGTCGCCGGAAAAAGAGAGATAACCCAGGGCGGTGTACACCGCCGTCACGCATCCCTCGTCGGTTGGCGGCCGGCCGGCAAAGGCCAGCCCCAAGTATACCAGGAGGAAAAGCCAGCTGGTGGACAGCATGGCATCGAGGATACAGAGGGAGTGAGTGATGATTGAAGAGGGGAAAGAAGGCAGAGTCACGACGCTCGGAGATGGCAGAGTGCGAGTGGGGCGTGACCGAGTCGCCCGCACCCTCCGACCGAGTCCGGCCGGGGGCGAAGTCTGAGGCCCACGTGGTCCTGAGAGTTGGAATGTATGGTACAGGTGCAGGCCGGGTGCTCTGACTAGCGTAGCATAATCTCAATGTTTAATCGTGACAATAAGTATCTTTACACTAAAACTAGAATTGAACTCGGAGGAATACTCCCGAATGAGACATTCGGACATACAGCACAATTGAAGCCAGGAACCTCGTGATCATCGGGATGGGTCCTATCTAATCTGATCGCGCCATCTGATAGCGCCCGTGCTGTGATTCGCTACATTGCATCCAGGCAACATCCCTTGTGCCTCAGGCTAAGAACGCGAGTCAACTGGAAATTCTATGCGGTGTCTGTTCATACCTAAAGGCAAGAATTGAAGGACTGTACCCTACTACTCGTGTATGCAATGACACACCTACACAACCTATCAAGCTTGGAAAGAGGAACATTAAAAAAAGTATGTCCACCGTGTACTGCCTCCTCTTCTTTGAGTAGCAGCGATATATGTTTCTGAAATAGTTGGCAGATTTCTGAGAGTATATACGAAGCGCTTTAATCTGTCCTGACTGATGGGGTATTGGGGGCCGTGGAATATGGAAAAAGCAGAGATCTTGGTTGATAATGGTATTTTATATACCAACCGATGGCAGTCAAGATAAGGTGCATCAAAAAAAAGACAACTGGCGAGATGGAAGGTTTGATACTAAGTTGGGAATGGTCATACCCACAAAATGATACTATCTCCCCAAGGAGGTCGCAAAGCCCATAATGCTATTTAACAAAACAACCACCCCTCCACTCACTACTAATCCCCATTCATCTCCAGCTCTACAACACCAACACAAAAACTGCCGTTCTACTGCATCACAACCTTAAACCCCTCAAAAGTCGGCAACACCCTCCTTATCTCCCCTTTGTACCCCGGAATCCCACCCGTATAATTCAACTGCTCAAACGGCTTCCCCGGGAACGTACCCCCCATATACGTTGACCGCGTCGTGGGCAACAACGTCAGGTTCGACAGCTCCTCAATCCGATGCTTCCAACCATGCATAGCCGACAAGGTCGGCTCAACAGATTTAATCCCCCTCCGCTCCATCGCTCGAATCGCATCGACGATCCATCGTCCTTGAACCTCAATCGTAGTCGGTCCATTAGACAGCGCGGTCGGTGCCTGTGGTCCATATGTGAAGAAGAGGTTGGGGTAGCCGTGAATAGTAAGTCCTAGGTACGTGTGTACTGTCGCGGCCCATTCATCCTTCAGATAGGTGCCCTCTGTACTGCGCAGGCCCAAATTGGTGAGTCCACCCGTGGACACGTCGAACCCGGTTGCTACGCAGATCACGTCAAACTCATGTTCCGTTCCGTCGGCCATACGGATGCCCTTTTCGGTGAACGAGTCGATGGGGTTGTTGCGCACGTCAACGATGTCCACATTCGGACGATTGAATTGGTCGAAGTAGCTGAGTTCTAAACTTGGCCGCTTGACTCCCCATGGATGTGGTGGCTCTAACGGGGCCAACAGGTCGCGTTTGACAGGGTCATCGATACGAGCGCGCACCTTGCGTGCCCAGAAATTGTAAATCACCCTGTTGGCTTTGGCCTCAAAAAGATAGTCACTGTACGAGCCGACCCAGTATCTGAACCCGCCTTTGTCCCAGAGCTGCTCGAGGAACGCTTCGCGCTCCTTCTCGTCCTCGTCGAATACCCCTCGCTCGATAAAGTCGTAGGTGAACCCTCCGAAGGATGTTTCTCGCAGTCGGAATAACTCCGGGTACAATGGTTTGAGGCGCTCTTGCTCTTCAACTGTGAGAGGTCGCTTGCGCATCGGAATGGCCAGGTTGGGTGTACGCTGGAAGACCTTGAGAGAGCTTGCAACAGGTCCCAGGGCTTGAGTGAGTTGGACGCCGGACGCGCCGGTGCCGATCACGGCGCAGCGTTTGCCTTGCACGTCGACGCCGTCTTCGGGCCAGGAGGCAGAGTGGTGGATTTCTCCACGGAAGGTGTTCATGCCTGGCCATTCAGGGACGTGTCGCTTGGCGGCGAATCCGGTCGAGACGATGAAGTATTTCGCGGATGCGTGACGACCATTGGCTGTGCGGATTTGCCATCGTCCAGCAGTAGGATCGTATTCGGCTGATACTACAACCGTATTAAAGAAGCAATCCTTTTTGACGTCGAGGACACTCTCGACATGCTCGAAGTATCGCCGAATCTCGTCGTAGGCTGGATAGTTGGTGGACCAATTCCAGTTGGCCCATGTTTCTGGGAGGGAGTATTGGTACTCAGGCATTTCGGAGTCCACCCGAGCCCCGGGGTAGCGATTCCATTGCCATGTTCCTCCCAAGTCCGAAGCAGCGTCGAAGATGACTGCTTTAAGACCTAGCTTTCTCAATTCATGCAGACAGTAGATTCCGCTGAATCCAGCTCCTACAATGAGGACATCTAATTACAGGTCGTTGCCATTGGGGGCTTCGGTGCCGGTGGTGGTTGGTTCTTGAGGGGCGTCAGAAGCCATTGTTGGGATACATCGCAGAGATATCTCAGCGTGGCCTCCAAGAAAGAGGGGAAAGGGTATTTATAAATAGAGTCAGCAGGGCAACCATGAACCTCCGGGCTGAAACCCCGCAGCAGTGGGCGTGAAGACTCTCAACCATTCGTATCCAGGCCGTGGCTGACCCTGGCTAGTCGCTGCACTTTTTACTGGTGATAACCCCGCTCCGAGATGCGCGTCACGTTACATCTGCGGCAGGGGGGTATTTGTGGCGGTTATCAGGGCAATAAGAGGGCAGTTGGACGACATCCCTTGGCTTACAAGTGTTCGTGGTACGCTGAGATAATGTGCAATGGATAAATGACCCAGGACCTACGCTTGATCGATTTAAGGTGAGCTTCGCCCGAGATGAAGGACACATAAGCAGCAGTATATTGAATTGCCCGATTGGACGTCACAGAATTATGCTATAATCCATCATGACCCTGGCTTATCTTAGATAGAAAATTCCCCCGTCAAGGGTAAGTCCCGACTCGACCGTCCCACATAGACTTGGTACGTCCCCGATTGCAGTTGCCACTGCTGCGCTTCCACATTCCAAGTACTCAGGTCGCGCCGATTCAGCGAGAAACTCACCTGGGCTGTCTCACCCGCGGAGAGAAGCACCTTGTCGAAACCACGCAGCTGACGGACAGGCCCGTTGGGGATCCCCACATACAGCTGGGCCACCTCCGCCCCGTCAACCGATCCACTGTTCTGCACCTCGGCCGTCACTGTCACCAGATCATCCCACAGCCGAGGGTTTCCTCCTTCTTGGATCGCAGCTGACGGAGGATATTCGGACGTTGTCTCGTTGGTCTTTTCGATGCTCAGCCCCGAGTAGGCAAAGGTGGTGTATGAAAGGCCAAACCCGAACTCAAATTGCGGGGTGATGTTATCCTTGTCAAATGCGCGGTAGTCGATATAGACTCCCTCGGAAAAGTCCGACTGGGGAAATAGGCCATACGGGGTCTGTGGCTCCGACGGATGCAACAAGGAGCCATAATCCGAGGCCTGCTTAGCGATCGTGTAGGGAAGCTTGCCCGAGGGATTGGCCCGCCCGTAGAGAATGTCTACCAAGGCATGCCCGGTGTCCTGACCTGGCAGGTGTGCCAGGACGACGGCAGTGACATTCTCATGGTCAATCCAGTTGTACACCAACCGGATGCCAGCATTGTGGACGACGACAATGGTGTTGTTACACTTGCTTGCCACATTTGTGACCAGGGTGTCACTGTAGTCGTCAGTCAATGCGGAGCGGTCATAGCCTTCCGTGGCAAAGCTGTTGATGAAAACGAGGCACGCCTCGGACGTGGGGTCCACCTCCGGGTCTTGAGCACTGACGTCCCACAGCACGGATGTACCGTCCTCGTAGGCCTGCTGTTGAATCGCATTGAGAGGCGCGATGACATATGCCGGTGAGTTCGATCCCGAGCCACCGCCCACCCAGAGAGTGTAGTTCTGAAAGAGGGGACTGGTGCCCAAAACAGTAGAAGCAAGATCAAAAGAATCAGTGACCTTGGCATCATATCCAAAGACAGACACTAGCTGGGGTGTTTGAAGAGGAAGCGCATTATTGGTGTTCTTCACCAAGACGTGGCCCTCAATTGCGCTCTCCAGAAGCGTGCTCTTCTCGTCGGGCGCGGTTCCAACAACAACCTGGTGCTCCGACTGGGCGCTTGCTGGCATACCAACGCCAGGGGTGGGAAAGTCCGTATCCTGGTTCAACTGGTACCACGTTGCAATGATTCTGATCCGATTAGCTTGGTTGTACCGGGAACATTAGCCACGAAGCTCACCTAGTCGCCATATCGTCCAATCTTGATGCCTCCATTGTGCCATTAGCAATGGCGGTGGTGAGGTTGGAGCCCCAGAGCGTCGTTTCAGGCATCACCATGTCCAAGCCAGCATTGGCCGAGGCGATTCCACCATGCTGCGCTCCCCAGTCGGTAATCACGTAGCCTAGCATATTCAGCAAAGATTACAGGTCCACCAAGTCAACAAGTCTTACCTTGGAATCCCAGCTCGGTCTTCAAGAGACCGTTGAGGGTCTTGCTATTCTGGCAAGCATACGAGTTGTTGATCCGCTCATATGAGCACATGATGGCAACACTTCCCGCCAGGACTGCATCCTGGAAAGGCCACAAGTAAAGCTCGTGGATCGTCTTGTCATCGATGTTGGACGAAACGGAAGCAACGTCAACACCGTTAACCGTTTCCGGATTTCGGTTTGTCTCTTGCTCATTGCCGATGTAGTGCTATTGAACCATAAGCCATGCTTCGCCTTGCCTGAATGACTAATACTCACCTTGGTCGAGACACCAACACCGGAGGACTGTACCCCCTGCACTGTTTCGTATACAAGTGCTCCAGTGAGGTAGGGGTCATTCGAGAACCCTTCCCAGTTGCGGCCACCCTCTGCCACCCGCCCCAGAGGGCCGACAACAGGACCGAGAAGAAGGTTCACCCCTTTCCGGTGAAATTCCTGCCCCATGTACTTGGCCCTATCTCGGGCAAGGGTCCGATTCCAACTGTATTTTCATGTTAGCTCTAGGAACATTAAAGACGTTCATTGACATAGTTCGTTACCTGGCACCGACGTGAATACCGCTAGACCAACCGTTGACATAGTCTGTTCCCCTCTGCGGACATTAGACACATCCAGTCATTCAGGAGGGCCATACGGACCAGTCCATTGCTTGCATCACTGACACAAAGACCGGTAAAGTTGAGGCGCGGGATCTCGGCAATGAAGCCGGAGCAGCCAGTCTTCGAGCTCACTCCTGCCGTGAGATTGACCTTTTCGTCGTCCGTCAACTGGGCGACAAAGGCCTTAGCCTTCTCATATGCGGAAGCCCATGACCCAGTACCCGTTCCCTCGGCTATGGTCAGGCGTTAGTGAAGGCGGTGCCTAGAAAGGGGGCACACCACGTACGAGACGGATAGACTGCGGGAGACTGTCCATAGAAGTAAGCATCACTAGTGATGTTCTGTGTCGGAGCAGCGCTGGAGAGCGCGAGGCCACCAAGCAAGCTGAGAAGCGCACTAATGCTGTGCATTTTGCCGATGCTGTCTTGAATGCTGCCAGGTCATGGTGAACACTGGCCCCATGGTGGTATTTAAATGTCACTTTCCCCCTCACATCTGCACGGATTACAGTGAATGTGTTGTTGCGAAGGTATAGTTGCGGTGCCCGTGTTTGCGGAATTTCCTGACTAGCGGATAAACATCGGGCAACGGACAGAAATGGTGGGTGATTAGACCCTGTCAGGCGAGGTGCAATGGAGCAGAGCAGGACTATAGAGGCCTTGTCGGGGTAACATTAGGCGAGCCGTCGCTTCTCCTCCACTGTCGGCAGCGTGGAGGGATAGAAATGCCGCAGTGGAAATCCCACATTCCCTATCGAGTCTCCACCTGCAGTGGAGAAAATCCGGGGAAATGCAGGGTTTAAGTCGTCATATAGGCCAAAACATGACTCGACTGGGGTACGGGGCGAGAGATAGGATGTACCATGCAGAGCTGCGCGTGGGAGAGAGGCGAATCAAGATTTGTCTTCCTCCATACAACATCCGGCTTGGCTTAGGCACTTAGGCTATTATACTCTCCGGTCGTCTGACCGCAGGAATATGGCATGGCGTCACCCATGAGGCCTTGTAGGTCCGAGGGTGTGCTTGGTCTCCTGTTGTTCCCACCAGGAACCAATCAGCTGCTGGATAACACCATTTAAGTTCAACGCTTATTATATGGCATCGGGCCTCGGAAGATAGTAGACGAGCCCTATCCATCGGGTCGCTGGCCTAGAGATGACGGCTCGTACCGCGCGAAAAGTTGGAAACCGCTCCCACTCCCTCATCGGACCAGAAAATCGGCACTTGTGTAGACAGAAAGTAGCGCTGAGTGGATGAAGCACCCCGAGACGAGGGCGTGGCATCGGATGGTGTGTGATGGAATCAAGTCCGTTCAAGGCATCACCCGCCTGGGCCGGGTTGGAAGTTGACCGAGCGGGGTCACCATGAAGAGCTCATCGGAAGAAGCGACAACGCAATCAGAACACTTCTGCAGTCCATCTGACACGAAGTTACAGGATGGCGAGAAGGATATGCGTAGAGTACCGGAGGAGAGAGATGAGGCAGAGGGAATGAATGCCAGTGAGGCTGTTCCAGCCCGTGCGAGTCCCAAAATGGAATAGTGGCAGTCACGGCCAAACAAAAAAACACCACACTTTCTTGTTCGGCCTCTTCCACTTTCTCTTCTCTCTCCCTCTCTCTGTCCTTCTTTCTATTTCCACCTTGACTTGCTTAGAAATGCTACCAAGCATGTCCCCAAGTCTGGTACCCCCAGATTTCCTGATAACCATGTGGGACGACTTCGGCATCCCTCCTGCCGTCATCGAAGTCCGGGTATGCCCCGGACCCACCAGCGCTGCCCAATCTACTACAAACATGCTCGGAGTAGAAGATTGACCATGCCCTGCAGTGTGCTGGGGGGGAAACATATGGCGGGGATGCGGGGGACGGGATGATGTTACTCATGCATGCATAATCAGTGGGTCCCCATGTTTTTTCTCCTTGTCCCCCTCCAAAAATTGCAGGGATGGGAAAACCTGGTCGGATGCCCGCGGTGCTTTCCACCCCTTTTTAGTTCTTATTCACCTCTCAACGATCATATTGTGCTCTTATGCGCAGAAGGTGGGAATACTACGTCGCAGGGATTAAATTGAACAATATCCCGCGGATCGTAAACGTGGTGCCCCGTTCGCTGGGATGAATCGCTCTCTCAAAAATTGGCCCCGACCACCAGCCAGCGCGGTAACCCCGCTCATACCCGCGCTTCCTTCGCGCATGACTGCTGCCATGCCACACCTCGCGGGCAATGCGGCTTTGCAGGTTCCGCTCCTCGTCAACGAATCCATCACCGAACACCGCAGCAACTTGCTCTAATGACTTGTTTGTTGTCTCTGGAACGAAGAGGAAGGAAAACACCGTGGCTGCCACGCAGAAAAGTCTGCGGAGGAGATACGTCCCCAATCCGAGTTTAAGGAGCACCTCCGGCACGACAAACGCTGATAATGAGGTTAGCCAACCAAATCCTTCCCGTAGCTGCGCCAACCCCCTTGGCACGTTTGGAACGGGGAAATACCTCTGCGGGAAGGACCCAGGCCAATGGCCCATACGAGACGCTGTAGGAGAGGACATTCAGGTCTGTCACCCATGTCAGTGGTATCTGCGAAGAAACGTTCGAGTGTGAGAGCTTACAATTCAGTGCCACACAGAACCACCCAACTGCCTGATGGGTAGCCCACTCGCGACTGAACCAGTTTGTTGTCCCCACCATCACCAGATGCGGGATTGCCATGACTTTCCCGCCGTAGATGGTCAGTGTACGCCGTCAACCCGATCGAGATACAACATAACTGGAATTCCTCCAACCACCTGACAGACATTGACCATCCCTGACAGGATTAGTGAATTATTGTCGCTCTGTCCCAGGGCTTCGAAGAATGTGGGCACATAATACACGAAAGCGTTGATCCCCGAAAGCTATCTCGGTTAGGAGCTGAAGGGATGGGGAAGGATTTTTGCTGCAGTCAGCAGGCCACATACCTGCTGAAAGAACGGAATGGACAAGCAAGAAGTGTCCTCCTGAGGTATTTAGGTTGAGAGAGATCGACCCACTGTTTAATGCCGACCAGGAGCGGATGGCGAGCGTAGTCAGGATACTCCCTTTTGAGGAGCGCCTGCTGGGATCGATACCTTTCCATTCCAATTGCTCCGGTGACGATGCTGATTGCCTCCAGAACCCAGAATGATCCACGCCATGCGGGCGGGGAGATCTCGGATATATACAATGGGGCACCCATTGCCAAGGTGCCGACACCGATCCCTCCGATAGATCGGCTTGCCACGATTGTAGCATAACTTTGGGCGGCTGTCTGAGTGGTGGCAGCCGAGTAGGACAGAGAACCGACCATAGCCAAAAGGAAAACCGCCGAATGACGCCAGTAAAGCTGCACCGAATGCGTAGGGATCATGGAAGAGGTTTTTGAACTCCCCGGCGTCATATTTCACTTCCAAGGTTAGAAGAGCAAGCGCATCGGTATCGGAAAGTTCATCATGGACTGCCGAACTCTTAACGAGATCTTCGGGTTGTTCTCTCTTCGCCATTGCAGGTTTTGTGTGCTATTGAAGGCGCCTCTACTGGCAAGGTGGAATAGATGCGTGCTGCATAGCAGAAGGGTGCCTTCTCATAGTTTATATACGTAACCGGTTCAGGAAGCAATTATGGGCATACTTAATCGTCGTGAACCACGTTCTCGATCGGCAATTCAGACGCCGCCCCGCACCTGGGGTGTCGATCCGGAGGATCATTCATTTGAGCTCGGTGGAGGTTTGCATTGGCAGTACTTCATAATTGGCAAACTGACTGCGACGGGCCATCTTGCCTCGTTCGCTGTCGCCAAATGCAGGAATACGTCCTCGCGAGGTAAGGCTGCCAAACATCGTATCGGCGAATCAACAGCGCGGTTTGCACTGTAATGAGCCCGACTTGGCATGATGATGGATGCCATCATCTCTTCCCAACTAGCCTATCATCTTTTCCAGGCCATCTGAGTCACCACCTTGCGTGAATGGTATTAATGTTCCCCAAGGTCGCCTCTAATGAGTTATCTGGGTCCGAGCTTAGAGTCATCAGTACTTCGATCTCTCGGCTGCCTGGTCCCGACTCTGCATATCCCCAGTTTGCCATATATCATCTCGACGCCAGAGTCCGCTTCGACAAAGTAATCCACATATGCTCGCTTCCTGGTCGATGAGTGGGCGGGCCCGGTATATTGGGCTCACTTATGGAATGAGCAGTATCTCTATAAACAGAAACACTGCAATTTGTTAATTAAAGCAGCTGAAGACAGCCACGGACACATTATATTCGACCTCGGCATCAGTAAGCAGAATGTATTCTTCTGGTGGCCAGACAACCAGGGTTCAGCACCAGAGCCCAGCTCAATCATGTCTCAGTTAATGCGGTTCACAAGCGACCCGAACACGACAAGTGAAACATTGCCCGACCCCGAGGTCCTACACACAGGTAACAGCGAGTTCTACAGAATAGACGATCGCTTCGCCACCCAAAAGCACCGGCATTGTTTTTTTTATTTTTATTTTTATTTTTATTTATTTATTTATTTTTTTTTTTTTTTGATCTCATGAACCCTTCTCTGGGCACTAACTTTGAAATCATAGGCCCTCGTCTCGGCGGCGGGTACCCTCTCTACAATGCTCTCGCTCACGTGGACCTACAGAGCGGGACGTCAGAGGTCTACTTCCCTGGTCGAACCCATCTAGTGCAAGAACCACTTTTCATTCCAAAAGCAGGGTCTACTATCGAAGGAGACGGATATCTCATGGCTCTGGTGAATCATTACGAGTCGATGACAAGCGAGCTTCATCTTTTGGATTTGACCGATTTCAGCAAGGCCAGGGCCGTTATTCATCTGCCGGTTCGGCCTCGGCCTGGTCTGCATGGGAATTGGGTGGATAGTCGTGATATGCAGTCTGTATGAGTTGTAGATTATCTACTCCACATGGGAGATGATGGGAAGAAGAAGGTTTATTACCTGCTCCCGAGTGGCGGTATATGCCATGAGGTGCAACTGTTACACACCTACTCTGCTGCCCTATCGGCGCACTATGAAAGTAAATAGATTCGGATGAATCAAGAATACGTACAATACAAAGCAGAAGAGATTCTATTGCAATTGCAAACTCATACCGTTGCAGTCGCGTGGCTGTCTGATGGTACACGATATTATGCTATGACTCGGCCTTGTGCTACATGTCTCGCTATTTATGAACACCGCTTGACAGATCGCTGTGTGGCTCTGTGCCTCACAGTATCATGCCGGGTAGAGCGTGCCATCTGGCTGTTGTGCAGTCACGATATCTGTCTCCTTCTCTAGTAGTCCCAGGAAAGAGGATAGCGCAATATTGTTGATAGCCTCAATAGGAAACAGATAGACCCATTTGCTGAAACCAAAGTGATGTCGACTGATTTTGGGTTGGCTTGCTGCGAGAGATCTGGCGAGGTGTAGTGTGCGACTATTGTCTTGAAAGGTCTCTGCGCAGTCCGAGCCATCTTGAACTCCCATCGCTCAAGGTGCTTGATGGCAAAAGCAGCGGAGATTGTCTGGCGCTTGCGATCACGCTCCCTCTTATCCACCACTTCGAGAAGATTTTAGCGTGCCCCAGCGCCGTGCTTTCTCTTCCTTGCCGAGTTTCAACGTTGCCAAAGCAGAAGATCAACAAGTCACGCCAGTCCGGAAAGGCTGCTCTTTAGGTATTTCTCATGACAAAGCTACACTTGTGTTGCTTTAGCTCTCTATAACTATATATTAGCATACAGTCAGATAAAGATGCGTACCCCACATTTGCTGTTTGCCCGGTAAAGAAATATCTGAAGTGAATGTGGACTGAGGCCGACCAAGCGGATACAGCCAGTAACACATTTTCATAACCAGGCCTATTGTCTGCTTCTCGCTCTTCACAATTCAGTCCTCTTCTGTGGCCTGAGCAGTCACTGATTCTAGCGGTCGCTCTGGTAGCAGTACGATTCATATCCAAGTCTATCCCGTAACACAACACTAATTACCGAAAGTCTCATATCCTACCACTCAGATACTCCTCTTCTTTAATCAGTCCATCCTCGCCTACAGTCTCAAGCTCTCGACTTTACTCCTCGCCACTTTACCTTCCACCAAATACTTCCAGACCATTCTCTCACAACTTACAACTGCTGCAATACGAAAATGATCTGGTCCTCGGAAGCAGACGCCAAGGTAAGCCAGTTACTCTCACATGAATGCCACGGTTATGCATAAAGCTGACTTTTCAAGCTCTTCGTGGGTGTCTTGAATCAGTTGCGCGGAAAATTGAAGCTCGACTATCAGGAACTTGCAATGCACATGGGCGGAGGTACTCTCTGCCCTCCCATACTATCCACAGTGAAATATGCATACTGACACAGCTAGACTGCACCTCCTGCGCTGTTGAGCAGCGTATGGTAAGGCTCAGGAGGATGGCAACTGCCGCGTCCATGGCATCACCCAGTGCGACCGGTGGCGGAAGTAGTACCAACACAACCCCTAATACTACTCCACGGAAGCGCAAGGGAGATAGTCTGGCAACCGCTCCTGCGAAGAAGGCCAAGACAGGGGGTGTCGCTTCTGCCGGATCTGAGAAGAAGGGGGCAGATACAGCTCTTGTCGAGGCAAATGGAAAGGCCGAAATGAAGGTCAAGTCTGAGATTAAGGATGACCCTGTGCAATAGTGCTGAGCCGGGGCTGTGTTTTTATCTACGTTTCCCTATGGTTTTCAGGGCGACAGCGTTTTAATTTGCCCTGCACACACAAACAGTAGAATGCTGGTGAGGCAGACCTCAATTGATGGATGGACTGAATAGTAGCTAGAAGGGAATAAACACTATGTCATATGATTCAATGATCCCCCAAGTAAGTAGCACCCGTCGCCATGTAGATACAATAAAGGCAACCCGCAATAAACGAAACCTCTCTTAGACGACCATCACATAGCCAAGATTGGAATGACCCAGGGCCACGACACCCTATTCCTTATCCTTCCCACCAGCCGGGATGCTAACGTCAATATCAGACTCCTCCGACACCTCCTCATATTTGACCTTCTTCATAGTGGAGCGCTTCTTCCTTGGGCTCAGTGTAGCAGACCCATTGTCTGACACCTCCTCGCCCTTGGCCTTCTGCTTCGTCGCAGCGCGTCTCTTCTTGGGGCTCGGTGTGGCAGAACTGTCATCCGCAGGGCGCTTCACGTTCATACTGAATGTTATGCCAGACTTGATCCCCTTGCGATATTTTCCGAGATGCTCCTTGAGAGCCTTTGCGGTGGGCTTGTCATCGCCGGCTATCGAGGTTAGAGTTTGTTGTTTTTCGACTTATGTTCGTATAACGGCCTAGAAATGATGAACTCACGCCAGCCTTCGGCAATCTTATCCAGATCCAGATTCAGTGTCTGGGTCTCGAAAATGGTCCGCCACAGCTGAAGTGTATTACGTTAGATAGTTGATAAGTTGGGTTTCTATGCAAGGGTATAGTTACCAGATCTTCGTTTTCCGGTGTCCAGCGCATGGTTGATGCCAGTTTAGTCAGAAGTGATGGAAGAGATGATCTTGAGATGAAGAGCGTCAGATGTTATAGGTAACGAGATACTTTATTCGTTGCCGTAGCACCGGTAAAGCTTGGGACAGTTTGGGGGCTTTCTGCGATCTGGCTGAGATATACTAAAGGAGAAGAAGCTTTTGCTAGAGGTGGGCTGATCGGAGAGCAGTATGTTGGTTAGGTGTTGCCTGCGTAACGAGATATATAGTCTGTCACATCAACACAACAAATACAGGTCATTCAAATGTGAGCCGTAGTATTCACCGGCTAGCAGTCACTGTTTTGTTTCCTGGGAAAGGTGCCGAAGTAGACAGGCTATCAGTCTCTGCGAAAGATGGCGTCTGCTGCCTCGAAAATGATCAGCTATATAGCCTCAGAGGGTATCTTACCCATCAAGAGCTTGGTATTACACTTTACTACATAAGAATTAACGTGGGGCGTTTTACAGATGCGCGCCGGGTAAACGCGAGGGTAAGGGTTGGCATTAGCCTCTCGAGATGATCACGAATATTAGGTTGTCCAGACATGCTGCATGGTCGGATAAGTGTTGTGAGCATTTGTGCATCCACATATTCTAGCACCAAGGCTGAGCACATGGCAGGCATGGAGCTACGCTACTCATACAAAGCAGGGCGACTAGATGAGCGACACGATGACTCTGTCGTGGCCGTCGTTGCTGTCATTGGTTGCCAGCAACATGACACTCAGACTAGTGAGTTCCTCGGCATGAAGTAGAGTCTAGCTTGGCGACGAACTAGGTTTCTGCCAGGTTCTGAAAAGAATAGGCTATAATGGCCTGGCGTTATTGACCAAGGTTGAAGATTCAGATCAATCGGGAATCAACCCGAGATCTTGCGATCGGCCCCCGTGGACTCAAAAGGGAAAAGCGCGCTGCAAGTGCCAGGCATGCAGGCATCCATGGTTTCCTGCGGGCCTCGCGAAGGGCCCAATATGTATCTTCCCGCTCCTCTCACCACTATCCTACATCCATCATCCCCAATTCGCTAATTCTTGCTAGATTCTAGGCATCATATTCCATTCTCGCATGGTCTGACTAAGCTTCCTATCATCAGGATCAGTCCAACAAGTTAGTTTCATCCTCTGTGGGAATCGTGGGACTAGTGCGTGGATAGCCCCCAATAACGACCGCGATGCTAGTGGCATGAGGTGGAGAGACGAGTCGGGATGACCCAGCCATTCGAAACCTCGTAATTTGGTTTAAAATGGCTGTGGTCTTGACTACCCCGCTATGCCTGTCTGTTCCCAGACTTTATTTCTTCGCTCCCCCCTCCATTTCAACCAGTCCAGTCTCCATTATGGCCTCTTCCACTGTTGTCCTTGTCCCCGGTGCCTGGCATCAGCCGTCCTGCATGCGCCAGCTGCAGGACGAACTGACCAGCCGGGGGATAAACGCCACAACAGTTGCTCACCCGTCCATTGGCAACACCTCTCCGCCACTGAAGACCATGGTGGATGACAGGGCGAGCCTGCACGCCGTCATCGAGGAACTCGCGGATAAGGGCCACTACGTGACTGTGGTAGCTCATTCATATGGCGGTGCAGTTGCGTCGGGCGCAGCTGAAGGGTTGGGCGTCGCCGAGCGACGTGCGGCCGGAAAGGCAGGTGGGATTGTTATGATCGTATACCTTGTAGCCTTTGTCGTCCCCAAGGGCCAAACCCTTCTCGGGTATTTTGGTGGAGTCGCCCCTTCCTTCTGGGAATTCAAGGTTGGTTCTGTCAATTCAATTTAGCCATGATGCGCGAACGATACTGAATGGATGGGTGGACCAGGGTGACCTTATCTATGCCAACAATCCCGCCATCAGCGATCCGGCCAACCTCTTCTACAATGACCTCCCCAGCGACGTACAAGATTACTGGATCTCTCAACTTCTTCCCATGGCAGCAGCGTGTTCCCAAGTTCCCAACACTTATGAGCCGTGGAATTATATCCCATGTACTTATATCCAAGCGAAGCAGGACCAAGCTCTGCCACTGGAGATGCAGGAGAAAATGATCGCCACTATGGGGTCCGTTACGAACCTGACCCTGGACTCTTCTCATTCGCCCTTCTTAAGCATGCCCCGTGATGTTGCCGTGCTGGTCCAACAAGCAGTTAAGGAGGGGTTGGCAAAGGCGCCTGGTGTTAGTATTCTTACCGCGTAATTCCTGCTTGAGTCCGTCTTGAAGCACACATTTTGTGGACACTTTAAGAAGAGGTATCATCAACTTGACCCATGTTTAAAAAATTGCAATAACAGCAAGCATCCAAGTATTGAGACACAACTTGTCGAAATGTTTCGCAGCACTTCAGAGCACAGCACTACCTAGAATTACAGTAACGAATCGCAGCAAGGTCTTGGGATCAGCCATCCCACAATCCGCGTGGGAAAGTATTGAAGTTTCGTCTTAAGCACGAGGCAGCAGAGAAACCTGGCAGCTGGCATCATGCCGTATAGTAATCAGAAGAAACGGGGGGCTAGTGATAGCTGTACAATGCCCCTGTCTTGCCGGCTTTCGTTGAAGATATGTCACCCCGTCTGCTTGAAGGAGCCTGGCAGTGATACTCGTAGTATATTGTTTGGGCCCACATACTAGCAAAAGCACTGTTTCATCAATCGTGAACATCATACTTGTTGGCATCAACGTGATCTGACAAGAGCACCGAAGTGTACAAAGATAGTAAAGATCAAAATAAGTCGGAAAGAATGAATACTAGGAAAGATGCAACTAGACCTCGCTAGTAAGAAGGCCGCCTCTTCGAGACCCTCTGGAGGCGGTGAGATGACGATCTGAATCTGCCTCCCCGGCGCTGCCTCAAATCTCTCTCCACTCCTCCACCCTCTGCCTCTAGCCGTACCTCATTATTTGTTCATCCGTCCATTCCATGGCTGCAGATTCCGGGCAGCGCTCCAGTGGGAGTCCTCGTTTACGATCGCATCATATGGGGAACAATAACAAGACCGTCGTAGCTTGTGACCAGTGCCACCGCCATAAGCTCAAATGCTCGCCGCGATCCCAAGGATGCGCCCGCTGTCACCGTACGCCTCCACTTCCCGCTGCCTCAGCCGGCCATTTCTGAACAACCCCCAGGACTAGGGATACAGTGCACATCCAGCCGCCCGATCAAGAAACGGGGAAGGCGACCGACTAGGCAATCTCTCCCACAGATATCTCTTCCACTATCAGAACATCACTTGTCGGTGCGGCCCGTGACACCCACCCCGGCTTGTGCGTGGATGTGCTGAACCCATTGCAGTATGCACCTGATTATCCTGTACTGGACTGCCTTTGCGATCTGCAGGTTTTGACATCCGAACAGGTCACGCCCAGGTAAATCTCTAACTTCCATCGATTTCTAAGCCTGTCACACTCACCATGTGCAATAGCGCTTCCCCGCTTCAACTCTCGCGTTTTGAGGCCTGTCGTCTGTTAGAGCACTTCTATGCTTCACCCAACAGAGAATTCCATGCCTTACTCATCCGAAAAGGCAGACTCTTAGATCAGCGTGCTCCTAGGCCCATATTGCCAACCCTGCTGCTTTCAATCCTATGTACGCCTACAGACTTCTCCCGAGCAATAATCCTCCAGCCATCTTACATGATTAAGGCGTCGCTTGTTTCATGCCACCAGCGGAGCAGTCACTTTATGCATCCGAACGAAGCGTCAATGAGCGCATGGCCCAAGGACGCTATCTCCTCGACAGGCTAATTCAGCATTTTCACCCCAGGACACTACCCGATACTAACCACGTGCTCGATGATGCCTTAACGGCATTCATCATGACAAGTATCGCCCCGAGCGAAAGATCGGTCGAGTCAAGCTTGCAATACTGGCTTATATTCCTCAAATTCGTTGTTCAGAAGTTGGAGCTACACAAAGATGTACCTGATCTCAGTGAAGACGACAAAGAGGAAAGGAGAAGGTTTGTCTCAATTCCTATCACAAACACTAGACCTAACGTCGTTTATATTGAGTCCGTGACAGGCTATGGTGGGCAACTTATATTATTGATCGACATGCGGCCTTGTCATTCAATGGACGACCGCGGATAACCGACAATGAATGTCTATCTCTCCCGACTCCGCGCCCCGATCCAATATGGAATCAGCCCGGCCCGTTACTTCCCGGGTCTCAAGGGCGAAGCGCACATGAAACAGTGCTCAGCTATCATGTAGGGAACCTGGACATGCTAGGTCTCTTTCTGCCTCTGTCAAGGTAGGTCTCCTGAGATTCCCTGAGCTCAAGCCGTGGTATCTGAAGCTAGTGCAGGATACTGGGCGAGATCTTGGAATATCGCTTCCTTAGCGATCATTCAACATTTAACACATGTCATGGCCTTTTGAACACAGTGCAAAAGAATATCCTACAGAATCTCGAGATATGGTATCATTCATTTGAGGCTCTTGTGGGCTCGGTGTTCTGCGCAATTGCTGAGCCAGATTGCGATTCATTTCCGGCAGCAGACATCCCGACAGTGGCCTACTATGGATTTCACATGTACCACTGCATGTTTGTATTACTACACGGTCCTATGGACGTGGTGCGAATGTATCAAGACCTTACATGGCAGTCATCTTCCGACTTTCTGACGGCTGGCGAGCATGCTGTGGCTTGTGCGAATGTGAGTCACCCCAAATCGCATTGTAATATTTTGATAAACAGAAAGTTTCTATCGTTCCAAATACACCCTTGCTGACATAAGCGGATAAAGATTGCGCGACACATATTGCGAATCGATCCACAACTGTCTCTAATGTATAGGTTTTTCGGAACCTACTTTTTACAATCGTCTTTCATCTTCCTCATTCTGGCACAAAAGCTGGGGAAGCGATCCGACGACCTGATTCTACGCAATTGTTCGATTAACCTACAGGTGTTGGACATGTTTGTGGCAGCGACGAATATGGACTACCAACGCACGTTTGCCAAGCTCTTGCGCCGGGCGCTGTCAGTCAATATGGCTGAATCTACTGGGGATAGTGTACCCGGACAAGATCAGCCGACGCCGGAACTCACGGGCGTACCTCAATCACCCTTGGATCCAGAAATGCTTCGTTACCGCTGGGCCCCTGGATATACTGGATTGTGGGTTGGTCCAATGGGCTGAGAACAGATCAAACATGGCATCGTCCGTTCATTACTCCATTGCTGGCTCCGCGGCTATTCGGCCTACCTGGATAGTTACGAGCGGTCTAATCATTACCATTAGGGCTATTAGAGCTCTATAGAATATGGCTCGGACCCGTTATCGCTTGCATGGCCTGCTGGGCAGAACGCCAGTGTCTGCCCAGGATATGGAATCTATGCATCCTGTCCGTCCAAGTCCGGTCCGAGTCCATGTGGATCGTCGAGGTGGTCCTGTCACTGCCATAGACAGTTGCGTTGCCGGCCTGGCTATCGAGAGATGGGGCTGTGATAAACCGGATCCAATTTTCCTGAACACGGTCGACTAAGGCAGCGTTTGTCGGTGCTTTGGCTGGCAGGGCCTCGTCTGCAACACGTAATGCATCTGCGAAGCAATCATAGATATATATCAAATCGACACAGTGCTGGGCAATCCCTTGCCGAGGCCCCGGAAATGGGTTGCCCACGCTCATGCGATACGAGTGCACCGCAGTAGAACGTGTTATAGTAGGGCTTTCTGTAAGCTTATCCCTGGGCACTTCCCAATCCCTCAGTTCTTGTCTTGCACATTGCACAGGATACCCGAACTGTATATCCGTCAACAGTTGAAGCACCCGTTTTCTGAGCTCGGCTGGGGGAGTGTCTGGCTCAAAACCATACGCCTGGTATAGATCTTCCAAGAACTCCTTTGACTCCACCCCAGCAGATAGTTGTTCGCTCAGATGCTCATAATTTCTGATCCCATTTACCACGTTTAAGTGTAGAAGACCCTGTTCATTATCAGCATATGATTATAGTTAGGCATGTTAGACTGGCTGACCTCGACATCTGTGTCACCAATCAAAACCGGAATGACTCCGGCACCAGAGGCCGATGTTTCCGCAATAGGTTCACTCTGCAGGCCATCGAGGTGAACGTTCCAGCGACCATTTGGTCTTTTTGAGATGGTTAGGCCATCTTCCACTAGGGGACAGACAATGGAACCCAACTTCCCAGCCGCTTGAAGGATCTCCGCTGGCGGAAGCTTAACCATGAAAGCCATGCGGGAGATAGCATCGCCTGCGGGAGCTCCTGCATGCTGACAGAAAGCGTTCCAGCGCGCGTTGGATACGTCCATCGAAATAGGACCGAGCACACCTAGGGTTCCCGATTGAATGATTCCTCGCTGGACCAAAGGCTCGCCTTTGCCAAGAACAGCCTCCAGGACGTGAGCATGCGACGAGCTTCCGCCAGCTGACTGACCTCCAACGGTGATCTGGGTGGCATCACCGCCGAATGCCCCAATGTTCTGACGTACCCAACGAATGGCGGTTCGCTGATCGCTTAGTCCGAAATTGCACCCTTTTCTCTGACCTTCCGGTTGAGCTTGAATGATCTCGGACGAAGCCGCGAATCCAAACATGTTGAGGCGGTAGTTGATGGTGGCCACGATCATGGGAGTGCCTAGCTCAACTGATTTCTTGACGAGGCGAGCCGGATCTATTGGGGTCGATGTTGATCAGTGGTACTGTGACCGGCTACGCCAGTTTTCTCAAGCGAAGCACTCACCCCAGATCGGATCTGTTCCCGCACCGAAGCTATATGCTCCACCATGAATATACACATAGACCGGCAATTTCACTTCCTGCACGTCGAAACCAGCTGCAGCAAGGGCCGCAGCACTGGGTCTTGTGATGAACAAATTGAGACAGTCGAACTCAGACTCCGTCACGTCGGCTGGGAACTCAAGATGCGATTGGTACTCGTCGGTGTTGTTTGGTTCCTGTGGTTGAGGGCAGCGAGGACTGACACACAGGCCTGGGTGTTAGCGGGCTGTAGTCCTCCACACTCAGAAGCAAGACATGTCAACCTACCCGTTCCGAGTTGCATCAAATTCATCCTGGGGTAAGCGATCACGGAGCACTGCATGCTGCCATCTCGCCGGTACAGTCCCGTACGGGATCCCCCGAAACTCTTCGATTCCCGAGATGGGGGATTTCCTCCCGATCACCCGCTGGGGATGTGAGGGTGACGTCTGCGTTGGGACAATGACGACTACCTGGTCGGACATGAGGCGGGACGGGACGGGAGCCTGGTCAGTATCCTCGGGCACCCGAAGCTGACGCACTGCAGCAGCCATACTGTCGGTTTGAAGCAGGAAACAGGAATGAAAAGACGTTGGCAATTCCGAAAGTCATGGTCGGCGCGGCTAATGATTTATACCTGTCGGGGTCGACCATCGTGGAGTTGCATCCCGGCGGTGGATCCCCCTTGATTCCATTTGCTGTTCGCGGCTGTCCGCATCCCAAGCTAATCTGTTCCAGACCCAATCAGCATCGGCGTCCGGACCGCGCCGGTGAACTTTAGTCGGTGAATTACGCTGCCAGCATTCGGCCAATTTCCTTCTTTGCGGCTGGGATCTCATCTATTTGGTCGGCTGACAGAGCTTCTCCGCAACCCCGGCTTTGGGGACCCAAAAAAAATCTGGGGAGCAAAGGATAAACTCATCCCCAAGTTGTCTCTATATAAAAAGCCCATCCTGACAGCGCTCACTGCACAATGTCTGGCTCTCTGCTTGTGCTCTCAATTTTGCTACCTGTCTGGCTTTCTCAACCCTCTCTACACTATGACGGCTCCAATGTCGGCCACAGCTGCCGCCCGAGCTGACTGGCGTGCCATTGCAATCTGCCTGTTCATCACCATTGCAGCCTTCCAGTTTGGTTTTGACTCATCCTATTACTCTGGTGGGTTCAGAGCCATACCCCTTTCCCCAAAGAGCGACCAGCTTGAGTTTGCGAATACCCAACGCTTGGACATGTTCTGATTGCAGTATGTTAACTCACATTCCCTCAGGTATACTGGTGATGGAGCCCTTCATCAAAGCCTACGGACACTATGACAATGCAACGGGGGGCTATGTTCTCAGCTCTAGCATTCAGTCTCTCACGACCAGTATCATCAATGTCGGTGAGCTCGTCGGGGCCGTATCATCATACCTTGTCGATGACAGAATTGGTCGCCGTGGTGGTCTGTTTGTGTCAAGCACATTTGTCGTCTTAGGGGTGATCTTCCAAGTTTCTGCCGACAAGCTTGCTCTGTTGATTGTTGGACGGCTACTCCTTGGTTAGTACTCATCGGAAGACGCCCGTACCACAGCTATCATAGTCACTAATCGGTTGTAACCGTTACTAACTGATGCGCAGGATATGCCGTGGGCCTGATATCATGTCTAGTTCCGCTGTATGTAGCCGACTGTGCCCCGGCCAGGTTCCGTGGAGCTCTGGTTTCTCTCTACCAATTCGATGTTGGCCTTGGACTGCTACTGGGTGTGATCGTCGATAATGCGACCAAGAATCGGAACGATAGCGGCGCTTATCGGATCCCCATGGCGGTGCAGCTGGTCTTCCCAGTCATACTGGTTCCGGGGCTTATCTTGTTCGCCCCTGAATCACCTCGGTGGCTCTTGAAGAAGGGGAAGACGGAGCAGGCCCGTGCAGCCCTCCGTCGCTTGCACGGAAATCGACCGGACGTGATTGAGAGCGAGGTTCTGTACATATCCGGGACTATTGAAGAGGAACGCCGCGCGGAAGGTTCATGGCGGGAGCTACTCCACTGGCATCAGGACGGTCGCAAAGCATACCTGGGGATGGCACTCCAAGGTAAGATGAAAAGCCCCTTCGCCCTCCATCGTCCTCCAATACTAAGTGTCTTCTTCCCATCAGCATGGCAACAAGCGTCTGGAATAAATTTTATAACCAGCTACGGAATCGTGTTTTTCTCTGCCATTGGGATGACCAATTCATTCCTGATCCAAATGGGCCTATATCTGGTCCCCATGCCCGCGGTATGGCTGAATCAATATTGTGTCGAGCGCTTTGGTCGTCGTCCCATGCTGCTGCTCTCGTGCGTCCTCGTCGCCATGGTCCTTTTGATTGTCGGCGGGGCCGGAACAGCATCCCATAAAACTACGACTCTCGACCGATTGATCGTCGCCATGGTATACATCTACATGATCGTGTATAATCTCTCCTTGGGACCAGCTGTTTGGGTGGTAACCTCGGAAATCTCTGCCGGTCCAAACCGCAGCAAGTTGATGGCTACGTCGACCGGCGTCAATTGGTTCTGCAGCTGGATGGTGACCTTTACCTTCCCCTATCTCTTCGATAGTGATGCCGCCAATCTCAGTGCCCGAGTCGGCTTCATCTACGGTAGCTTGATGGTTGCGGCTGCCGTTTGGATTTACTTCCTACTTCCGGAGACCTCCGGACGCACGTTGGAGGAGATCCAGATCCTCTTCAAGAATGGCGTATCCGCCTGGAATTTCAAATGTATGACAAACACCCCACCCCCTTTCTTGGTATTAGGCAACACATTGACTAATTCGTCTTCCTGCAGCTTATGAGATCCCCGAAATGCCAGGTGGTTCTGTCATCGACGAGAAAAAGGAAGCACATGCTACTGAGGTAGAGGAGGTATAGAGCGGGGGTGATGGACTTGACTCACTGTGATTGTATTCTAAGTGCCGATGAGCGTATGTGTCAGACTATATATGAGGCCATTCAGTGATCAGTTCAGACCCATTTCAGTATCTTGCTTACGATCCAGCATTCCGCGGCCCGCAAATTATATATTAACTCCTTTGCAAGTTCCCAAGCACTGCATTAGCATTGCTTTAAAGCCATAAAGTCCTATTTCTAGTTACTGATACATTTCCATGTCTGTTGACCGCATCACGAAGGTGCATCTAGTGTTCCATTGCCATCATTACGATTACCTCCGTCTGGAGACTGGTTTTATTTGGGCTCGGCGGGACCTCGGATAAACGGTGTTTCTGTCCGCTACATGAATACGCGCGAACTGACGCGAACCATCATCATGGGATCAAGATAGGTTTGATATTAATTCCCAAGAATCTTCAAGGCGGCAAAATCCGACAGGGGGAGACTAGATCAAACAAGAGCGCTAGGGTGATTATCGTGATAACTGGACTTTTCAGCGTCTATGAAGAGAAATCAACCGTCGCCGACCATGGAACGACCCTTGGAAATGACATCAGCGTATAAGTTCGCTAAAACGATATTTACCCGTCCCTGAATCCCCAGGTTCATTATGCGAAGGAAACGTTAATAGCATTAGGCTCACAGTTCTCCCATGTTCTGCGACCCTGACTCGTCCACCGAGACGAGGGCGTGTTCGGATCGGCCGGTTGATGGACGGTGGCTGATTTTTGGGTCTGAGGGACATTGTTTACATGAAACCACTCATCGTCGAGAAAAGACTGCATTTATTGCTTGGCAATCGTACTTGTCGAGTTTTCTCGAAGACAACACGGCGAATTTAACCTCGGGATCAGAGCATTTTAAGTAGGCGACCCAAAAACATGGTCGGGATGTGAAACACGCCGTTGGTGCGCTGGCACAGGACCCCTGATTCAGGGTCCTCGGCATGCCACAATGCCAATCCTTAGCCCACAGTTCGTTCCCTTTCCTTGGCCCGTGGTAGGCCCAAAATGGTCCCTTCGCCCCGAGCCTCTGCTCTATATCGACACTTCTGCCTGAAACAATGAAACCAGCCTAGTTCTCTGGGCATCGGCGCACAAATGGGTTCGCCATGTGATTTTCTGAACACGTGGGTTAGACTGGAAGGATAAATTCCAGCATGGCTGCCCAGGCGGCCGCATTGATGAGTGAGGGTTTTTCTTCCCATAACGTCAGGTGAAATTACCACAATGAAGCTTCCTTACTTTCTGCTCGGGCTGGCAGGTCTCGCTGCTGCGAGCCCCATGGGACTTGCTGAACGTCAACGTAAGGAGAGATGGTCCTTTTATCTTAGCGGTCACGGCTAATCGTTTAGTTTCCGATGGCAATGAACTGCGCGATGGCTCTTGTAAGCCTATTATTTTCATCTTTGCCCGAGCATCTACTGAGCCTGGCCTGCTCGTAAGTAACATTGTCTTTCGCACCCGATCAAACACTCGAAATACTCACGAGAATTTAAGGGTATCTCCACTGGTCCTGCTGTGTGCAACGACCTCAAGATGGCCAAAGCCGGCCAGGTTCTCTGCCAGGGCGTGGGGCCTGCATATACGGCAGATCTCATGTCGAATGCACTCCCTGACAATACCTCCCCAGCTGCCATCAGCGAGTCGGAGAGCCTCTTCAAGCTGGCCGCTTCGAAGTGTCCTAACAGCCAGATCCTGGCTGGTGGGTATAGGTTAGTTGCTCTTTAATAACATCGATTCTCTCGTTACGCACCTGCTGACGTCCATACAGTCAAGGAACAGCCGTGATGGATGATTCTATCAAGCAACTTCCTGACGACGTCAAGGACAAGATCAAAGGCGTTGTGCTGTTTGGATACACCCGCAATGCCCAGGAGGGAGGTCAAATTGGCAACTTCCCCAAGGACAAAGTCAAGATCTACTGTGCCATGGGCGATCTTGTCTGTGATGGTACCCTCATCGTCACCGCCGCACATTTCACCTACGTCATGAACACAGGTGAAGCTTCTCAGTGGCTGGAATCCAAGCTCAGCGACACCACCACTTCTTCGCTGACTGGTTCCTCTTCATCTGATACCTCTTCGAGCACCTCGACCGGTGATTCCTCTTCGGAGTCCTCATCCGCAGCAGGACTGGGTGGACTGAGTGGACTTACTGGCTTGGGCTCGTCCACATCTGGTGGCTTCCCTTCTCTGGCATCACTTTTCTAATCAGCTAAAGCAAGATAAGCTAGAGTGGCCATGGTAATCATGTGGATTATGGTCACTCCTAACGACGCTCCGGACTTGGCATACGAGTTTATGAACGATGTTATGCTCCAAGTTTTACATGTTCGTACATTGACAAGCATGTCCGGATTGAGTGGAGCAGGATATATTTCGAGTTCACCAAGCAAGCTGTTCAATATCAGTTTTTCTCTCTCATGCTGTGTCATTCTACTACTTCATATTGTTTCACATGTCCCGGGATGGACTTAGAAACGCATGCTTGAGTATAATGAGCTTACTTGAACTTTTACTCCCCTTTCTTGTGTCCGTCTAAGTGGTTAATATTGCCTGCCGTGGGATCAGTCACGACGAGGAAGCGAAGTAAATGTTCGAAAGTCTAATTTTATTCTTTTGACCGTGCAAGTCCCTTTGATGCTACCACGGACCATCTTTTACATTCCAGTCAGCCAAAGAAAGCACAATAACCCAAAAGCCGTTGAAGAAGTTCGAGTATTTGAATACTCACTTGGGTGCGACACTCCTTCTCCGTACACTAATGATACCTTCCGGCAAGATTTACGGGGGAGGAAAAAGCGAGGGGTTATCTTCACTGTAAAGGTATTTCTTGATTGTTTTCAATGGAAGTGCAGTTTGAAGGTTTCTAGTTTTGGTGAAAGGCTGTCCGTAACAGTGGGTGATTCAAAGATAATTGATTGAAATCAAGAATGGAGACTGAAGGGCTAGTTTTAGCAGCGATACGAATGTGTGCTGCCTGAGGCATACTAGGAGATATCTCAGTGCCCAGGGAAGGGGAGAGATAGGCGCCCTACTATTTTCATTGCCACCTTACATGCCGCCGTAACTATATTTCCTGGGAGGGCTCCTTCCAGGAGTGGTAGTTCCTTTTGTTGAGTCTCACCTAATCCTGAGAGACGCCGTGTTGAACAGAGGACAGACCAAATCGAAGAATTTGTTACAGTGGCCAGATGTTCGGTCTGTAGGACCGGTAATCACGTCCAGCAGTAATCCGATGATAACCCCTATAGATCTCATATGCTGGACAAAGATTTTCTTTATCGGGGTGGAGGGATTAATCGTGATTCTATTTTTGTGGCTATCGCGGGGGGTAACGTCCCGGTGAGCCACGTGGGTTACGTGGGAATTGCTTTCCGCAAGCTTTGGTGACTCCTTCGGTTGATATTTCAGGATTTGTAGAGGGACTGAATCGTGCTGGAGCCTTCTTTGATTCCAGAGCCAGGTCAATGGGGCGGAATGAGTAGATTCTCCCTTGTGCCAGTCGCGAGATATGGTTTCGAATCCCACTAGGGCCGGTGTGACATCTAATTCTGATCTAGTAGAATCATGTAGACTTCTCATCCCCAATTCATCGTGTTGTGATGGCTGCGTTTTCCACCCCTCGCGGATTTGCCTCCAAAGTATAAATCAGTGGCTGCCCTCGTCTCGTTGCATTGTTTTCGGAGGATACCGGATTGGGTAGACTCCACGAGTAGCGCGGACCCTCTCCCCTTTTACTCTGTCTACCTTCTAGCCATAGCAAGTAGGCCGGTCGATGAAAGTATCGTTCGATAACCCTGTGGAAGTATTTGTCAACATCTTGATTTTTCCGAAAAGCTTATTGGGGGATAGGGATATTGTTGTGGATGTCGTGTGTCGATAACCGAACCACATGGCAATGGGACAAACAGCCGGTTCTTTGGGAAGTGGAGAACTCCGAAGACTGGGTTCACTATGACTGATTGGTGTATGCCGGCAGATCTCCCAGATAACGCTCTGCATGAAAGGAGGAAGCACAACAAGAGCTGTCGCGCTCCATAGTATGGGATTTTCTAGTAAATGGAGTGAAAAGAGAGACGGAGAGAGATAGAAAGCAGCACGTGGCCGAGTTAATGATTCCATCACGTGTGTGGCCGTTCCAACTGGTACCAACTTCCACCTTCCACTTTCTATCTTCCAACGTCACATTCCACTTCAGCTGCTTCTTCATCAACTCCAACTCTCCCTCTCAACGGATTCTACTTGGCCATTCTTGACTCGAGTACCACCAATGACACTTCCTGGTTTTCCGCCCCTCTGGTATCGCTTCTAGGAGCTTCTGAACCCTGCAGGAGAACATGCTGCATATCTCTGCACGGCCCATTCCCAACAATATCTATTAGTCACTGTCTTCCTGCCCTGTTATCACTCCATTGGATCTAGGCAGCAGCGTGGCCTCATATGAAGTCTCTGACTGACTCGAGAATCGATAGTTTTGCGCCTCCCACGCCAAGCTCTGTCCACCACGTGGGAGAGACCCCCGACGACAGAAATACACAGCATTCTGGAATGGCACCATGGACTAAACTCCACTGAATCGGCTGGTTCTAACTGGCCTCGTCTCGCATCAATCGACTCGCCGTACCAATCAAGCTAGACCTGGTCTCGTACCGGTGGAGTGGTGGCAGTTAGCGGAACGGCGGCGCGGGTGGAGAACCGTGGAATCTCTCCTTCGGAGCAAATTCCACGCCTTCCGGGCGCGGCTTTTCCCTTCCTCACCCGCGTCCCGTTTAAATAGCGACCCCCTGCTGCGTGGCCATCACCATGCTGGCTCTTGTTCTTGCACGCCTCGTCTTCTGTCCCTATACTGCCCTTCTCCATTATGGGCGTGATGCGCAAGACTGCTGACCAGGCCTTGGGCCTGACCGCCACCGCCCTGGCTCTGGTCAGTGCCGCCCAGGCCACCTCCCCGTCCGTCACCGTCTCCCAGGGTCTCATCCGCGGCTTTGAGCACAACGATACGAATGTCTTCCTGGGTATTCCGTTTGCCGAGACGACCGCTGGTGAGAACCGCTGGAAGGCCCCCAAGGCTCTGTCGTCCTTTGCCGGAGGCGAGTTCAATGCCACCACCTATGGCCCCTCGTGCGCCCAGGCCATGTCTGGCACCGCCATCACGGCCCAGAGCGAAGACTGCCTCAGCATGAACATCTGGACTCCACTGAGCGGCAGTGACCTGCCCGTCTTCGTGTATGTCTACGGTGGAGCCATGGTTACTGGTGGCAGCAGCAATGCTCAATGGCAGGGCTACAACTTTGCCCGCAAGGATGTCATCTATGTCAACTTCAACTACCGCGAGAGCATCTACGCTTCGCCTAATGCCCCGGAACTGGAAGGCCAGTCGCAGAACTTTGGCATCATGGATGTGGATTTGGCCGTGCAATGGGTCTATGACAACATCGAAGGTATGCTTTCTATTTCCGCTGCTATTGGCTCACTTAATCACTAACAAACGTCGCAGCTTTCGGAGGAAACAAATCGAACATTGTGCTGGGTGGTCACTCCTCTGGCGGTGTGCACGTCGACCACTACCTCTGGAACCACCCCGAGACCTTCCTTGCCGGCGCCGTCGAGATGTCGGCCAATGCCGAGTCCGGTCCGGCCTATGCCCCTACCGGCGTGGCCTTGGCTCAGGTCGTCGAGGACATGTTGGCTGCCGGCGTGACACTCGGCTGCGATGCCAGCAACTACACGTTGGACTGCTTGCGCGAGGCTGATACATATGCCTTCCAGACCAGCTACTTTAATTCCACCTCCAACACCTGGTTCTCCCCCATTGTCGACAACATCACTCGCTTCTCCAACTACACCGACCGTTTTGCCCAGGGCTACTACCCCAAGTCCCTACCTCTGATGGTTGGTAACTCTGACCAGGAGGGCCGTCTGTTTGCCTATGCCTATGCCTCTGAAAATACCAAATTCAACAAGTGGATCCACACCTTCGACGCGGATGTCGCCTGGGTGCCGTCCGCGGAGCTCTTGGCTGCGTACAACAGCGCTGATTACTCGTCTGTCTCCTTTGAGAGTGGCGCCTGCTACGGCGATGCCCGTTTCCTCTGCGCGACCGACTACCTTGTCGACGTGCGCTCGAGCGAACAGCCCACTTGGATCTACCGCTGGTTTGGTAACTACTCAAACGTGTTGGGCATCGCCGACATTGGCCCTTCCCACGGCAGTGAGGTACCCTTCTTCCACGGTGGCAACGAGTGCTTCTCCAAGTTAAGCGACGTCACCACGGCGGAACAGGAGCTAGCGGACTACATGAACGACTGGTTTGTGGCCTGGATCAAGGCGCCCAGTGCCGGCCCCGGATGGGACAAAGCTCAACCCGTCAACGGTCCTCTGGCTCGCCTGGGAGTTCCGGGCAACGAGCTGGCAATCGAGATGAGCACGACCGGTGCGTACAATGGACGCTGCCAGGCCGTATACAAGCCCAACTTTCCCAAGTATCCGGTGGTGCAGAACCCCGTGCTGCTGGATTCGTAAAAGATGAAGACTGTACGAGGATGTGACGAGCTACGCCGCCGTGGGGTGTGCACATTGTTGTAAATCTATTTAATTTTATCAGACATAATTTCATTTAAGGATTTTATTTCCGTCTGTGTGTGTTATGACTCTTGGTCCTCATTGCATGACCTAATGTAAAAGCGAACCTAGCTCGTTTGAGATTGGCTCCGATCTTGGCTGGCTCCAGGCTTGCGCCATCAGCTGCCAGGCTTCAATGTGAGTGTACCAGCTGGCTGCCGGCGGAATCCGATTCCTCTCACTGCTACTGCGGTCATTCCGAAAACTTGGAACGTGCTTGTTGGCACTTGGGACTGGATCGATAGTGTCCCTCCACGTCCCTGGCCCTGAACGGATCGTGACTCGCGCTCGACGATCTCCTGCAGGCCTGCAGGAACACACCACCCACCACTGCGCTACGTGGTGCGATGCGGAAGATGGCCGAGGGCAACCCTAAATTGCGGGGACTTCATCCGCCGAAGTTCACCCATTGCCGCAATCAGCATCGATTCGGTGGATCAGAGCGGAACCACTATCGAAGTTAATTATCTTGGGACCCAAGGAAATTAAATGGAATGTCTTACTTGGGCCCAGACACATCGCTTCGGATGACTGGCCCGCCAGATGCAAGACAGAACGACATGGTTCTACCCTTACAGTTTGGGTTTTCAAGGCCCTGGTTCGGGTCGAACTAAACCTAATACTCAGCAACAAAGCAGCAATCACCACCGAGTGGCCGCAGGATTTTACCTTGTCAGAGCGACCTCTTGCCCCTGGTCCGATAGTTATTAATCCTGGGTTGGCAGGAATGCCCCCGGATAAGAACCACAATATGCCTCCTCGTCCTTGCACGTCTCTGCTGTCGTTGTGACTGTCCGAGGTATCGCACGTCCATCGCCATGGCTCGTCCGGACGTTGGCCAAGTGGTATGAGCAGCCGCAGCGTAACCCGTCAAAAAAGGTCGATCTTTTGTGCTGTTCGCTAACTTCTGGTGGTGGTTCATTAGGTGGCATGGTATATCTGCACGGTCGCCGCATGCATCTTCCTCGTATTTCGGCTGATCATCCGATGGCGACTCCTCAAGAAGCTCTACCTCGATGACTTCTTCGTGGTTGCCGCCGCGCTGTGTCTCATCGGTGATTTGGGCATTCAACACTACATGTTCACTCAGGGTTCGTCGTTTCTCTTGCCTACTAGTGATCCGTGCGACGTCTGACCTCCCGTTTTCTCCCCACCCACAGGCATGTCAGAGATAGCCAAGACAACCACGGCCGAAAAGATCAACATGCAGAAAGTCAGTAGGAGCATAGGGATCTGCACTCCCAAGCATCCACACCTCCGCCCGTTGCTGACTCTGTTCTCCTCCTCCCACAGTTGATCATTCCTGGGTCCACCTTGTATGTTACCTCGCTCTGGCTCATCAAGGCCAGCATGGTGCTGTTCTACAAGCGCCTGGCCGATCGCACCAAGTATCAGACCATCTACAATATCACCCTGGGTGTCCTGGCCGCTGCCTGGCTGGTGCTGTTCTTCGACATCGTCTTCAAGTGCTATCCCCCGGATCGCCAATGGAAGAGTTTTGAGAACCCGGACTGTGAGTGGGGAGGGTTATCGGATGCTTTTAGCAGATGTTGACTAACTGGCTGCTAGTGACATGCTCCGAGAAGCAGTCGACGATCAATTACTGGCTGACGATCCTATGTATGGACCCTTTCGTATCTTGTACTTTATGGGAATCACAGCTAACCATGCCCCTAGTCAACATCTTTAGTGATGTTTTCAGTAAGACAAGGCCCAGCAACAAACTAATTACATGGTGAACTAACGTCACAGTCATCTGTCTTCCCATCTCCCAGGTAGCACGCCTCAAGATGCCAAGAAAGCAGAAGCTCGGTGTCATCTCCGTATTCCTGCTGGGTGTCATCGTCGTCATCACTAGCAGTTAGTTTTGCCCTCTTGCCCTACATCACATGAAGTCGCAGCCAGGCTAACGGCACCAGTTATCCGTGCTATCTACTCGCATTTGGGCGAGCAGATGATTACTTGCACGGTCTCCATGATCGAAACGGCCATTGCCATCATTGCATCGTGCCTTCCTGTCCTCCGCACTCTTGTCTTTGGCTCCCACTCACGCACCGGCACGTACAGCGGTCGCCGGGGATATGAGCTGTCCAACTCTGGGGCTGCGGGATTGGCCAGTAAGCAGCATACCACGGTGTCAGTATCACGCGGGGGGCCGGACGAGCTGTCGCGACATGACTCGGAAGACGAGCTGGTCAAGGAGAACATGTCGGCCGAGGATCCTACCGCGGGCATTTCAGTGACACGGGAGTATTTCGTACACGAGGGCGCTATGGAACGGCAAAGCATGCGGTAGATATTGAGCCGGAAGTGTCAGCATCTGCTCCTTTCTAGAGCTTAATTTGATAGGGGCTTCAAAATAGTAATTTTATATATCCATATATCATTCTTTACGAGGAAATCTGATAGTATAATATTTGCATATCTGAAACTAGAGATGCCGATCACAGTGGGACCAGGACCTTAGCCTAACAATGTCTTATATATAAACACTAGTGATATTGGTAACGGCCACCGTCGTTCGCCAAGCCCCTAGAAGGTCTACAGTATTCTGCGACGGAAGAATAAGCTACAACTAGTAGTGCCTAGTTTATAAACTATTTCGTTCATGTAGATAGACCACCTACTAATATATTTCTATGATATGAACTTGGACGGTCAATTCTGTTTGACTAATTTCATCGATCAAAATGATAGATCCCTACGATGCAGTATTATTAGCAGACTGCAACATGATGACGTTTTTGCTGGTGTAAGAGCACTAGTAGTACTACTAAACTGGTACCATTAAACTTGTCCATCCAACAAAATATATATTTGGGCTCAGTTCTGGAAACTCAATATACGGCAACATAGAGAGTATCTAACCTGTTAGAGTTACATGTTGTAACTGGCACAACTGTCAAGCTACTATGACTACATTGCTTCAATTATTTCACATTCAATTCTACCGAAATGTATCATGCTACAATTGCTCAAGTTACGGCTGCAAATGTTCCTTCAGGGTCCAATTCAAGGGTCGCTTACTCATACGGTTCTATCCGTCCCGGACTCGTGATCGGCATTCCTTGATTCGGCATCCCGGATAGTCTCCGATTAGCATGCACTTCCCTTTTCGGCCTAGTAGTTCATAAATCATAACGAGAGGTTTATGCATCCATTAATAAGCACCCTTGAATTGCGTCTAAAGGCTACACTCATAGTAAATACTTCAGCTATCCAGGTCCATCTTACTTTACATCTGAAGTAGGGATGGAAGATTCAATCGCGGGTGAGCCTTACATTCTTTGTTCGTGTTTGATATGAATAAGTCATGGGGCGCTGTTGAGACAGATCTTGTTCTCCCATCATGCTGCGACTGCCTGAGCATATTGATGAACTTCCCTGTGCTTCGTAGTTGAACATTGCTTTGGGACCATTGAGATGCATGACACTGGACTGGAAATTGGCAGATGTGCCCTTAACCGTATCTCCTTGTTCTGTTCTGCTGCATGGATCACGGAGATACTCCAGCGTCCACCGCCCGCTAGTAGATACGTTTCCAGCTCGTCAGTCTTGATGCATCGAAACCCATTGAGGTGAGAATATGCGAAGGCCTTATCTGCCCAGCTAATCAACAAGTGGATGAGATGATAATCGACCTCATTACAGATGCCATCACAGGGCTGTGCAACGCCACTCAACTTAGTGTCTCCCTGTCGCACATCTGATTGCTGCCTACGCGATCGCCCTCCGATGCTTGTGGGCCCTCACGCTGGCAGCTAGTGTAGCATTATGCTGTGGTATAGGACACAGCCTCGCAGTTCCCATCTTGTTCAAACCCAGAGAAGCATGAGCCAGCGTGCTGTGGTCGCGGTGGACACATCTCCAATACCAACACGGTCATTACGTGGAATGGAACGCTCTCCCTGGATTTGATGGGAAAAAGCTATGCGGACTGTAGGCAGATTCTCGCATTCATATTTTCAATTTTTTTTCTTTTTCTTTTCTTTTCTTTCTTTTTCTTTCATTTTTCCACTTTTGGTATTGAATGAGAGTCCATATCCTGGAGAGGAGTGCAAAACCGCTTATGACCATGATTGAAGCTGTGAGCGCTTCCGCTGAATAATTGGGATGATTGTCTCAGGTTGCATCGCCCACAGCGGCCTGCACAACAATATCCATGCATTGTGCTGATGTGATATTACATTGTGTAATGTTACCTTAGCCTGTCTGATGCGCACCAGGATCGATATTCTGCAGAGAATTATTGCCCGACCTCGAGGACGGATGATCAATGTTGTTGTTGGAGCTCCAGGACCTGGAAAGAGCGCTGTAGCTGCGCTCTGGGACTGGTGGTAAAATCTGACAGAACCCATGAACATCTACGCTGAGGGCGGGCCTAGACAAATCATGGTTGATGATTATAACATAATAGTTTGAACGCGAGGTGGTGGCAGGCCCAAGTCGGATATGTGTAGCAACATTGGAGCATTCGGACCTTTTGGAAGCGACAAGAGCCAGCAAGATATTATGACGATGGAGATATTGATTCCCGCCTGCAGAAATCCTTTTGAGATAATTCTATCAAGGATCTTCTCTTGTTTAGTTTAGTTCTTGTGGACAATTTTAGTTCCCAGAATCGCCTAACAGACATTCTCTGTTGTCAAGATACTTCATTCTTAGTGGACTCGATCTCAGTGGAGATCAACGTTATGTCCCACTATTGCGCGCAGATTTGTGAAAAAAGACCAATTGTGATAGGTGCATGAGGCCATGAGCTTGATTAATATCCTTGGCAACAAGCTGGCTCAAGCAGCATTGAATTATGTATCAGCCAACCCTGATTACCCATGGTCAGTTATCAGTTCATCAAGCAGATCATATATTTGTCATACAGCATGGAATAGTTATCGAGGAAGGCATCTATAAACCACTTCTCGCCCGGGAACAAGGCTTATCGTAGTTTGGTTCACGCCTAGGAATCGGACCTGTGGACCGAAATCAGCGAGGAAACGATAGAATGAGCTCATTATTTCAAGATCCGCAAGCCAATCAACATCCAGCGAGTGAGCTTGGTGCAGGTGATAATGAGACATTCGTAAGGCGTGGTTCGGAATCGTAACTCTTCTAATAGCGTGGAAATTGTGTGCGTAGACGTTGATCTTCTGGTAAGTCCTCTGTGCCGCGCACTTTTGCTTAGGAGAAATGTCGATCGCATCGATGGTGCTACGTACGGTGGCCAGCTTGGCGTCTCGCAGAATCATAACACAGTCACTTTCATTATAGATATTGCGATCATCCAAGGGCGGTAATCTGCTGGACAAGTTTTCAGCTTCGGCCCAAACATTGCCCAGGCCATGACTTCAGAAACTGGATAAATTATCAGAGGATCAAAACGGGTGCAATGATGCAGGAGAGGGCCTGAAAGTTTAGACTATGCTGATCGCGGCTTGACGGCAGACGCAGAGTTTCAGAGCGTTGCCTTTCGGTATTTCGGGACGCCCACCCTTTTCCGCTTGAACCTGACAATCCCGAGTGGGTCGATCATCTGTAGCCTTAGTGGGTGCTTTCTGCTGCGGTAAGTCCTTAGTTATCTTGTTGCGAAACAATTCTACGAGCCAACCAAGAGGACCATTCTCTTTGGGGGACGAGACATTGCCTGTATCAAGCCGGCATCCTGCCGTTGAGCCCCGCCTCTAGTCACCCAAGGCCCTAGATATTTGCAGGGACCATTGGACATAACTTCATGGCTGGTCTAGAAATCCAGACACCTTCTACGGGCATGATAGTCACGAAATGGAGCAGGTGTATGATGACACGAGATTCATCAATCCACCATGTGGCTATCAGCTGGCTATGCAACTGAGCTGGGACTAACGCGCATACTGCACTGTGCGGGAGTCGAAAGCAGTATTTGCATATTTTCCGTGCCATACTGCACAATCCCTGACTGCCGCTCTTGGAAAAAGCCACCTAAATTCTAGAATTACCATTGCGAAAAGGTCGGTTAGAGAGCCAAACATCTGGCGGCCAAGCGTGATCTGACAATGATTGCCGTAGCACAGCGATCACGAAAATCCAGAAGGTAATGGAAGTTTCGCTTTGGGCGAGGGCTGTGTTGCCCAGGTTCACATGTTCTTGATCATGACTTGGTGCATACAAAGGGGGTCTAATGGCAGATGGTAAGAGTAAGCCTTTCCAATAATCCATAGCCATATAACATGCTGAGATCGGGTTACCAGCGGCAAGCCACTGGCAGTGTCGTGCACAAGCATGATTGAACTGGCATTGACTTTAATATCAAAATACGTGGTATCTAGTAGTAATGCTGGTGCACTGGAACCGAATCAGACAGAGACAGGAGATGAATATACTAGTAGCAGGAGGAACTGATACTACTGATGATTGGAGGAGAGTGGAAGCTAAGAGTAGTACTGTTGTATGGATAGTAAAATTCTTCGTCAGTCATGTTGACATAGGTCAGGTCAGATATGGAAGGTGATTAATGCCCTGAAGATCACAACTTAAACTGAGCGATGGCACGCACCGCGAAATAGAAAGGCGGTGACTGGGATGAGAATAGCACTTGCGGTAGGCGGTAAGAAAAAGAACTGCTTCCTTTTGTCTCAGGTTCCTCCGCCCATGCTTCCTTTCTGGGTTCTTGTCAAATGCTTGTATAATGTCGATCTACCTTTCGGCTATGTTCCTTGCCGTAGCCCCCCAGCGGGGTTTCAGTCCACGCCAAGCATCGAAGCCCCCGAAGCCTTGAGAGGCTTCGGCAGGCGAAGCTGGTCTGTTAGTACCGGGGAGGTGATGGGAAAACCCCATCCCACTGGCTAGTAGCCTCGTGTGGGCCGGCGCATCATACCCCTATTAGTACTAAGTTTAGGAACGGGACACCAGTCCAGGCCGTATCGAGTGCAACGACCGCGAAAATCGTCTCAGGATGGGACATTGTGAGAAGAACACGGAGGTGTGTTCCTCTTCTGCGCTCCAGGCATTATGGGATTGGCCCAGCTACGGTTAAGTTCAACGATAGTCCTTGGGATTCCGCCCAGAGAGAAAAACATGGCGGGATTGTGCCTGCCCACCCAGATGGACATGATGTGACGATATTCGGGGTAAACATCGGTGAGTCACCATGCTGGAGAACTGATAACTTATCTCACGACAAATTTCCTGACAACGAGGGCGCAGAACAATCAGCCACGATGGATTTTGCGGTCTCTTGACATTCTGCTTTAGCAATTTCCTGTACGGTTTGGGTGTCCCTGTCGGCGGCCGAAATCCGTTCTAGACCATTTGGCTTTTCTGAGTCCCGTTGTTGTTCGGGATGGGTGGGCCGTGAACCTTATTGGGCTGCTCCAACTCCAATGAGGTCGTTCAATTGTCTCCAACGGTTCCTGTGTGGGCTCCGGATCCCTTATCCAGCTGTCACCACAAATATAACTCGACCTGAACCTTTCAAGGCATGGCTGCCCTGCATGACCCTAAACCTTGCTTTATTGCTCCGTCGGCGCCTATCAATTCTATTTCTGTCTCACGGGATGCTTACGAGAAACAGCCCGAAGTCTTCAGCTTGGCGCGCGGAGTGCGCATCTCGTTAAGGTGCTGCGGCTAAGAATCATTACACGACTCTCTTCCTGGGCATGACTTCGTATATGTAAAAGGGAATGATTCCACTGCGAAGCTGTGACAACCTTCCCCGTCACATAAGGCATGAAGAAGAATCTGTAGGACAATCCTGTAACTTGCCAGGAGATACGACCGGCGCGCCTGGATCTTGCTCATCGAAATTTCAGGTATGGATGGATTGGCAGTAGGACTTCCATAAAGAAGCAATGCAGATGTTGCAGTAGCTTACTAGGAGAGAGAAAAGCACTTGTAGGTTTGGTTTGGTGATGTGTTAGTCAAATCCAGGTGAAGGCGCGAAACACGGAGCCTTTCTTTCCTTGCACCTTCATTGCTTAGATTTGGTTTCGAACTGGTGGACCCCCCGATCGCATCGTGTGGTTCTCTACCGCCGCTGTTTCAGCGCGGAACCACCTCAAGCTATCATGGGCCAGGGTCTGAGAGATTGATTTGCTCTGATTCGCTCTCGTCACGGTGTCACGACTAAATACCATCGTAGTGGCCCAAGTGATAAACTCTGATCTGCGCTGCTACGATTGGACCCTGTGCCCACCATAGCCTTGCCTTAGAACAGAAGCGGCCGAACATCTTGGGCGCTACTATAAGATGGTGGCAGGAGCTAGATACTTGGATAGTAGCCGACAATTAGTTTCCTTGTCTTCTAACCCTTGGACTTTCGCGAGGGCCACCACCTAGCAAGGATGCCACTGGAAGGCCGTAGCGAGGCCCTTGTGGCTGTGTCTGTAGTGGTCATGGTTATATCGCTTGTGACAGTATCCTTTCGATGCTTTGTGCGATGGCGCATACTCAAAGCATTTGGGTGGGACGATACACTGATGGTTCTTGCGATGGTAATAAACCCCCTGGATTTTCCCTTCTCCGCGGTCCAATCGGACTGGGCTGGTATTCAGGCCTAAGCTCACTACATCATGAATCACTAACATGTTTCCAGGCTCTTGATATCGTGCTTACCGCATGCGCAATCGCTGGTGCAAAGGAAGGCGTTGGCCGGCATTTCGTCGATTTCCACAGCTCCGAAGACTTACACCACGCCATGCTGGTACGTAAAATGACGTCGTCTTCAGCCCACATGAGATACTGAACGGCCTGTCTAGTGGTGGTGGCTGGGTCAGTGCCTCTATATCTGCGCGTCCGGGATCGCCAAAGTATCCATTGCGCTCGCGCTTCTCCGACTGTCGGTCCAGAAGTACCAGCGCATGATCCTGTGGACCGTTATGGGAGCGTCGATTTGTATCAGCTTGATATTCTGGTTCCTCATGCTTTTACAATGTCATCCCGTTTCGGAGTTTTGGGAGCGGACAGGGACGGGCAAGTGCTTGAACACTGATATATTGATTAATGTGGCGTACGTATACAGTGGGATCTGCGCCATCTGTGACTTTGCACTGGGGCTGCTGCCCATTGATCTCGTTCGCCAGCTGCAAATCAATCCAAAGACAAAGATGGCGCTGGGCGCGACCCTGAGTTTAGGTTGTGTGTATGTAAACTGTGCGATGCTGTTGGTACAGTGGCTGATATTTGGCGTCTCCAGGGCGAGTGCAGCTGTTATCCTTCGGATTCCCTGCCTGCATTACTACAAGGACATTGATTTCTTGTGTAAGTGCCACACATTGTGACCTCCCCCCCCACCCCCCCCCCTTTATTCTCTGCATGGGCAGCGATAGTCCGATTGTTATTGCTCCACTCAACTCAGCCATGGCCAAGACAGCTAACACTTTCCCGATCTATGTGTGTGTGTGACAGATTCGACCTTTTCCATCGACATCTGGTCCTTTATCGAGGTTGGCTTAGGAATCACGGCGGGTAGTCTGGCCACCCTCCGTCCTCTCTTCCGTGCAGTTCTTGGTGATCCACCCGATCGCAAGGGGAAGAAAAGCCGCGGAAGCATGCCACTGTCCAGCTTCACGGAATACACGCGGAACCGGCTTGATCCTGAAGATGCCGCAGTGTGGCGGCCGCAGCCTGATGCGACGCGGAACATAACCACCACGGTGATTTCGACTTTCCGAGGGAGTTTAAATAGTCCCATCACGCCAACCTTTGCGGCCGAGTTAAAAAAGGGCCGGTCCGTTCGCATTAAAAAGTCGTTTCATGTTACTGAAGAACAAGTTGGCTACTGAGCGCGGAGAAGCTGTTAAGTCATAGAGTATATAATGAGAATGAAAACCATATTGTTTGTAATCAACATCTGAGCTGTAGTCAAGCGAAGAGAGGAGAGAGGAGAGAAGAGAGAGAGAAGAGAGAGAGAGAGAAAGAGAAAGCTGGAGGCTGAAGGCTGGAAGGCTGGCCGGTTTGGCATTGTTTGCACTCGATGGGCACCTGACTGTCTTGTCTTTCCGGTACTGATAGGAGTAATGAAGTAGTCGTGGTATAGTGGCGTCTCTCGTCCATTCTCCTCTCGCCAGCTATTCGTCTGAAACACACAATTCAATCAACGGTTTCTTCCTCATATCGCTCAATCACGTAGTAATGCACATTGCAAGCTAACCTACATTGGATTGGATAAGGACGGACTAATTGCAGCTTAGCTACCAGTCATGAATAGAGACTAATGAGACCGCAATCTTCTCGTCAAAGACACAACACGAAAGCACATCCTGTCGAAAGAAGTTATTGAAACCTACAATCAGCTCATATGCTGTAACTACAGTTTACTTCAACCGAGCTTCCAGCACCACCATGGGCACACCCGGGGCCTTGTACACATTCGCCAGTCGCAGCCCTGCCAATTCGAAGAGGTGCGCAAAGTCCTTCACCGTCCGCTCGCGCCCACCAAACGTCATCATAGTCAGATCCATATACGCGTTGGTTGCGGTCGCGCCAATTTCGGGGATGATCGTCTCGGTGATGAGAATTCGCGACCGCTCTCGATCCATCGCATCCGCCTGGTGTGCGAGGATCTGACGAACCTCCTCATCGGGCCAGTCATGCAGCACGCGACGAATAAAATACACGAGGGCGCCTGTTATATAACCAATTAATGTGTTAGTTCGACCGATAGATGGGGCTGTGGGAATGGTGGGGGGCTGTTTACCCGACACAGGTTGGGGGTTAAAGAAATCATGCGCCATCGGCTCGATCCCGTGCGACTCCATCTCGGGGCCATTATCAGCAATGACACTCTCGCGATCCTGCAAGATATACCGCCCAGGGATACCTGCCAAGCTCTCCTTGAGCTGACGCAGAATATGCCCGCGACCCCCGCCGACGTCCACGATCGTGGCGATGTCTGGCTGCGCAAGTGGACTCAGTGTGGACCCGAAGGGATATAGGCCAATCTCCGCAAGGAGAGAATCCTCCGCCACCATGGCATCATTCAGCCGGGTTGCGCGGGCGGGGCTCTGAGATATGTGCTCGAACATGGTCTGTCCGTCGCAGCCATGCACGAAAGTGAAGGGATTGCGGCGCAGTTCGATGCGATGCTGCCAGCCCTGCTGCGAGAAATATTCATGGGCCCGTAGCATGGCGGGCGAATACTCATCGACCCTGGCCAGCAGGTGGCTCTGGTTAGCCATCGGACATGCCTGGTGATCCAAAGAGGGGGCCAGCAGCACTTACATTAGACTGAACACCGCCCGCATCTGGGGGGCCAGCAGGATTTCCGACTCGGCGGTGTGCGCATACAATTCCTCTCCTGTCTCGCGAAAGGGTCCCGTGGGCGTCAGGGCGCGCATATGGCGCACTGGAACGGGTCAGTTCAGTCAAGCACGGACAGGGAGACCCCCTCGTAGCGCAGACCGGGGCCCCCATGGAAGCGGGGATAGCCTACCGATGAGTTCTTTATCGACACCGGTTTTGGCCGCGATCTCCGAGGCCGAGATGCTCTGTCCCCCGGTCGGGATGGCATCCAACACCCCGGCTTCCAACAGGGTCCGAATTGCGCCTATCCGAACCATCTAGCATAGCGCACCATAGCGTATTGTTAGCTTCCATGGTCTAGGCCAGATTCACCGATCAGCTCTCTGGTGAAGCGAGAACGTACATCTTCAAAGTTGGCAAAGACGAGGTCGGCCGGGCCCCGAATAGCACGCACCAAGCGGGTAGCCTGGGTCATCAACTGGTAGCGAGCATCCTGACTGTTCTGGGTGGTCGCTTGATTGCGATACTGGTCGACAGCGGCCGTGACCTCGGCCAGGCACTGCTGAATCTGCTCAAGGTTGGGGTCAAATTGGGCCATGGTATACTTGGACAAGGATAGTATGCGACCGGGGGGTCCTGGTAGTCTGGAACCATTCCGTTGGGATGACCAGGGCGACCTACCTAATATACTTGTCACACTTGGCCCCGGCATCAGGGGGGACACTGGGATCTTGCCAGGATGATTGGCGGGAAGAGAGTGGATAGGCAACGCGACCTGCAGCTATAGCGCCAGACGGCGTCCAGGCAGCGCCGGTGCGCCACCAGCCGATACGTCCAGTTTCTTCAGCCAAGCCGGGGGAAACAGCCGACAGGAATACGAGGTGACCAACCTATAGGCACGACAAAATCCGGATTCAAGGTAGAGGCGAAGGATTATGGTCGGTGGACGGGCCCCCGTACTTTGCTGTGGATGGACCAGGCCAGGGCCTGTGCTCGCCTCACATCCCGTTCTTTCACCCACTGTTCTTCCCGTCATCCCGGATAGCAGCTCGACTATATCCCAAAGCCCACTCCTCCCTCTGCCGATCATCCGTTCCCCCCCTCACATTCCATCATCAGCTCAATTCCCCTCTCGTCCGGCTCCACCAGATTATGTAGGACCGTCGGACCAGTCAGCCGGGCTTTGTGATATCTCCCCGCAGGTTCCGGGGGTGCCGCAGGGTCTTCGAACCTGTCATGTTCCGCCCAGATTTCCATCAACCCCTGCATCTGACAGATGCAACTGATGCGCATCCGTGATCTTTGACAATGCCCCTGACAGGGGCACCCAGACGACTGTATCCCAGACTAACCTAGTCGTCACACGATCTAGGCACAGAGGAAGCTTTTGATCATTTCCTTCAGCCAGACAAGGAAGTTCGATAGCCAGTGGCGTCTCCTCAATGGGATAGTGACGGCGGTATTCTGTTCCCCGGAGTTGGCAAACTATACAATGCAGGTGAGAATGGTCTCTCGGTAGTCGCTCCGGCCTGCATACGAACGAGTCCATACTTCCGCGCTCGAGCCAGAGCAAGCCGGACGGCGCCATGGACACGAAGGATAAGTAGCGAGGCTCCGACCAGCGTCCTTTGCAAATTTTGCTTCGGATCAGGACCAGCTCTCTCACGGACGCGCAAAGACAAGCTTCTCCCATCATGCCGTCGGTAGACCTCAACCAGATCCCTGCCTCCGCGCCGCCCGACGGCGTGACGCCCAACTTCGTGAACCCACCGAACCAGAATTATCAGATCTACTCCATCAATATTGCCCTCTGCCTTACAGGTACAGCGGTCTTGATCCTTCGCTTGTACACGCGTGGTAAACTCCAGAAGACCATTGGGGTCGATGATTGTGAGTGCCCAGGCTAGTCGTCCACTATAAGGGACCTTATTAATTGCCTCGCAGGGTTCTGTATCTGGGCGCAAGTCTGCGCGTGGCTATTTGCCATTTTGTGCATGCTCAGTATGTAACAACAGAATTGAAACCCGTGGAATTCCGGAACTAATGATGACTATAGATATCCGGAACGGCTATGGGGTCCACATTTGGGACTTATACCTCAGCAAGATCAAGCCCTTCAAGCAGGTACGTTTCACACCCGTGGCAAGTTGCACATAGCGGGCAACCACTAATTATTGCAGTATGATCTTGCGGCTGAGGACATTTTCGTTGTCGGAATCTGGCTGGTCAAAACGTCCATCTTGTTGTTCTACCTGCGCTTGAGCCCCGAAAAGCGGTTCCGCCAAATGACATACGGGATCATGGTCTTCGTTGCCTTGTACAATATCATCAGTCTGCTGGTCTTTACCCTCGGCTGTATACCGGTGCAGGCCAGTTGGGACGTGACTTTGATGCCGACTGCCAAATGCGTTGACCAACTCTCCTTCGTCTACGCTAATGCGGCATTCAATCTGTTTTCCGACCTGATCACTCTGGCGTTGCCTATTCGACTCTGCTGGTCCCTTCAGACTACTCTCAAGCAGCGGGTACTCTTAATGATAGTGCTGATGATGGGTTCTTTGTAAGTGTCTCACGTTTGAGAATCACTGTCCCTGGCTAAGCTAATCTCGTGCTTTGTTACACAGCGCGTGTGTCATTGCGATCATCCGCATTGTCACCATGATGCCATTTGTCTCCAGTATGGACCTGACTTGGTACAAAGTGACCTTAGCCAAGTGGGCGTATGTGTTCCTGTTTCTCCGATCTTCTGACAGCTATCGACTGACACATACACACAGCATGGTGGAGATCAACGTGGGTATCATCTGTTCGTGCCTGCCGGTGATGCGGCCTCTGCTCATCCGGTTCTTCCCCGCTGTTTTTGGCAGCCACGCCAGCAGTGGAGTCAACCCTATCCGCCGTGCCGACGGCAAGGACACATTTGGTGCAGCTCGCAAGAAGGTGATCCGCAACTGGGACTACCTCAGCACAGTTAAGGGAACCCACGCGGGCGAGACTGCGCACGATGTTGAGAGTCTGCATGAGGAGCCTAAGCATGACAATGGCAGCGCTGAGCCGGCGATCATGATGGCGACCGAATATTCGGTGACTTGCAAGAGACGATCGGATTAGATGCTCAGGCATATGACCTTGAACTTGCGAAACAACGTTCAAGAGGGGGGTTGGAGCTAACAGTGGGATTGAGAGAACAGGAACCGCTATTGGACACATATGCGCCAGAGAACATAATCACGAGGGCAGCAGTCTCTGTCGCCAGCTGAACTAGCCCGAAAGACCAAGTCGGACTGAATATGTACACTTAATAATCAAATCATCATAATTTTTAATTTAGTAATAAGGGCTGCCTAGAGGAACACCCGGGAAAAGTATTCACGCGTTCTAGTCGGAGACATGAGAAGCAGCTAATACGAGGAATCCCAAGGCAATGGTTGCTACCAGCCAGATCCTCAATAAATAGCCGCGGACCATTTGATCAATTTTGGTTGACACATTTCCCCACCTAACTCTAAATTCAATCGACACGGGTTTTCGCATGATAGACAGGTGTCACCTTCCACTTTCTCGTCACTGGCATCTACAACATACATAGAATCATCAGGTTATCTGATTCATGTGTTGTGTTCTTACGAGGATTGGCTGGAGGGTACGGCGTACGTACATCAGTCACACTGCGACAGAATATCTTAAGAGCTTTTCGTAGAGAAGCAAGATAAATCATTAGTAGCACTGGAACAATCCTGCACGCTCTGGTAGCTCCCACAGTCAACAGAGGCCAGCCATTCGAAGTGAAGCCTTGTTGGACCAGCAGAGTGCGGATCCCTGGTGCATAGCGGTTGTGGCTGTCAGAAAGGCAACGTTACTTCTGCCACAGCTGAAATTCAGTGCCATGAATCATGGTACTCCTACCACCACCATTACAGATGCCATTGCTGATCTAATAATTAGTAGAGATCAAAGGATACTGCATAAGATCTTTTTAGGATGTGGATTTACTGTCAAAGGAGAATACTATACATTTTGAAGAACTAGCTAGAACTTTCGGTGTGCAACCAATTATATTCTGCTTCCCGCCCTCCCCTCACCTTAAGAGAAGATAGGATACAAGGAGTATATGGCAAAAGCTGTGAGCGGACCAAGTACATGTCAGGAGAAATAGCCTGTTGAAGGGAGATGAGCCAAAGGGTTTGCAATTAAATAAAGTTTACCGAACAGTTCTTGTACTACCCTAGACATGAGTTTATTCGTCGGTGACCTCACCACTCCCCAAAGGTTACCGTGGTTCCGTCCATCGAACAAACGCCTCCGAGTCATATATTCCACCACAAAAATAAGCATAATCTTAGAACCATGCATCGTTCTTTTCATATGACAATGTTATATGATATCCTGGCTCTAGACCGAAGGTCTTTTCTCAGTAGAGTAGTAATCCTTGGTGTTACAAGATATTTATTTGAACAATAACAACAATAATACTAGTATTATCGTTGTGTGTCTATCTTCCATACTACTGATATTAAGTACATAATGTACTAATACTATATGAGATCAAGATTGGTACGACCATACTGGGTCGGATTCTACTGACTCGTATCGAAATGGTTGATTAGGTTTGGTTAGGCGTTGCATGGTTTTGCAGAATTGTCCGCGGAGGCACGTTTCAAGGTGTCCATCGATTCGAGTCGGCCAAACGTCGCCTATCACTATCTGCCATCTAGACACAGCGGTAAAAGACCTGCTCTGATGGATCCGTGGACCAGCATGCCGGATGCGTGAATATGCCCATTGCCTGGATACATGACAAGTCACTGGGCAACTGTCATGACTTGGTTGGGATTAATAAATGTCTTCCAGCCCTAGCCCCGACGCTTTCTAACTCGATAGTATAACTTCTAGATATAGCCTAGTATAACACAGAATCTCAGCCAGATTGCACAAGCTACGTATCTGTTATTGCTTCATACACTTGTACGACAACCAACTTCAACAATCCACCGAGGTCAACATGGAGCACAAAGAAAAAGGCAGCGGGATCTTCCCATCTCTTAATGATGGTGTCGGAATGGAGTCCTCAGTCAGGCTTCAAGACGTTCTCCCTTCGCCCGCGCAGGATATTGAGGAGTTCTGCCGAGTGCATGAAATTACAACCCTGCACTTCATTGAGACTGTCTGGTTAATCGTCCTTGGACCATTTCTGGATACGGACCGCGTTTGCTTTGGTTACCGGGACCATCGCGATAGACCTCCAGACCCGACCTCAGGTCCGGCGAAGGTCATCGAGTCGGACTCGTTCCCCGATGCCTCAGTGGCAGAGATGCTCAAGGCAGGCTTTTGTGCAGAGCCAGGGAATCCATCTGATGAGCAACCCCCAGCCCATAATACTGCCGTGGTCCTGATCAAGGAAATTGCGGGCTCCGACCGATCGTATCTCTTGGAGGAGGTGAGAATTTAAACACCGCTTAAGTGCGACATATTAAGCGAGTTGGAGTGCTGACGGGACGGTATAGGCCAAGCAATGGGACTATGGCGTTGTGCTGGTGGGTGAGATGAATGAACTGTCGGCTTTGTTGAGACTATCGTTGGTCCACAAAACTTCAACCCTCTCACCATGCCTCGCGGAAAACCTCTCGTCCACAGTCTTACAGGTCATCCAAGAGATTTTGGCCGATTCTAATCGGCGTATCAAGGACCTGACTCTATTCAGCCCACTGAACCAAGACAATGTTCTGCGGTGGAACGGTGGTAAACAGCAGAGCCCAGCAACATCCCTGATTAAGGTTATCCAACAGCGTGTATGCGAGCGTCCACACCACCCAGCCGTATGTGCGTGGGATGGGACCCTATCGTATTCACAGCTTGACTCTCTGGCAACGCAGTGGGCTAGTCACCTGCAGCGCTTGGGTATTGGGCCAGAACACATGGTCCCTGTGATGATGGACAAATCACAGTGGATGGTTGTGGCAGAACTCGCCATCTTGAAGGTCGGTGGCGCTTTTGTGCCCATTGATCCAAAGCAGCCGCCTGACCGACTGAGGAACATAGTAACCCAAGTGAACGCTACAGTTGCGATTACATCCACCGACCTGGTACCGATATTATCAAGCCTCCTCGGCACGATTGTCACCATATCTTCGGAAACAACCTCGAATTTACCGACCACCATGTCAGATGTACCAGCGCGAGAAATCACCCTTGAAACCACGGCTTATGTGCTATTCACATCTGGAAGTACCGGACAACCCAAGGGTTGTGTTGCGAAACACCGCGCGCTAGCAAACCTGGTGAACCTGGCACCGAGTCTGAAAATCACAGCCGAAAGCCGAGTATTGCAGTCTGCCTCGTACGGCTTTGTAATGTCCTTGGCTGAGATATTCTGCTCCCTGACAGTAGGCGCGACAGTATGTATCCCCTCGAAGGAAGATTGTATCAACAACCTCCAAAGGGCGATGGAATCGATGCTGGTCAGCTGGGCGATACTCACCCCCTCAGCAGCACAGTCCCTGGTCAGCCCGTTGGCATTTCTGAAGACTCTGGTCCTAGCTGGCGAGCCCATGCGCATCGACCTCTTTCAAATGTGGGTAAACCAACTAGATCTACATTTGGTATTGGGGTGTACTGAATGGGCGGGTGCATCTGTTTCACCGCCCATCCGTTCTGAGGCAGATATCAGATGTATTGGCACCTCGCCGACAGGGCGCCTTTGGTTGGGGGATCCCACGGACCACAATCGCCTTGCTCCACTTGGTGCCGTTGCTGAACTGCTGGTGGAGAGCCCTGCGCTGGCAGATGGCTATCTCAACAATGCCTCACAAACAGCATCGGCCTTCATCAATGCCCCTGCCTGGTATCGCATGATGGGGCCGGTCAATGATACCGGGGTGACACTTTACAAAACGGGTGACTTGGTGCAGTATTACGCCGATGGCAAGATCAGGTACATCGGCCGCAAGAATACTCAGGTGAAGATCCGCGGGAAAAGACTCGAATTGGGGGAAATTGAGTATCATATCCGTCAGATTAGCCCCGCGATAGAGAAGGTTATAGCCGAAGCCGCCGCCCCGAAAGGCAGTGAGACCCCAATTGTTGTCGCCTTCTTGTACTCTTCCGACCAGGAGGCTCTGCTGCTACACTTCCAAGCACATGTCGATTCGATCAAAAAGGGCTTGGAGCAGGCACTGCCCGACCACATGTGGCCGAGCATTTACCTCCCCCTCGAATCTGTTCCGTTGACCACCACTGCCAAAACCGATCGAAAGAAGCTCCGTCACATTATTTGCGCTTCTACTCGCCAGGATCTGGAGAAAGATCTGACACCGACATCTCCTATCGTGTCACCAGCGACCGAGCTGGAGATGAAACTTCATCAACTATTTGCTGAAGCTCTGCGTGTCGAGCCAACCTCCTTTGGCGTCAATCATAGCTTTATCCGTCTTGGCGGCGACTCGGTGACAGCCATGCGTTTAGCCAATCGTTGTAGTCAAATGCAGTACAGATTGACGATGCAAGATATTCTTCAACACCAAACGGTGGCCAACCTTGCCTCGCAGCTTGATCTGTACAGCAAGGATAACGCGCCATCCTCTACACCTGCCATTGAACACCGGGCCCCTGAACGGTCTTTCCAACCAGGGAGCGAATCTGGCATCCAGGACGAATTTGTCAAAGTGCTGGAAGCCAGCATCAGTGCTACTGATCCTTTAACTGATCGTGGCGTTGAGTCCGCGACGGCCACACAGTTAGTTGACCGAATCAATGGACAATTCGGCACTAAGATCACTGGCAACGAGATTCTCCCAATAATAGCTGCTCTCGTGAGACGGCCTGAGTCCCAGGTGAATGAGCATGTGCCTATACCCAACACACCATCTACCGAGCCAGTAGTGCAGTCATTTGCACAGCGCCGCCTATGGTTTCTAGACCAATTGCATCCCGATTCAACATGGTATCTCCTGCCCCTTGCCACACGACTGCGCGGTCATCTCAACCTTTCTGCGTTGGAGATAGCCCTCAATGCAGTAGTAGAACGCCATGAGCCTCTCCGCACCACGTTTAACAATCAAGGTGGCATTGAAGTGCAAGTAGTCCATCCTTTTAGGCCAAAGCCGCTTGAGATAATTGATATGGCGCCCAAGAAAGACCAGGACATCTGGGATGCCTTGCAGAGCGAACAACGCACCACGTTCAATTTGGAGGACGAACCAGGGTGGAGGCCATTGGTGTTCCGTCTGGGGCCTGATGATCATATCTTGTCAATTGTCATGCACCATATTATTTCCGATGGATGGTCGGTCGATATCCTTCGAAACGAACTCAATATCTTCTACTCCGCAGCAATTCGCTCACGTGCCCCCCTATCACAAGTTGATCCGCTCCCAACGCATTACCGTGACTTCTCGGCTTGGCAACGGCAGCATGAAGATAAGAGCCAGTCGCGAGTAAAGGTTTGGCTTCAGGAACTTGATGGAAGCAAGCCGGCTCAACTCCTCTGTGACAAGCCGCGTCCTGCTATACTCTCCGGTGATGCGGGTCGTCAGACGGTTGATATCAGTGGTGTGCTCTACCAGAACCTGCAGCGATTTTGCAGGGCCCACCGGGTCACCGCTCATACGGTCTTGCTTGCTACATTCAGGGCAGCACAATATCGCCTCACAGGTACTAAAGACGCAGTGATCGGCACACCATTTGCAGGTCGCTATCACCACGAGCTAGAACCACTCATCGGATTCTTCGTCAATCTGCAGTGTATTCGGACGGAGGTCGAGCATGCGCATACGACGTTTTATCACCTCGTTCAGCAGATTAGAGCGAAAATGCACATGGCGTTCGCTCACCAGGATATCCCTTTCGAGAGGATTGTGTCGGAGCTAGCTGACGAGCGCGACCCCTCCCGTAACCCCCTTGTGCAATTGGTTTTCGCTGTCCACTCCCAAACAGACTTGGGAACCTTGAGTATCGAAGGTGTGGAGGCTGAACGGCTTACACTGTCTTCAGCCTCCAGGTTTGACCTCGAATTTCACTTCTACGAGGGTGGAGATTGTTTTCAAGGGGAAATTTTGTATTCTCTAGACCTGTTTCATCCGGAGACAATCAACTTAGTCCAGTCCACCTTTGTTGATATTCTTGAACACGGAATAAGTCAGCCTACTACACCTATCGATTTGATGCCTCTCAGAGATGCCGCCGCCACCATGCGAAAGAATGGCCTACTCCACACCCCCAACACCGACTGCCCTCTCGAATCGAGTGTAGTCGATCTGTTTCAACGACAAAGCAAGTGTTGTCCCGACAAAGTGGCTGTCAAAGACTCTTTTATGCAGCTTACCTACGAGGAACTAAACTCCAAATCTGATATAGTCGCTGAGTTTCTAAATACCCAGTCCCTGGAGCCAGGAAGTGTCATTGGTGTCTTTGCAGAACGAAGCTGCGAAGCGATAATTGCATTCCTGGGCATTCTAAAGGCGAGTCTTGCCTATCTACCGCTCGATGTCAGATCCCCGGTCAGCCGCCTGGAAAAAATCTTGTCATCTGCCAAAGCGTGCAAGCCTGTTCTTGTTGGTAGTTGTATCGAGTGTCCTAGTCTCACTTCGGCTGATCATCAGTTTCTTCGTCTTTCAGACCTTCTCAATGGGTCGACTCGAAATGAACTTGACTTTCAGCACACGGTGAGGCCTAGGATGCCCGGCCCCGACGACGTCGCATATATTGTGTATACATCTGGTTCCACAGGAACGCCCAAGGGAGTCATAATTCAACACAAGGCGATCATCAGGTTGACACAGTGCACCAACATTATCAGTCATGATGAGGCTGCTGGGAATATAGCACATATGAGTAATCTTGCTTTTGATATGTCAGTTTGGGAGATATACACAGCACTTCTCAATGGAGGAACATTGATCTGCATCGACCATATGACTGTATTAGACTACAGGTTGCTCGCTCAGGTCTTGGTGCGGGAGAGTATCCGAGTTGCCATGATAACTCCAGCTATGCTAAAGCAGTGCCTTATCGAAGTCCCATCGACCATCAGTTGCTTAGATATTCTGTTTGTCGCAGGAGACCGTCTGGATCCATCTGACGCCATCAAAGCCCGAACACTGGTCCGAAACGAGCTGATAAATGCCTATGGGCCAACTGAGAATGGGGTATTGAGCACCATTTACAGGATCCGACAGGATGGGGTCTATCCGAATGGCATCCCTATTGGTAGATCTATCAGTAACTCTGGTGCGTACGTGGTAGATCCAAGCTACCGGTTAGTCCCAATTGGAGTCATCGGTGAGCTTATCGCCGTGGGAGACGGACTGGCCAAAGGGTACGTTGACTCACGGCTCGATGCTGGCCGGTTCGTGACGGTCAATATTCCTGGGCAATCACCGACACGAGCATACCGGACCGGAGACTTTGTGCGATACCGGCCGACTGATGGCCAGCTTGAATACTTTGGCCGCATGGATCAGCAGGTCAAGATTGGAGGTTTCCGTATCGAACTTGAGGAGATTGAATATGTGCTCCTTCAGAACTGCAAAGTGAGAGATGCGGTAACGGTCATCCAGCAAAGAGAAGGCCAGGTTCCGGACATTATGAGCTTTGTCACCGTCCCATTGGATCCAGGCCAGATTGAGGCCACGCAACAGGATCTCCAGGAGTGGGTTGAAGATAGATTACCGTCTTACATGATTCCTCGCGCCATTCGAGTGCTGGAACGGATGCCAATCAATAGTAATGGGAAGGTTGACCGTCAGAAGCTGGCAGGAATGACGGATACTCATACTTCTCGCCAGCCTATAACAGTCACATTACCACCGCCAGATGATGTGGAACGCGCGGTGCTGGAAGAATTTACAGCAGTGCTCAGGTTGAAGATGGGAATCACAGACAACTTTTTCAAGGCTGGTGGCCACTCACTACTGGCCACCAGAATGGCCTCTAGGATCATGAAACGGCTGGATGTCAAAATCACGGTGAGGGATATATTTGACTTTCCTACTGCTGCCAGCCTTGCAAAGAGGATTCGGCAATGTGAACCGAGCAAGTATGTTCAGATATCGCCCGTCGAGCACAAGGGACCCGTAGGGAAAGGGGAACCAGGGGAACCCGGGGAACAGAGGGGAGCGGTCATGAAGTTGTCCTTTGCGCAAGGCCGCCTTTGGATGCTGGAGCAAATGAATCCTGGCCAATCCTGGTACCATGTTCCATTTGCGGTGCGGCTGCACGGCTCTCTACAGCTTGAAGCCTTAGAGAAGGCTTTTTTCACCCTTGCGGAGCGTCATGAAAGTCTTCGAACGACGTTTGAAAACCAGGGGGCACTTCCAATACAAGTTGTCCATCCCCATCCGTCCAAGCCTCGGCCCTTGAAGGTTATTGATGCAACCACCAGCCTGAATATGGACTTCATGACTATCCTTCACCACGAACAGACGACTACATTCGACCTCTCTACAGAGCCAGCATGGCGAGTGGCGATTATTCGCTTGGGACCAGAGACCCACGTGCTTTCCGTGGTCATACACCATATCCTTTGCGATGGTTGGTCAGTTGGCATCATTCAGAAGGAACTAGCTATATTTTATGCTTCGGCTGTTCGGGGCGAGGTGCCCTCGTCATGTCTTGCTCCGCTTCCGATCCAGTACCGCGACTTTGCGGCCTGGCAACATGAGGTCAGTCAGGGTCATGAGCATCGACGACAGCTGGATTATTGGGTAACCCAGCTGGAGGGGAGCCATCCTGCCGAGTTTCTTTGCGACAAACCACGACCAGCGTCCTTCGCGGGAGCTGCTGGTGTTCGCCTAATCCAAGTTAAAGACACGACATATACGCAATTGCAGCAGTTCTGCCAGACAAATCAGGTTACCCCCTTTGTTGTCTTGTTAACGACATTTCGCATCACGCACTACAGGCTGACAGGATCAACGGATGCAACAATTGGTACACCTGTTGCCAATCGAAATCGTGAAGAACTCGAAGACCTGGTTGGGTTTTTCGTTAACCTCCAATGTATTCGAATTCCAGTCGAGGAGATGTCGTTTCTTGAGCTAGTCCAACAAGTCCGTTCAACTACGTCTGCAGCATCTGCCAATCAAGATGTGCCGTTCGAGCACATTGTAAGTACTATGCAAACTGACCGTGATCTTTCCCGGAATCCCTTAGTTCAGGTAGTTTTTGTTCTTCACTCTGAAGTAAACATGGCTGCATTCCGTCTCGAGGGGATTGAAACTAAGCCGGTCGATCTCGTACCGACTTCGCGGTTTGATATGGAGTTCCACCTGTACCAAAGACACAATGCGCTTGAAGGCTACATCCTCTACGCCGAATCGTTATTCAACGCAGAAACGATTGAGATTATACAGCGAACATTTGATAAGGTCCTCCAGCACGGTCTCCTGCTACCCTCTACCACGCCTGACGCATTTCCGCTGGTGGACGACTACACCAGCCCGGACGCAGATACTATGAAACAGGTCTACGGTCATTGCACAGACTATCCACGAGATATGAACGTCATTGAAGCTTTTCAGCGGCAGGTGGCGAGTTTCCCAAGTCGCATAGCAGTCACAGATCAGTCAGCGCGACTGACGTATTCCGAGCTGGATAGCCGGTCAGACCGGGTTGCATCCTGGCTGTCGGCGCTCTCGCTTCCCGTGGAAATGCCGGTGGCGGTGCTCGCACATCGATCATGTGAAGCTACTGTTGCTCTTCTTGGGATCCTCAAAGCAACCTTGGCATATCTTCCACTAGATGTTCGAGCCCCCGCAGGCCGCATCGAAACTGTTCTCTCACTCGTACCCAACTGCAAACTGCTTCTGCTAGGATCTGGTCTTCGGAATCCTGTAGCCAAACTGGAAGGGATCACAGCAAAGCCGATCACCGAGGCTAGCATGGAATTTAACCACCTTCTTTCCCGACCGTCGGCCACCAGCCTTGCGTACATCATGTTTACTTCCGGATCGACGGGACAGCCAAAGGGTGTCATGGTGGAACATCGTGGGATTATCCGATTGGTGAAGGGTAGCGACGTGGCGAGCGAGGCCTGCTCTGTCGCTCACATGTCGAATCTGGCCTTCGATGCCTCCACATGGGAAATATATATTGCGCTGCTGAATGGCGGCACCGTGGTGTGCATCGATCCGATGACAGTGGCAGATTATTCTGCGCTTGGTGAAGTGTTTCAGCATGAGAGTGTCCGCATGGCATTCTTTACACCGGCACTACTCAAGCAATGCCTAACTGTGTCTCCTGCGACGGTGAGTATGCTAGACACCCTGGTCACAGGAGGCGACGTACTTGATCCAGACGATGTGGTCAAGGTGAAGCGACTACCGAAGCAGCCTCGTGTTATTAATGGATATGGGCCAACCGAAAACACGGTATTCAGCACAATGTATTGCATACCACCGGGGATGATGCATGTGTTAACGGGGTTCCAATTGGTCAACCAATCTTCAACTCTGGAGCCTGTGTAGTGGATCGCGACCTCCGGGTTGTGCCTGTTGGTACAATTGGCGAGCTCATTGTTACGGGAGACGGTCTGGCCCGAGGCTATACACAGCCAAAATTGGACCAGGGGAGATTTATAACTCTGCCGGTCGGCCCGAAAACAGTGCGAGGGTATCGCACCGGCGATATTGTTCGATATCGGCCTGGTGACCGCCAGTTGGAGTACTTTGGGCGCATCGATCAACAGGTGAAAATCCGTGGCCATCGGGTGGAACTTACTGAGATCGACCAATCTTTGCTCGCTTTCAGCTTCATCAAGGAGGCTGTATCAATCTGCCGTAAAGAGGAAGCCCGGGGACCTGATTTGGTTAGCTTCGTTACAGCCGATAACGGTCAGGATTCGCACGCAATCATGGGAGGAGTCAGGCAGGACACGACTGGGCAAGTCGAAGACTGGAAAGAACTGTTCGAAACAAATGTTTATAATCCCTCTGATTTACGTCCTGGCGAGCTTGGGAGAGACTTCACTGGTTGGAAGTCAATGTATACTGGCGCACCGATTGAGAGAAAAGAGATGAACGAATGGCTAGGCGACACCATTAGCGCACTCCTTAATGGAAGCTCGCCCGGTCATGTGTTTGAAGTCGGAACTGGCACTGGCATGATGCTGTTTAATCTCGTCAAAGGGCTGCAGAGCTACGTCGGGCTTGAGCCCTCGACTACGGCACTTGACTTTGTCCAGGCAGCTGTTCCCAATATTCCCGGATTAAAAGGGAAGGTGCGGTTGCTGACAGGGACAGCAGACGATATGAATCGACTTGACAGATTCAACCCTGTGGATGTCGCCGTCATCAACTCGGTAGCGCAGTACTTCCCAACTCCTGACTATCTGCTCAAGGTTGTTGAGGATCTAATGTGTCTGCAAGGTGCCAAGCGAATTTTCCTTGGTGATATACGGTCATATGCACTCTACGAGGAATTTCAAGTGAGCCGGGCACTATACAGTCGTACCCAGGGACTACCCACTGTGGCCGATATTCGATCACAGATGGCGGAAACGGTTCACATGGAAGAGGAGCTACTGGTAGACCCGGCCTTTTTCACTTCCCTACCAAGCCGTTTTCCGCATCTTGTCGAGCATGTGGAAATTCTGCCCAAGCGTATGGTAGCAACCAACGAGCTCAGCTGTTACCGCTATGCCGCTGTTCTGTACGCCAAGCAGCAGCCGAACTTGGGGCTGCGCATCCACGACGTTGAAGAGAGCCAATGGGTTGATTTTTCCGCAAGGAAGATGAATCGCGAGTCTCTGTTGCAAAATTTGCAGCAACGGGTCCCCGATTCATCAGTGGTGGCAATCAGCAATATCCCCTACAGCAAGATTAACCTGGAACGGCTTATAGTAGACCAGTTGAAGGACCGCTTGGTTGATAGGGTTGGAGGACCTGGCTGGCTCGCGCCACTCCGTGAAACCGCCAAGAAGTTCCCATCTCTTGCAGCCATTGATTTGATAGACCTGGCGGAGAAGACGGGTTTTCAAGTCGAGATCAGCTGGGCTCGCCAGCACTCACAACGTGGTGGGCTGGACGCCGTCTTCCACCGCATTGAGCCTGCCCAGAAGGGCGCAAGGGTGCTATTTCGGTTCCCAACAGACCACCAGGGACGAGCACCTGGTCAATTGAGTAACAACCCACTACAACTGTCATCCAATCGAGACATGGAGAAGTGGGTGCGGAAGGCCTTGCAAAAGTCATTGCCACCGTATATGGTCCCCAGACTGGTCAGGGTTTTGGAGCGAATGCCTATCAACAGCAATGGGAAGATCGACCGCAAGGCTCTGGCAAGCATGGTTGCTGGCACTGTATCCCAAAACACTGTGTCAGCTAGAGTCGATCCGCGTGATGATCTGGAACGAGCGTTGCTTCATCAGTTTACGAAGGCGCTCGGGCAAGATATCGGCGTTCTCGAAAGCTTGTTTGATCATGGGGGCCACTCGCTGACTGCGATAAAGCTGGTCAATGGGATCAATGAACAGCTCCATACTCGTGCCAGGGCGAGTGACATCTTCGAGTGTCCTACTGTTGCCGGTCTCGCCGCAAGGATTCGATCCTGGCCGGGATCGATAACGAGACCTGTCGCCTCAACGTTTTCCCTTGTTGGGGGCAATCTCTCACCTGCCACTTCAGGCGAGCTCGCCAAAATTGGACTGAGTCCCACTGAAGTTGCTGATATCGTTCCTGTGACAAACACACAGGCCTGGTTCCTTACCCGATGGGCCCCAGTCTCCATGCGCCTTAATCTCCACGGCAGGATCGATATCAATCAGTGGAGAACGGCTTGTCACGCTGTGGCACAAAAGCACAGTACTCTACGCACTTTGTTTACTAGACTCGAAGGGAGATTCGTCCAGGTCATCCTGCGAGCAGTCAACGTTCCATTTACCCACAAGTTGACCAGTGATACGGTTTCCGATGAGGCTCATTCTGGGCTTTCTCCGGTCTCCACGAAGCTATATACGAGATTTGAACTAGTTTCTCAGTCTCCGACAAGTCACTCGTTCATTGTTCGGTTGTCTCATGCACAATACGACGGGTTTTCACTCCCGCTCCTCTTTTCCGATTTGGTTGCAGCTTACAATGGTAACCTGCTCTCGCCACCAGTAGCAGTCCCCTTCTCGGACTACGTATATGGATGTGCATACCACCAATCACCAGATTCGCTGAGCTTCTGGAATGACTATTTGCGGGGGGCTCGTCTGACCACCTTATCCGATCCAACCCTTTCTGCAGATGACAAGTCTATAGATGTCAAAGCGATCGTGACTGGTGAACTTCCCCCATCGTTGCCTGGCATCACGTTCCCCACTCTTGCCAATGCAGCATTCGCTTTCACGCTGGCGGAGATGGTGTGCAGCCAAGATGTCACATTCGGGCTGGTTCTGAACCTTCGTGACCTACCCATCAACGGCGTGGAAGCCATCCTTGGACCGTGTATCAACATCAGTCCCGTGCGAGTGCAATCGCAGCAGGCTTGGACAGTCAGCGATCTCTGCCACAACTTACATGACAGTTACACCGCGGTTTCTCGTCACGGATACGTCGAATTGCCGGATATTGTTGCCAACTGCACCGACTGGCCAAGGGACAGTGACTTTGGCTGCCTGATAAATCATTTCCCTCCGAATCGTACCCCTTCGTTCTCATTGAAAGACGCAGAAGTGGTGGACTTTTCAATGGATTCTCGAATCGATCTGACAGATCAGCTGCTTGTTCGCTCGATCGTGGGTGAGGGAACTTGGGAAGTACAGGTGCTGACTTCAAGCAACGTGATGAGCGACGAAAAGGCCTCCGCATTGGCTGAGAGGCTTTTGAAAACGGGGCAGAAATTCTCGCAGTACCCAGAAACACCCTTATCTTCCCATCTATTGCGTTAAGATTGTGTTGATGCGTTTGGAACGGCTGTACGTAGCTTTGTTTGTTCTGTGCAGGACGCCGGGTTCGGGGAGTTGTAGGAATTGCGATGAAGGTTTCGGTCTCCCCTAATGTATGCTAATGCTAATGGTATGCATTGAAATCTTGAATTAGAGCAAAATTCTATTATATCCGTAGAGTTCGATATTAGGTACACGTTTGCGACCGTAACATGTCATGAAACCCATCATCCATCATCAGCATCTGCCATATACACACAAAATTATTAGTTTCCCGAGACTGCATGGGACAATGGCCATCCATGCATCCTCTCTATACATTAAGTCGTTCATTATCCACCATCGATCTGAATCGCATCGCCATTATCGTAGAAGTGTCATTAAGTCAATTTCCCTAGTTGCACACCAACTTGTAGCTGACATATTCGGCATCGCCTTGGAGGCATTGTCCCAGGGTCACGTTGTGCTGGCCAGCGGAGCAGTTGTCTTCGGTGAAGATTTGCACTATTTATAGAATTAGCAAGGCACGTGATAATATACTTTTTGCAGAAGAGATAAGCTTACCACCACAGCCGGCGACATTGTATTCAAAGCTAACAGACTCAATGGTTTGGTTTCCGGGGAAGGTTTTGCACTGGTTGAGAGCCGATCGGTAAATACCCAGTTCGCCCATGTTCTCGTTGTAGCAGCCGGGTTCGCCGAACAGGCGGAGTTGAGCGAGACGAGTATCACCGGTGGGAAGGGCCACGACCGAGATGACCATTGCGATCAGGGCAGAGAGGAGCAGAGTGGATTGCATGGTGACGGTTGAGGTGGGATTCGAGATGAAGAGATCTCTTTTCGGTGGGTGGTAGGGTGGTAAGAGTTGGAAGGTTTCTAGGATTATAAGAATTATAAGATTTAGGAGAGTGAGGTTGTTGATTTACTGAGTGAAAAGTAGCAGGTACATGTCCTCTTTTATAGACCACAGACTGTCAGTCAGCGTGAATTGGCGCAGTCATCGGTCTCCCCGCAACAACCGGCTGTTGGTTCTGGCCTGGACTTGATCAATTGGGGATTTCGCGCATCCGCGGGGGCAAAGATCGGCGCCTTGCCTCGACGATCCCTGCCGTGAAGGAGGAAAAGTGATGCCGTCCGTCAGCCGAGTTGGACCCTCCCATGATGCCATTGCAACCTTAAGAGCGGCGAATCCTCTCACCGTCTTTCTAAGCTCTCTATTTTTGCTCTTTTTTGGAAAGTATCTACAAGGACCATTCACTATGATTATCTCTACTATGGAATTCACTCACTCTTCCTCTTTCTGCCTCGGTTTCTCGCCGTTGAGCAAAAGTCCACTGCCGGTCCAGGTTACAATCAACCGAAGGCGGGGGCTGGACGCTTGAGGCTGGGAGTTTTGGGGGGCTGAAGGGAGGCTGGGAAGACAGGAAGACGGCTCACTGCATGCATGTCTCGGATGCGCCACGTCCACCATTTGGGGTTTCCAGGCGGGTGGGGTTGGCGATCATGGAGCCACAGTGGGATTGAGTGGCCATTGTGAATCCTGTTCATCCTTCGCGGCAGGCGGACGAGCCGGATCATCGGATCGAATCGGATAATCAAGGGACAGGCAATTCATCAGCAATGAAAGCCTCCTAGCTTTTCTATTGGAAACACGAGGGAGGCTGTTGTGTTGTTGTGAATATTTCTCAGATGCGACCGGAGTGAAGTGTTGAAAAGACAGTTCGACAGTGCTTCTATTCCGAGCACCGATCAGTCGGGATGTGCTGGCTGGTGCAGCTGAACACCGCATCAGCATCTGTCACCACTCGTTGCCGATGCACTCAGCGACCTGTCAACAACCTCAGCGGAATGCACTGTGCTAAGAATAGCTGGAATGCAGGATATCGATAAGAATAGAACAGTGGCAGGGCTGAGGGGCACGATGCAGGCGAAGATTATCACTGGGGTGATGAGGTGGACATGTTGGACCATCTCAAGCCCAGAAACAATCACGCCCAGCAGTCAGCAGTGCAACCTCAACAACTTGTATCTTATTCCATCACATCACGTCACATCGCAGGTAATCGGTAGAAGATGGGGATGGATGGACACGGAGCAAACCGCGTCACACCGACAACGCCAAGGCAGTGGCCGGTTCACAATCGCCACACACTGCCAGGACAACCATGTCGCCTTGTGATGACTTGGATGAAAATGCCTCCCAGCCAGCTTCATTTATCGAAATGGATTGTGCACACATCTTTCATGGATCCTCAAGGAGGTCGATGGACCGTACGCCGCGCTTAACTGCGGAATAGAGGGCGAGAGAGACAACTCTCGCCAGCCATGTATTCCGACATTATAGATTGGAAGTGAATGGAGACTGGATCAGCCGCAAAGACTTTGGTATTCGGAAAACACTTCCTACTGCAAGCTAACACTTAGAGATGACCTCGACAAGTTCGGAGACGCATGCAAAGAACTTCGGCAATATCCTCGCAGGATCCGGCATCGTCGGACTGGCCGACAGCTTTAGAGTATAAAAGTCGCCGACTAACCCGCGTTATCCTCCGTAGATGTCATCCGATCGCATCCTATCTGCGGCGCCGACGAACCCGCTCTTCATCCCGATCATGAAGAAGGGCAAAGAAGTCGTAGAGAGACCAGTCCACCAGTTCACCCGGGAAATCGGCGTAACTCCGGTATGTCCGATCGATCTCCCTGCGAGGCGGTCATTCTTCAGTCAACCTCCCATCAAGACCCTAAAAACACGATAACGTATAATTGATGGGTTGGTAATGACTACAATCTATCCCCTTCACGAGGTTGCCATAGACGAAGCGATTCTAGGCCTTGGAAGGGATGCTCTAGACCTTCTGCCTCATCGCGCAGGCTCCGACGCGGGCCGCTGGTCGGCAGGGATGCATTAGTCGTGTCAATAATAGTCATGAAGGCGGACGGACCCATCGCTTGCCTCGCCGCGCAAGCAATGCAAGAGTATCTGCGACTTCTGCTGCCTTCGACTGCGGCTGGTGGGCTCCACCGAACATTCTTGGATTCTTTCTGGGTGTTGATGATCGTCGCGTCTCCCCAACCAGACGCGGATCCACTCCGCCGTCATCTTCCGCTTCCCCAACACTGCATTCCACAGTGAGTATCTGGACAAAGGTGGCAACGAGGTGTATTGTTGTAGACACCGTGATTGCATTTTGTTTTTTATGTAGACTGTTAGTACTACTATGTGAATTTAAACATGACTATCAGAGGCCCAATCGGGTACTACTAGTATGTTGGTCACATGATTCGGCAAGGTGTGACGGAGTGAGAATATATATAAACAGCCAAGTGAATCCCTGTCTTCCATCTTCAGTTTGGATGTATTAGTATGACGACCAATATTCACTACATTATTCGGTTCCTCTCTGGATGCTAAGTATTACTTTCCCAAGTAAATGGAAAATTGGGATTAGCCGGAACGAGCCATCAATCCTGAGCAGGAACGAGGTTTTGCAGCACCTCTACATTATCCCTCCGGTCGTCCCGACTCAGGTCAATTACTGATAGAATGACTGACTAAAGACCAGCAGGCTTCAGCTAGAGCAAGTAAGATATAGAACTCCAACCCAGACTTCTCATCACAGCATTCACGCAGTTACAGTGCTCTGGGGATGACCGCTCCCCAGAATATGCACCCAGGCAGCAACGGATCGATGCGGAGGTCCGCGCGCCCGGGAAGGAGGAGCGGACATCCGCCGCCACCCGCCGATAGCATTATCGATGTCCCTAACCGCGATGTATCTGTGACTTGATATTGCGCGGTAGCAGCTGGAAATAGGTTAAGTTGCCAAAAAGTGCAGTTGGCTGATTCGTGACTCAGATACCCATATTCTGGGACAGTATATCTAGTAGGGGATGTCAACGCATCAACCAGCAGACCAATCACGCTGATTTGCGCCTAACTGGAGAACAGGCAGAAGGATAGATATCCCCCAGCAAGAAACAGTCCAGTTTGCTAATCGCACAACGCGTTGGGGATAACAATAAAGATTCCCGCAAAACCTCCGTGGGATTTAACGGGCAGCGTTGAACCCGTGATAGGTCGGTTCAGCCGATCAAGGCGCCAAGTGGGGAAAGCTAATGGAGGTCCTGACTCGGGATCAGCCTCCCTTTTGTTCATGCAGGGGTATGATATAGCTACGGAACAAGTGTCATAATCTTTGCGGGGCTGGTGTGGGTGACATTGAAATAGACATCAATAAAGAGTCCTAAGTGCTTATAATGTATTGGCATCCAGTCCGCAACAATTGCTCTTTCTGCCTCAGATATTTGCAGACAGCGGCTATGCTCTGAAAAAATGGTAGTCGGCCACGCCTGAATCACCGAACCCTCCTTAGCGCCGAGACGTTCGACTAGCCGACCAGACAGATTGCCAGGATGTTCATGAAGTCCCAGAAGCTAATGCAAGGTCGCTGTGCCACCTTAGTGTTCGGTACCAAAGAACGTGGGCGTTGAGGCTGCATGGACGATGTTGCTCAAGGCAGCCTCCATTCTTAACTCAGATCTCCCTGTCGCAACAGAAACAAGACCTTGCTTTCTACAGAATTCCTCGACGCCCTACTACGGGAGTTCATCAAAGCTACTACATCATGTCTACCACTCCCGAGGAAGAGGCGTTGCGTCAGCTGCAACGAGAACAGTCCAAGCTACTGGACGGCATCGACGAGTTACGAACGATTGGCGTCGGCAGCCTCGTGGAACTTCCTCAGCTGGTGGTCTGCGGTGCCCAGTCAAGTGGGAAGAGTTCCGTCCTTGAAGCTATCTCCCGAGTGAGATTTCCAGCGAAGGGCAACGTCTGTACGAGATTCGCGACCGAAGTCATCCTGCGCCGGAGTCCAACACCCAAGATCAAGATTTCCATCGAACCGGGGCCGTCGCGTAAGGACGCCAGAGAACGAGCGATCCTTCAGGCATTTGCGCAGGAGCTGTCCCCACACGATAACGATCTGCCGGCTGTCATTGATAAAGCAAAAGACCACATGGGGGTGAATGAAACAGCCCATCCTGGATTCAGCGATGATGTTCTCAAGGTCGAGATTCTAGGACCCGATAAGCCAGAATTGACCTTGGTGGATCTGCCCGGCCTCTACTACTCCGTGAGCCAGGATCAAGGCCTGCAAGGAATCAAGGTTGTCCGAACCTTGACAGAGAAGTATATGAAGAATGCAAGAAGCATCATCCTTGCGGTCATCAGCGCAAAAACCGACTACCACCTCCAGGAGGTTCTCAACATCGCCGAACGTTTTGATCCGAGACGCGAGCGTACGCTTGGAATTATCACTCAGCCGGATACGCTGGAGCCAAATTCAGAGGAGGAGGGGACGTACCTGCAGTTTATCTCTAACCAGACGATTCGGTTGCAGCTCGGCTGGCACGTCTTGCGCAATCGCTCCTTTGAGACACGGGATATACCGGACGACGCCCGCGATGAGAGAGAGAAGGACTTCTTCAGTCAAGGCCGATGGTCATCTTTGTCCAGGGATAGTGTCGGAATCGAGAGCCTACGACGACGCCTTAGCAACATCTTATTTATTCAAATCCGTCGTAATCTCCCTGGGCTAATAGCCGACATTAAAGGGAAGGCTTCCGACCGGGAGAAGGAGCTCTCGAAGTTGGGTTCCCCACGTGCCACCCGGCAACAGCAACGGGGATATCTGCTCAACATCAGCAGCAGCTTTGAGCGCATCACAGGGCAAGCGTTGCACGGTCTATATGCGGACGGGTTCTTTGGTGCGTTCGAAACTATAAGTGATAACCACGATTTCCGGCGACTCAGGGCCGTCATCAGGCAATTGAATGAGTATTTCGCCGACGCCATGGCCGCTCGAGGGTCTCGTCGAATAATCGTGGATCGCCTTCCGGGGTTCGTCCAGGATTCGATGCAACATGACTTGAAAAACCCTTACTTACCAGGAAGGCTTCCACATTATGTACTTCGGAAGAACCTGGAAGAGGAGGTCGCCGAACAGGCTCGGAAGAACAGAGGGATTGAGCTGCCAGGCAGCGCCAATCAGCTCCTCGTGGGTAGCCTGTTTCGCGATCAGTCCCTTCCATGGGAAGGCCTCGCAAGAGAGCATCTCATGAAGGCCTGGGAATCAGTGCGGTATTTTGCGTTACTTGTTATGCAACACACAACCGATGATCATACCTTCTCCTTGCTGGCTGGATCCATTATTGAGCCTGCGCTGGACAGATTGAGGCAAAATTTGCTGGACAAGCTCGATGAGCTGACGGCATACACGAAACGGGGCCACCCATTGCCCGTGGGCAAGAGCTTCCTCACGCAGATACAGAAGGCGCGAAGCGAACGTCAGGTGTCTTCGTTGAAGACAAAACTCAAGTCCACCCATTTTCACAAGCCTGACGGGGAAGCCCTATTCTCGATGAAAGCAATCGAAGAGGCAACTTCCAGCTTGGAACTGTCCCGTGATGAATATGCGGCGGCCGAAATCATCGACCAAATGCAAGCGTATTACGATGTAAGAACGAAAGAGCCTAATATCCAGCTCATAAGGGCAAAGCGACGTGTTCTAATTGACCGTTCACAGACTGCCATCGTGACCTTCGTCGACAACGTTGCAACCCTGGGCATTGAAAACTGTCTTCTTGACCCTTTGCAGCGGATCCTGACTAGCCAGGTGATTAACAATATGGATGATGATCAGGTGCGAGAATTAGCCTCTGAGCCCTCCTTCATCAGCGACGAGAGAGGCCGTCTGGCCAGTGAGGTCGAAAAACTGCAGGCTGGTCTCCGCACTCTCAAGACATTCAACATCCAAAAGCCTTCAATGAGTGGGCCGCCCTCAATTGAAAAGCTGGAGAAACCATCAACCAGCATTCTGGACAATCCTATGCCACTCACAGGGTTAAAATCGACGGCCCAGCCGTCCTTCTTTTCAAGTCTGCCTGAAGCGAAGACTTATAAATCACCGGCTACGAAGCCTTTTGACGGAGCTGTAACCCCGGGCCTCTTTAATTTTACAAGTAGGACATTATGATCCCAGCAGAGGACCTAGCTAATTTGTCCAGAAACCCCGCAAACACCGTCTTCACAGGGCCTCGAGAAACCCATCTTACTGAGTGCGATAAACCCGTTAAAGCCTATTTTGACAAGCAAGTCCGACTTCGGGGCAAAGACACCTGGAGTAGAACTTCCCCCCAATGTTGAGGCGCCTAAAGAGGGCGGGAAAAAAGCCTAAATACTGCCAACAGTTCAAACCAGTCTGTTCAATGGAATCTTAAGCCGAGATAGTAGCCATCAGCAATGTATGCTGAGTGAGCTTGACAAGTGAAGACCTTGCTTCTGATGACTTTAACTGTCACCAACACCATCATTCTTGATCCTCAGAAGGGCTATTGGATCGCTGGCCATGTGACGCATCTTTATTGTCACGGGCTGTCATTAATAATATTCATCGCCTTGTTCTTTCCGGCTAAAGGAAGTTGTTAATGAAATTAGAGGGATGAAGCAATCTCCAGTGAAATTTAACAATGTATCCCATCCTAGCCCTGGGTACTTTGCTGTAAAAAGTAGACCACTTAAACTCTATTAGCCCCAAAGGTGGAAGAAAACAGCTTTCATTGTTTGTATTAGCGAATTTTGGCGAGATGTAACTCCAACTGCAGTTGGAATGATAGAGACATACCCGCTATCAGTGGTCCTTCTCGACAAAGGAACCCATGGGATTCCTGGATACACAAGACATCACCCAATGCATATATCCTTATCAGAAAATGTCAACCCGGAATTTGCCGACAGACAACTACATTAATGAGTACAAGGATACTGTTCTTTACAACAGGCTGACCGGGGGTATACTCTTTGCTCAGTGCATAGTCAGCCGAGGACTTCTGCCGACGCTGGGCATTATTACTCGTACACTGTGCATGATACCATGGTCCGAGACTTACTGATGGTTTCAACAACATTCTCCAAACTGCATAGTTGTCATATTATGAGAGATCGACCACGGCTGATCCCGCTGCCAGCTTTGTCTCTTGTGGCTTATTTGACGGCATTTCCCTTGATTTGTCGCTCTAACCCTCAATTATGCAGATGGTATATAAGGTTCACCCACGATTTATTGCACCACACATGGTACTATAAGCAAATACTCCTGACCCATACTCATACCCTACTTCTATATCAACAGTGTCCCCAAGTAGCGACTGCGTCGCTTGCCTTCACAGATATGCAGGCCGAAATGTGCTATGACGATGTGGCATGGGAGCTGTCGGATGACATCTCGGATTCTTGGGTGGAGCAATTTCATAACATTGGGGTGAAGAAAGCTGTAGGGTATTTCGTTCTGAGACATGATTCCGGCGACGACCCCAGATTGAGACTTATCGGCAAGGGCTCGTTCAACATTATATTGCGGATGAAGTACACGCATAAGTCGACCGATATACGCTTTTCGCAACCAGGGGCTATCCTTTTTCCCGAGGAAAAGACGAAGAATGAAATTGCCGTGATGCGATACATTGCAGATCAGACATCAATCCCGGTACCCTTTGTTCTTCACTCTGGGACACGAGATGAGAGCCCGCTTAAACTCAGCCCTTTTATCATGATGAGCCATATTGATC